CTGGGAACGGCACCTCTGCAGGAGATATTCTTGCACATCCGCGTCCGGCACTCGTTCAGCACCCTGCTAACGCTCTCTTTCATGGCGTTCATCGTAGCTGGTACCGTACGGTTGACGACAACGATGAAGCCGATGCAAATTTGGAAAGCGTTGACAACTCGAGTCGAGTCGACCAAGTCAAGCAAAAGAAGAAAAAGCTCCTCATGTCAATCACACACTGTTGGGTCGAGTACTGTCGTTTTTTAAATGTGACGGCATAATATAGAGTTTGAAGAGTCTGTTTCGTGAATGTTTCGTAAAGGGGTAAATATACGTGAATATATGGCTGTGAGCAAATTCTTTGACATTCAATACCTATAAAACTTATAGCCTGTTATATTTGTTCACGGAAAGCTGTTTGGCGAGAGGGGGGAGATCAGTGAATCTAAAGTGCTGGCAACAAGTATAAGACCATCAAGGAATTGATATGGTTCTGGACTTCAGGAACATATCAATGTTGACGAATTTGTGCCATAGATGGACGTGCAAAGGAAAGCAAGTGGGTTGCAAATCATTTCATTACATGCAAGAGAATAGTTTTTACCCCAGGATTTTGAATTGTGCGACAGCAATAATTAAAAGACCACCATGGCAATTATGAAGAAAAAATAACAATGAACCTCTCCAATTGCAAATAGTACTTCGTTTTACCACCCTTGAGCTCCAAGACACTCACGCATCTCTTTTGTATAGACTACAAGCTTGTCGATTAGGTCTTGTGCGATATTGTCCCAAGCCTTCAAAATTCCATTTTTGAGTTTATCCTTTTTCGAATATTGGCGTCCATGTGCATAAACTGCTCGGGCTAGCACACCCCACATGTCTTCAATCGGGTTCAGGTCCGGAGACTTCGACGGCCACTTCATGACGCGTAGATTATGCTCCTGCAACTAGGCCTTGATATCCTTGGATACATGGATGGACGCGTTATCGTGCTAATATTCACAGTCGTATCCAAACTGGTAGTCCACGTGGGAAACAAAGCACTGACAAAATCTCCACGTAGGCAGCGCTATTCTGGTTTCTCTATGGCCAGTTCGGTCCTTCAGTTGGCACTAAAATCGCCCCAGACCATGACATTTCCGCCACCAGACTGCCTCTTCGAAAAATAGCCGAGTTGGCGGTTGAACGTACATTCTTAGGAGTTTCTCGACAATGTTAAGTTCGTCGTCGGTTGCATCATTGAGAATGGCGGGTGTTGCTTTAGGAATTGATCGTAATGCAAACTTGAGATCATTGTGCTTGTAATGCTCGAGTCGACCTACGTTGAACACGTCATGAAAATGCGACATGGAGTTGAGAAGCTTGAGTCGCATGACGTTATCGTTGATGCCTTCGATTAGTTCGAAATGGGCCAATGAATGGTGGCACTAGTTTAGGTCATTCTGCATCGGTCAGTTATTGAGCATACTTGAACGGCAGATTTCTAGTTGCAAGTAATACTTGACCGTTCAATTTGAAGGTTATACTTGATCGTTTGCGGTCATAGTATGCTTTTTGTTTTGCTTGGAGCCTTGAGGAAGTTGTCTTGAGCCATCTTCAAGATTTCCTTTCGTGTTTCAGAGAAGTTCTGAGCTAAGTCGTTTCTAGACAAGATGTTGTCGTAACAGGATTTTGAAGAGTTCTGCCGGTATCGAGTTGGAACGGCCTTAGTCCAGTTGGTGATTGTATGAATATGAGACTTTGGTGGGCATATTCGATTGTGGGTAAATGGTCAACCGAACCGTCTCCACGATTATGAGACTTGGCATCGGATTGCGTCTTCTAAGGTACGGTTATGTCTTTCGGTTGCTTCATCGGCTTGTGCTCAACCGGCTGTGGTCATGGCTTGGCGTAAGTTCAAGATTCCTATCATAGTTTTCCAAAAGTAACTTGGGGTCTCGATCACTGATAATGACAATTGGCAGTCCGTGGTGCCTGGCAACGTGATCTAAAAATAACTTGGCAGTTCCGGGAGCGTCTCCTACGTGGTTGTTGGAATGTGATTTGCCTGTTTCGATAACTTGTCCACGACAACCAACATTGCATCGCATGTTTCGACATTGGTAGGCCTGTAATCTAATCTGCTGAAATCGTGTGCCAACATTCATTAGGGGCTTGAATCGGAATGATTTTGCCATTTGCTCTCAAACTACTTGTCTTGCCTCGGCTGCAAGTTTCACAGGTTGCCACGTATAACATTACATCTTCTATCATTGTCTTCCAATAGTACCATTGGGCGACGCTTAGTGCAGTGCGCCGTGTTCCGGAATGAGCTGCGAAACTAGCATCATGTGCTTGGTAGATAAGATGATCTCAACTCCAAGGTTGCCATCTTTAGGGACACCAAGCTTTCAAACTTGATATTTTAAACGGAGAAAGTAGAGTCCGTTATTGACGATAAACTCGTCTTTCTTGTCAGTTGTTTGAATAATGCATCGTTCTTGTATGCTTTGACGCAGCGGGCTTTTGTTACTTCATCCGTTTCAATAGTGGTGTGACGAAACTCTTTGCGTTGGTAAGATGTCGTTGGGGATTCAGAAGCCTGTTTTCGCTATCGCGCTCCCCGAAAAAGGACGATCCGACCAGTTCCGACCGTTCACGGGACAGCAAGGTTGAAAGGAGTGGGGATGGTTGAAAATTTTCTATACACGCGAGATGAAGCTGACAAAGTATACCACAGGTATGCACGAAATCGTCGGTGGCATCGTGCTGTCGTCACGACGTGCGCGAGATAGTGCATCAGCAACCACGTTCGTCTTGCCGGGACGATGATGTAAGGCAAACTCGAAGGCGCTGAAAAGTCAAACTAACGGGTTAACTTGGACGTAAACATGGAAGTGTGCATGAACCATTTGCAGGTGGAATTGTCGGTGTAAACTTCGAAATGAGATCCAAGTAGGTAGATTATCTATAATTTTTTTACCCTTCTTCAAAAAAATAAATCTCCTTTATCTATAGAAGCTGCTTTAAAATATTTTATTTTAGGTTCTATAGCTTCAAGTTTTATTTTATTTGGTATTTCAATAATTTATGGAGTTTCCCTTTCGCCATTTGCATAAAGCAAGCCTGACCGCGTACAATTTCATTTCATTTCATGAGTATTGCAATTTTCTTCACTTGTCGAATAGTCGGCGCATCAGCCTGGACCAAATTCCTGGCATGCCTGCCATTCCCATTGGCTTTGCGATCCATAATCATACACTTTACGATCAGTGCGAAACGCTATGTACTTTCTTGCTTCCGGTTCAACCAGCTTCTGGTGGTAGCCTGATGCCAGATCGATCTTGGTGAAGGTCTTGCTTCCATGTATGCGTTCGAATAGGTGTTCAATGTTGAGAAGTGGGATCTTAGGGACACAGTTTGCGATTCCACGTATTGGTAGTCTAAGACCCAGCGAATCCAAGCATCGGGAGTGGCTGTGTGGTATGAGGCCCACTTGACGGTCGGTAGTTGCAGGATTATGGATTCGATAGTACTCCTGAATGGCCAGTTCTGTGATAAACTGCAGGCTGTTTCGTGCGTCTGAGTTGTTTGCTTCAGGGACGTGCTGGCGGAACCGGGAAATCACTTTACACTGATTTGTGCTTAAATAGGCGAGGTCTTTGCGTAGTTTAGGTACTGTGTCGGCGTATTCGGCTGGGAAAAGGTCGGCGATATTAGTTGTGCAAGGAACCTCAGGGACACGCGTTTTCTTTCGAGTCATCAACCGATTAAACTAAGACTGCTTATGGACATGGAAACTCAGCTGTAATATCTATTCCTTACGACGATTGCGGTACAACTCTGAAGAGTTTAAATCCAGGCCAACCGATGGAGGAATTGCGTGATGCTAGGATTCACGACCACACAACCGCTTAGACTGACAGTTGGAGCAGTGACACCAAGGGACAAGGGGCAGCCAGAGATTTATCTTCAACCAAGAAGTGCTACCAAATGTAGCAACTACCCGGCGCTGGAGGAAGCGGGGTAGTTAAGGAATGTGCGAGTCGAGGTAAAATGCCGATTGAGGTTATGTTCAAGTTACGAGCTCCAAGAAACTCCACATCTGTCGTGTCTTTACGATCCTTGAAGGAGCCACGTCTTTGTCGGTCGCTCTTGTACTAGAAATATGTAATGTGACATGCAATAATACAATGATGTCTAATCATTTTCGTAATGCTGGATTCTTGTCGACGCGTGCATCAACGCGATTTGATTCGCTGATCGCTACCAGGCAAGATAAGTGTTCTGGCAGCGGGAACGACAAATCTTCGAATCTCCCCCATTGTTTTGTACTCTGTGGAGGATGGTCTTTTTTATCAAGTATAACGGCAAATTCAAATTCAAACTCGATTATGTCAATGGATATTTGATTTCCTTGATTGAATCTTCCCGGCAAGAGTCTTCTATTCCAGTAATTGCATCGGCATAACATCATGATAAGAATTAGGGTGGCCGAATATTTTATGAGGCCCGAAATCGACCCGAGGTTTCAATTGAGCAGTGCACTTGCAGCAATGCAAAGCATCGCAGTCTCAAAATTCTCCACCTGCGCTGTGGTGAGTGACAAGTTTTGCGCTGTTCACCATAGCTGGAGATTCCATAAATGGATGCTCCACTTTACAAATCCAAGTTAAATTACACTCATCCACGTGAGTCATGACATCACAAACGACGCTGCACCTCAAAGCGAGGCTCTAATCGTTTTACACTGATTGGAATTAGTCGAATTACCATGGCACGCTCAGGATTTGCAAACTACACATGAAAAATCAGAAGTCCTCTATGAGGTGGCCAAATTATTCGTTGTACTATTCGATTTGGCTTGTAGCGCTTTTCTTATTCACTGTCAGTGCTTTGAGACAGAGGATATCACAAAAATCCGGAAATGCACAATTCTGCATCTTGCATGGTTGTGATAACTTCCTGCAAAAGAAACTGTTCGTTGGCGTAACCGTTCAAGTCACTTTCAAGCGCACGGAGGATGGCGACACCAAGTCGCGAGAAAGCGGCGCGCAACATTATCAAACAGCGCAACAACAACACACTCAAAGCCAACAATCGCGACGCACTCATAAAGCAGAGAGAATGTGGTTGGAACGACCACTTTTTGACCCCGATCGATCGCAGCAGCACGGTTTGTTCTTACCACTGTGCCATTTTCACGACAACACTATAGCAGCAGGTGCACGAGGTTTCATCAAAAGTTCATGACGCAGCGGCTCGCTCTGGAGATTTACTCGGGCGTGGGCATCGATGCAATCCTCGAGGGGGTACTTGCGACACATATCATTTACATGTTGATGTCAATCAAGGGCATGCGAATAACAAAGTCAAGAACCAACGGCCACGAAAAACACCACCTAACGGAAAGTTAGAGCCTATTCGACCACCGCAACCAGAGCGCGAGGTTCACCGTGTGCACGTTCTTGCACAGGGCGGTGTTGACCACTCCATGGCAGGTTGAACGCGAGGACTCCCATCTTCGACGGCGAGCAGTAGCATCGATCGAATACCGTGAGGAGATTATCAAGCAATTGTGTGATTTCATTGCATGCATACCAATCAAGGCCCAGAACCAGCCCAAGGGCCACGGAGCAAAGCCCGTCCACAGCTTACCTTCGAATTTGAAGCCCAAAGATATCACGAACATCATCAAACAAGTTGTCGACAGACTACATGTCAGGTCTAAACCTTTGTCGTCGTAGATCTCGACAGAACTCCAAGTCGCAGGTATTCGATGTGTCGAAGCCATTGTCGCCTGGATGCTGCATCATGGGAAAGCATCCGACACCCCCCCGGTCTTCGACTGGAAGGGTGACAACTATTTCGTGCACATGTACTCGGACTTGGACTTTCTTGTCGACGAACTCAAAGCCCGTGGCGTCCCTGCGCCCCCGGAATTTACGAAGTCCAACCCGCTATTGATGAATTCGAATCAACGATTGGGGCGAGTGTGTGCCGCCCAATCCATCATTCTCGAGATGGTGGAAATGACCAAGGTGAATCGTCCGATTTCGACAAACCGAAGTAAAGCATCGAGATCAGTCCGCGAAGAGTCGCCTCGGGTTCCATCCGTACCCAACAAGAAGGCATTGGGCGAAGGCGGCGAGTTTGACAGCTTTAGTACGAAAGATCAATTTGGCGAGGAGGAAGCTCCACACACGCCGCCTGCACGAAATGTCGGCGGAGAGAGCGCGTTGGACCTCGTTCATCACTCGAAGTCCATCTCCCGAATGTATTGTGGCGACGAAGAAATGCGTGAAGGTTATATCAACTCTGTTTCTCTATCTACCGAAGAGATCCATCGTGTACGAGCGGTAAAAAATGACACCCTTGAAGCCGATCAAGCACCTGCAGATGGCAAAATCAACTCCAACTTTGCGCTGGATGCACCCTACCACGAAGCGAGAGCACACGATTTAAACCTTCAGCCCGACTCGTCCTACCAAGACGACACGAGCAACGACTTTCAGGAGTATACTGGGAATCCAACGAGTCAAGACATAATACTTGTGCAAGGTGGTGTCGAAGAAATCCTGAACGAAATCGACCAAAACGACATCGACCACAGTGAAAACGATCAACGCCACGGGGCTATGGGCAATCCACCTGCAAGGGCAAGTTCATTTGAACCATGGGACGCACGGAGAGATGAAAATTCCGTATCTGAGCTCCATGTCGTGACGTGGCAAGACGAATTGGCAAAAGCACAAGTCCCTGCCACCAACATTGCTGCGTTGTGTTCGTGTTTGGACCCAGATTGTTGGAATATGGTGTCCGTGCTTCAAGCGTTGCGCACCATCCGTTCGTGCTTTGCGACAAATGCGATCGGAATCATTTGCCAAGTCGAAGTGAACTTGCGAATTGTCTCGAACAGCGTCGTTGAGTGTGTGGACGCAGCGATCGGCCCTGTTTTGACTTCGTTGCGTCGTTTTGTGGACAATCAACCCAATGCCGCAGCAGAAATCGACATCGACGACATCTTGGACGCGCTACAATCTGCCGTGTCACACCCAGCACCGAACGAGCTCATCGCTGTTGCACTCGAAGTCGGGCAATATCTTTGCGCGACGACACCAACAATGTTTGCGCGGGTATTGTCGCCAAAGGCATGCGAAATGTTCCATTTCTTGTACCCATTTATCATGACTGCCCCGCGCAAATCAATATCAAATTCTTGCCGCCAAGTCGTCGACTCTGTGGCATCCATTGCGAATTTCGAGACGCATCCGTTCTTCCTCGATTACATTGGAAAGGGGATGGTTCTCCTGGCCAGCGCCGCTTCCAATCCTGCTACGAACACCAGCAATTTGGCCAAATTGTCCATCGTGTGTGATCGAGCTGACCCAGTGACCAGCAGCATGAAGCACGTTGACTATGCGAATGGTTGGTCCGGCCTGTTTGAATTGTACCCATTCTTTTCGTGCGTGTATGGCGAGAAAATTGTCAACCAAACTCGAGTTGAGGCGGGGGAAGGGAGAGGACCCTTGAAAGAATGGTTCAGCCTCCTCTCTCGCGACTTTTCCACCACGTGGACGCGATCGAATGCACCAGTCACCTCTGATCTCAACCTGAAAATTTGCAATCGCACAGTCTCTGCTCCAATGTTGGTCCATGCGTGCGGAGTGGCACCGAGTCATCGCTTGGACGTACAGCCGTCGGACGGAGGCCCACTCTCGTGTCGAGTGATTCGGGTGCTGGACAACGATTCCGTCCTTGTCGACCAAGTTCTCTCGACCACGGACATGTTTGTCGACTGTGCCAACTACACGTGGTACACGCCCCACGTCCCGCTCTTGGTGTACATCCAAGAGTCCGAGACCTACTTCTTGAACGAGATGACCGATCGTGCGATGGTCAAGCATCTCGAATGCTACGGCTGGCTCCTCGCCATGGCGATATACCATCAAACAACGCTCGAATGCAGGGTCAATGTTGTGTTGTTTGAGCTATTGCTTGGTGCAGACCTAACGATCGACAAGATCGAGATGCTGGACAAGTCATTGTACAATTCTTGGATGCAGCTGAGCGTCCTCGACAACTTCCAGTCGTTTCTCGAGGTCGAAGAACTGCCACCGACCATGACTCCAACCGAGTACATCGCCCACGCCCTCAAAGAAAAATCGACCAAACTTATGTGGCAAGTGGACGCGATCAAGTGTGGCTTGGCTCGACTCATTCCTGTCTCTGCATTACACAAATGCATGATGTCGCCTCAAGACTTTCAACGGCTTGTGTATGGCGATCCACCGGCAGAGTACACGTTCTCCATCACTTCGAAGACATCTCTCATCATGTCAGTTGCAGGAGCCTCAGCCTGCGTTCGACTTTTGTTGTGTCCATGGATAAAGAGCTCGAAGACAACAAGTGCTTCCACGATGCGTTCTGGGAAGTCATTGACGGCATGGCTTCAACCGATCAACGCAAGTTTGTCAAGTTTGTCACGGGAATCGACAAACTACCTAGCCCAGGCACCGAGGTATGTGGAAAAAGGGATGTAGGGGGAATATCACTTGCATCGATCAATCATTGTAGTTTCTGCGCATCGAAGTCCCGTTCACAGCAATTGGCAACTCGGAGCGCCAGAAGCAACTCCTCCTACTTCCGCAATCTCACGTAAGTCTCTGCGTCGCCCAGATCCATTTGATGTGACAACCCACTTTCTAGACGTGCGACAACATTTTGGAATTGCCAAATTATTGGGCTGCGCTGCGAGCAGCTCGCAATGGGACCGATCCACCATACGAAGAGCTCGTGGCGCTACTCCGTCAAAAGTTGCTCTATGCCATCGAAAATGGAAGCGACTATGGACTTGACGCCACTGGATCCTTTGGTGACCTTGGCCGAGCGATGCCTGAATCAAACGAGACCCGCGAAGCATCCACTGATTCGTTACAATTGCCATCGCTTCTGGATGACGCACCAGAAATTCCCGAATTGTCAGCTGGGCTAACGACAACCGAGGACAACATCGAAGGTCCGGCAGATATGCCCGTAAAATTGCCAACCAACGCGACGACCATCGAGTTCGATGCCAAAGCCCCTTCGTTTCACGATGCTAGCATGTTGGCAAAAGTGGCACTGTCGACGACGGACGATATCCCTGCGACCGAACAGCACGACGATGATGAGTATAGTTTCGACGACTTTGAAGAGCCAGCCTAAAGCATTGAATGGACCGCTTCGTGCGCTTCCCTGTCGTTGTTCGATCAGGACAACGTCTGCTGTAGGAAATCCAGCCATTGCAAGGTACTCATCGAATGACGTACCGAACGCGGCCGGTGGACTCGAATGGTCCATCAGTGGTGCTACAGTTCCCAAGGAGAATCGACTACGCCCAAGCCGTTCTTCGTGTAGACACTCTTCACACGCTGTAAATGTACTTGTCGTAAACTCCTCTCTTGGACAATGCATAGAATTTCCGCCGCATTGTCGTAAGTTTGAAAATGATCGTTCTTCGCTGGCATAACAGCACTGTTTCGTCTCCTCCCGGCCAAGATTCTGCGGAAAGACACACCGAACTGGTCCTTGTGAATTCAAAACCCCAAAATAAACCATCGACCGAGGGCATGGACGGCGACTGGGGCAAGAATAGATTATCTCGGAAACGCTTGGTTGCGACACAGTGGAAGGATGGGCTCGTTTCCGTCGACCTCGCAGTTGAGCAAGCGTGGGAGTACAACGGAAGACCGCGTTCAGAGCCACAGACCAAGTGTCAAAGCACCAGGACCGAATCAAAATCTCACGCGGTTGGGCTCGGTATGTTACGAGCACTTGAAGGGCATTCCGTTGGCCACACTGTTGGAGTCGTCCGTTGGGTGCAAGTATTTCACTGCACTGTGCTCGAAAATCAACCGGGACGACGTCATCCAGCTGTACCTGGCGCTGCAAGGCATTCGAGCTGCCCCAGACAGCACCACGACCGGATCCGTAAACAAAACGTTAATCGACACCAACTTGCGGCGTGTAGCAAGCACCACTCGCCTCAGCAACAAATCCATCGCGAATCTTCGAATCACGCTAAACAACCTGAGCAAGACAACGTCCGCGCCGCCTGATATCCAAGACGTTATCCGAGAGATTTCCGCGACGTTGACCGAGCAAGAGTACCAATATTGGCTAGTGTCCCAAGAGGGCCGCGATTTTATCGGCGAATCCGCCCGCTTCGACCATTTGTTGCACGATCACATTGCCATGTGCTACTTTCACCTGTTTCTCGTCCAAGAGTACTCGTCCGAGAACCTGGAATTTATCGAGTCGGTGCTCCGATACGAAGCCGACTGGATCCACTCGGACGTCGAAACGACTCGCCAACTCTCCAACGTCCAGCACGCTAAACACATCGTGACGCTCTTTGTCGAAGAGAACGCGCCATTGCAAATCAACGTCCCGAGCAAAATTCGGATTCGTTTGGAGCGGAAAGTCCTCAAGGATGGCGAAGCCCCCAAAGACATTTTTCGGATTGCCAAGAGCGAAATCTCGTCGCTGATTCAGCGGGACAGCTGGCCACGCTTCACAAAGTCGACTTGGTGGAGCACGTATTTAAACTACGACGTTTCCGACCCGACTGTCGCGGCAGTCCCCGCGCTTACGAGACGACAGCAAATCTACATTCAGTTCATTGGTGACGACGATCTCACCAAGATTTTGAGCTCTGACTTGGGCCGAGAGCACCTGCGCATTTTTTTGGCCTTCTTGACCGAGGGGAATACAGTTGACGGCAGCGTGGAATTCTTGAGATCCGCTCAACAATACCTAAACAACAAAGTCGAAAACGATCGGGCGAAGCTGGCACAGCAACTCTTCGACACGCATTTAGCTGAAAACGCCCCACTTCCAGCATTGCACGTATCCTCCGACGTCACAGCCAGCGTCAAATCGAATCTGGCCACCCAGAACTTCCACGGAATTCAGACCGACTTTGCCAAGGCTGTGGAGCTGACAGAAGCGTTTGTGACGTCCCATGCGTTGCCGAAATTCAAGTTGAATGGGTTGTATGCAAAGTATCGAATACTGACCCAGCAAAAACTGCGGCTGGAAGATGGTCACGTTGGCATGTCAAGTAGGAAGAGCTCGTTGGTGCTATGACAATTGGCCCATGTTAATTTACATCGTTGTGCAGTTCTCGACTCTGTGGTCATCGTTTGCAAACTCACATGCAGAGTAAAGCAACGATATCATGCCGCGTTGTGTAGTCACCGAGCTGGCTCACTTAATATCGATATGTGTACGCTTCACAGCGCTCCAGTCGAGCAGCAGGAGTAATTTGAGCTGGATACGTCGCGATACTGCTGCTGCAAGCGACGTGGCATCGAGTCGCTGCAGCGCCGAGTCGTTGGAGCTAACCTCGCTTGAGCGAATGTTGCCGTTGGCATGTTCCTTTCCGAAGGGATCTTTGACCTTCCGGATACATACAATCTTATCCGGCTGTTTATGGTTTTCTTCGAATGTCGAAAGGTCACGCATTCAGCAACTTGAGGTCGACGAGCACCGCGGTCAAGGAGGACAGCGATGGCACCGAAAAAGGCATCGCCGACGAAGAAGAAGGCGAAGGAGGTTAAGCAAAAGCCTGGTGCATCCGACGCCACTCAAGACGCAGTGGGTGACACACCAGGTCCTGCAGCAGACCCAGACGACGCAGACCTTTATCACGAACCGGTACCCTATCATGTAATCTCTGTCGTGCAGCAAGACTTACGCTGTTGCAGATCAAGAAGATTGTCATTCCAGATAACCAACTCCGCCTCAGCGAGCAGGAACTGAAAGAAGAGTTCTCGAGGTATATATCTATAAACAACGATCTTGTTCGCCGGATGGTGCACAGACTGCTTGCCGTAGAGTGTTGACAGCAAATGATCCAAACGTCCCCAACAATATCACCAAGTACAACTACAAAGAGCGCATGTACAAAGTGGATCCTCCAGGACCTGGAGACAATTTGTTTCTGCACCTGTCGTCCGAAGGCAGCATGATCCACAAGGAGTCGGAAGATGCCAAGGTTCAAGCAGCGTACGATATGAAGAAAGCGGAAGAGGAAAAGGAGGCTCGAGATGCAGCCATCAAACAAGCCAAGGAGGAAGCTGAAGCTAAGGGCGAAAAGATCGACGAATCCAGTCTTCAGTTTGAATCGGGCAAAAATCAATTCAACTACAGCGAACGCGCGGCTCAAACGTACACGAATCCGTTACGCCAACGGTCCATCGAGACCGAACCGCCCCCGGTCCTGAATTACATGGCCACCGTGACGCAGGTACACTGTTGTCCCATGCTCGTGCGGCTCGCTCACGCTGATGCATGCAGTGGGATATCTACGACACGTATATGGAGTCGTACGAGCAGCACCAGCGGGAGCAAATCCAGCTCCAAAAGGCCGCCCAGAAGAAGGAAAAGGAAGACAAGGACGTCGCAGAAGTCGTGGTCGTGACGACGTCCAAAAACAAAGACGACGACATGGTCCACAGCGCTGCAATGGGCAAAATCCTTCGTGTCATCGAACGCATGGTGAACCAGAACGCCGAGGACGAAATTTTCCAGGATTTCAAGTACTGGGAAGACGCATCGGACGCATTTCGAGATGGAGAAGGATCACTGTTGCCGTTGTGGCGGTTCTCGTCGGAGCGAGCCAAGAAGAAACAGGTCACAGCCGTGTGTTGGAACCCGTGCTTCTCGGACTTGTTCGCTGTCGGGTACGGCTCGTACGATTTTCTGAAGCAAGGGTCTGGGCTCGTGTGCTGCTACTCACTCAAGAACACGTCGCACCCCGAGTTTATTTTTGCGACCGAGTCTGGCGTCATGTGCCTCGATTTCCACCCGCAGCAACCGGCGCTGCTTGCCGTGGGCTGCTATGACGGAACGGTCATGGTGTATGACGTTCGAAACAAAGTGAACCGACCGATCTACACGTCAACAATCAAGACAGGCAAGCACACGGATCCCGTGTGGCAAGTGAATTGGCAAGAGGAAGACTTGGCGAAAGAGCTCAACTTTTTCTCGATTTCGTCCGACGGCCGCGTCGCGAATTGGATCATGAGCAAGAACGAACTCAAGATGGAGCCCGTGATGCAGCTCAAGCTCGTCAACACCGTCAAGGACGACCCAGAAGAAACGTCGCTATCTGGTCTCGCCGGCGGGTGCTGCTTCGACTTTAACCGATTCAGCGAACACTTGTTCGTCGTGGGGACGGAGGAAGGCAAGATTCACAAGTGCTCGAAAGCGTACTCTGGCCAGTACTTGGAAAACTACACGGGACATCACATGGCTGTCTACGCCGTTCGGTGGAACCCGTTTCACGAGCGGTGCTTCTTGAGCTGCAGTGCGGACTGGACGGTCAAGCTATGGGACCACAGCATTCCCGAACCCATCATGTCGTTTGATTTGGGCAATTCCGTCGGGGATGTTGCATGGGCTCCGTACTCGTCGACTGTGTTTGCCGCCGTCACAAGCGACGGCAAAGTCCATGTCTTTGATCTTGCAGAAAACAAAAACGAACCGCTTTGCGAGCAAAAGGTTGTGAAAAAAGCCAAACTGACGCACATTACGTTTAACACCAAAGACAGCATTGTGCTTGTTGGCGACGACCGTGGCGGAGTGAACTCGCTCAAGCTGTCGCCGAATTTGCGCAAGTTGGCATCCACCGAAGAAACGGACCCGGCAAAAGCAATGAAGGATCGCCTCCGGGTAGAGTTCGAGAAGGTCGACAAGTTACTAAATACCAACGACAACAAGGCATAACCGCGCCTCGTCTGCTAGCCTTCAGATTTGTAAATTGACACAACGAAACAACGACATGCGTAGCCATCCATCGTAGCAAAAGTCCCGTCGAGATTTTTGATTCGACATAGCTTACGTGGTGAAGACCGTCCACTCGTCGCAACGGTGGTTTCGCAGTAGCCCTTTCCGTCTCCTAATCGTTTGAAGCAACGTCATTCCAGAGTCCAGCCATCGGTACAGGGCCTTGAACGGGTGCTTCATGTGTTCGTTGAGGTTCCATTCAGGATGGTCGTGGAATTGCAGCAAAATTGTGGCCAAATCGTCGGACATGTTCATCCACTTCACAGGGGACTGGAAGTTCGAGTGGAATGCTTCTGGATTTGCCATGAGTTGGCAGGCAAACTTCCAACTGGAAGCCCCGGTGATCGAGCTCGGTTTTTTCAGCGAAAGCGATGCCGCGCTCGACTTGTAGCACAACATGGTAGCCTCCATCACAAGTGCTTCAGCAATCAGATAATGCTCAAAGTCCGGGTCGTGGATGGCATCTCCAGTCGCAACTTCACGTTGTTGTTGCTCGACGTCGTGCGCTAGACGAATTAAATCCCTGTCCACCACGTCATCGTTTTCGCTCCAGTGTTCCAACTGAGTTGGCACCACAAACACAATCAAGCCGTGCCTACTTGTTTGCTCGATATACTCTTGTGCTGACGCGACGGTCAGTCCAAAATTGGCTTTCTCAATGGCAATGGCATCTACCACAAGACGAGAAAATCTCTTCACTGTTAGCGCAGGGGACACGTACTTGGTGTGTGCTGTTGAAGGTTTGCCTTGAGGTTGGCCACATCGTCAGGAACGCAGTACACACTGAAGCACACGTTGACGAGTAGTGCGTTGTGAGAGCAAGGGTTGGCTGGCACACCATTTGCCAAAACATTTCGAATACGTTCTAGACATGCGTTGCAATGCATGGCCACCCCAACATGTTCTGGTTCGGACGTCGTCGAAGCTTCATTTTCGTCATACTTATCGTGCCAAGTGCTCATCCCGAGGGCGGAGCTTAATCGATTTGTGCTTCGCAGTACATCGGACAAGGCAACTGCTGCTGTGCCATGCAGCACCTTGTCTCCAATCTGAACGGCTCGGAAGAGAAGCCCCCCTCGAAACGCAATTTTGTCTTGAGCAATGTACATCGCGACAAGAAAATACTGACCATTTCGACCAAGGCCAAACCGGGCCACACAAAACAATCGTGCATGAGTGCAAATGGCTTGCCGAATCCAAGACAAATTCATCCCACATTGTCGTGCAGGGTCGTATGCCCGTGCATTTGCAAACAACGCGGCGAAGTCCCGAGGAGCCAACGATATCTCCAGTGGGTTTATATCGTGCTTGTGCACAACTTCATGTCGAGGTACTTCATCTAGCGCTGCCATCTGCACGACATAGGCATGGCCAGACTCGTAGATGGTCGTGTGGAAGGTAGTCGCATCGTTCCATGAAATTGATCCGGCGTACAATACAGGGCACGCAATCAGGTCATCCAAGTTTATCTTCGCCGCATTGGGAGTCACAGGTATGTGCTTGAATTGAATATCGATGCCATCGCTCGACGTCAAAATGTGCAAGTTTTCCGCGACGGACCAGTCAAGAGCAGTAGCGTATTCGGTCACGGAGTTGTTGGTCACGTTCGCCACAATGGCTGCCAGGGTGGACGCTGTTCGTCGTAGGTAAATGGAGATCACAGCATGCTCGTTAACTCTTGGCAACCTCAATCCTTCTTTGTGGATGCAAATTATCGAATCATCTTCCGATCGAGCCCGCAGCGGTCGAGGGCATGAGCTGCCACACCAGACGAGGCCGAACCGACGCTTGCGCTTCACATATATGACACATAACCATCGACAAAAGTGCTCGTAGCCAAACTTTGAACGACCGTAGCCCCATGCGTCGTATTCTCCGTCAGATAGCCGCAAGGACAGAATTGATGGCGTATCGTACCCCACCACCAGAAACAGTAGACCTGCAGGAGTATAACCATGTGCTTTCTTGGATAGAATGGCAACTTTGCACTCGAGCTCGCCAAGTTTCACGTGCACAATGCAGGTAGGCACCAGCAATTGTTCAAAGAATCGAATTTGCGCCCTTGATTTCAGAATTGGGCCAGGAGGGAGGTGTTCGTGACTGGAAGTATGGACGTCGCGGTCTTCAAGAGCCATCGAGTGTAGCTCCAGTAAAGGATCAAGTGGATTCGTCTGGACCCCATCAATTCCACAGCAGGGCACTTCTTGATTCGCCTTTCCACGACTGATGGCCTTTTTCACGCTCTGCGACGTTTTCACCACTGGGGGTTGTTCAGTTGCTTTCAGCTCCGTCTTTTGACGCGACGCTGCAAACGAGCGATTTCGCATCTTGGTCAACGCCCTGGCATGCATTCATGTCACGAATTACAACGAGAAAGCCAAGTATTTTTGCATGGTCAAACCTCAGTTTTTCGTCGTTCCATTTTGTTTCCTTTTCGAGAATCGACGTCTTTTGCTGGCTCGCCATTTGTGCAATCGCGTCCTTGCTGTCATGACACACCAAGTTCAACCGAGAGATGTTTTTCGTTCGAGCTCCAATCGAGGCTTCGATCAGGACGGTCGACGTCTCTATGGCGCGTGTGTACTCGTCGCACTGTTTCAATGCGTGCAGTCGGGACCGTTCGCAGAAGTCCCTGCAGCACGAAAACGTTGGCAAGCGGATCAAGTAGAAATGCACAGTCACCTGTGCGAAGAGGCGTGCGCAAGGTGCGATTGAATCCACGCTCTCTGCATTCAAGAATGAGCTGACCACGTGTGGGAAAGGAAACGCGACGAACTTCTCTGTCCACATCCAGCCGCAGGGCAGTCAAACGTGCCAGCTCGACTTTGTCGCGGCCTAGCGCAAGCTTTTCGACCCTACCCATGTTTGTCAGCCGAAATGTACCATCGTACTTGTATACTTCAAGAAATTCGTGGAAACCCGGATACAGCGCTCATGACTCTCCAACACCTTTTTGCGCAGACTTGATTTAGATGGCGCTGGAATTTTTGTCGTGTCTGGAAGAGAGGGAGGTGTGTAGGTCCAGCATTTGGCATGTCGTGGCGCTCGCCCATAGAGGCTCTCTTCCATCAGTAAAATCGCACATACAGCTTGCTCGTTTGTGTGCGGCTTGCCGTCCACAGCCATGTCGTCCAACGTTTTTGGCAGGAGGAGTGGATTTCGCCGGATTTGTTTGACTTGAAACATTTGATTCCAGCGCCACGCGATGTGGTCGACGTTCGCACAACCGATCGGAGGTTCCAAATCCGACACCATCGCGAGCAAGTAGTTTCCGGTCTTTTCAGACGTGAATGGTACAAATGGGTTGGGCAGCATGGTTCGCCACTCGGCAATCTTCTCCACAACCTCCACGGATGCAGAACGATACAATAGCACAAGATCTTCGACGGTGGCCACCTCCCGACATGAAGCAATGTTATCGTCGCCGTTCACACACGAAAGCAGTCGACTTTTCCACTTCTCTCGCACCCGAATGCACCTCACGACGTCGAACGACGCATCTTCCACTGACGTCCAAGTTGGCATGAAGCCAGCCCAAAATCGAGGCCGAGACAGTTTCATGCGGCTCATGGCAGTTACGCTCCGTTTCATTGTATGAGGCATGGACCGTGCGCGGAAGGCGCAGCCTCATGCCAATGAAGCGGTCTGGGCTCGCGAGGTGTCAAGGCAGCTCGAAGGCCATGTAGCCCGCATCAATCATGCGCAGCCTTCCATCGACACGTCCGTTCCAAAAACCGCCACACATGCCCCGACGGCATCCAAGAAATACCAGCTCCGTGAAGAACGGTTGGATGCAATCGAGATCGAAAACAGGCGGCTCTTGGATCGCATCGCGTCCATTGCGCTGTCGACGTCCAAGGACAGTGTCGATGCCCACCCTCCACCCACCGTCAAGAAGAGCCTCCACGAAGGCCAACGCAAACGAGAGCAACAAAAGATTTGGCACGAAAACCAAGTACGACGACGGATTGTTTCACGCAATGCTAACGCTCGTGACGTCAGGCACTTCTCAAGCGATTGCAGTCGGCCAAATCGACCATGAAACGTGTAGGCGATGCCAAGACTGCGAAATGGGTACAGATGTAGTTGCCACGAGTGAGATGGCTCACCTCTCGGATATAGAAAATGAAGTTTGTCAAGAGCAACGAGCACAAACTGAGCGCCCAAGACAACCTCGACCTTGAAAGCGCACACTGTGCTGACCACGCACCCAAGACCACCAATCCTCGACACAAGAAAGGAAAACCATCCAACAAAGTGTTTATCGACCACAAGAATACCCAACCACACCTCATCCGTTCCGTCAAATTGCCCCAACTTCACAGCAGCAACGACCACACGGATAACAACACAGCCAACATGCCGATATCGAGTCGTCAGCAACTCCCCGAATCGCATTGCCATACCGGTGACGACGTCAATCACGCCCGCATCGCCGACGAGAAATTCGCACTTCCATCGCTTGTCCCGGCGACGCCACCGCAAGATATGCCAACAAAATCAGCACGTGCCACGTGGACTCCACTCTGTCCCATGCCTTCGTCGCGTCCTCCAACCGCAACATACAGTGGTGTTGACGAGTGCGACCTTCCTTTGCCCTTGATATCCCCCGACCAAAAGGAAGACTGGATTGAGATCATTGCTACGTCTGCTACGATGGGCTTCAGTCGGGAAAACACGTCTCTCGACTGCACCCTGCGACGGCCTACCGTCGAATCGCCGCAACCAGCGGCGCCCGAGACAGCACCCTCGCCAATTCCTCGACACGACCACGACGTTGATCAAGGTTGTAGAGAAATCGCGCAGGTACAACCCCTCGAGACGGAAAATGTCGACCGTGAGGGTACAACGGAAGCGCTTCTACACGAGGCAGTGGACCACCCACATGACATTCCTGCAGGCGGCCACGTATTCATCCATGACCGTCCAATCAAACGTACTAGCACGCCATGCAGTGGCACAAAATCATCGAATGAGTCAGTTGGTGCCGCTGCTGTACCGACACCTCGAGTTGAATTGGACAACGCTGGCAATCCAGATGCGCCGTCTTGTCGAGCCATCGACGACCAGCAAGGGAATTCAGGTGGCCGCAAAGAGAGACGCACTGAAACGGGATTTTTGAAGCAGAGCGACTCGTTGACTGCTGGCGTGGTCGAAAGCCCCGGCAACGACATGCAAGAGTTTTTTCCTCGAGCGGTCGCTTCCCCTGGGGAATACGTCGCGATTGACCAAAGCAGTGCTGACCCGACCTCACGAATGTCACAATTTCGGGATACCCAAGTGCCGGCTCCAGACGATGGCGACCAGTACGCGGATGAATTCGAACCTGGCACAGGAACGTCACTGGAAAGTGGGGGTTGTCCCGATGAAGGCGTCCAGTCGGTTGAATCGAACGACCATGGCGAGGATGTCCACTCGACTGCGGTGTTACTCGTAAAGTGTGCCACAAACCAAGCGTGCAAAAAGTCCATAGAAGCATCGACACCACCGTGTCTTGATGAATTGGATGCCCTTACTCTGACATCGCCGACGGTGGACCTTTCAACTTGCATCGACGAAGGCGACCCCGAGTTGCCAACTATCAAACATGTCCATGCGGTGGCATCTACCGATTTGGGACCAAATGAAGATGCGTACAACAATGAAGTTGACGATGGCGCCACTGCTGACGGCAGTGCTGTGGCAACATTCAAGATCAGTGTGTCCGTCGATGGCGTGGAAGGAAGCGTTGCAGCGCAGGTGGACCACAGCACAATGCATGATTCACTCCACGAAATCGCAGTGTCGCTTGCTTGTGGAGATGCGGACGACGCGACCGAGAAAGCCAAGTTGCATCCTTCGAATTCTCAATCGGGTCAGTCGAACGACGAAACTCCAGCTCGGACGACACTGAACGTGTCGAATGCCAACCCATCCATGGATACACATGCCATTCTGTCGGAGGACGCCCCTCGTCAACGCGTCACGGCCGATGGTACAAGTGCCATGCCAAGCTCCGACCTCTCCACACGAGTCCCTGGGAACTTTTCCAGTCAAGGCGAGTTCAACGGGAGTGCGCCACCTGAACGCGTCAGCAACTCGATGGACGTAAGCCGTCAGCAAGCCAACAACGACACCGAAAGCAACCTTTTCAAGGGACTTGAACACGGCACGTCGAATTCATACGACGACTGCACAACGTCCAAGGAAAATACACCACGTGCCGGCGAAAACGAAGATGCACCGAGAAACAAGAGCTTGCCACCGCCCCGTTTGATGGATCCATCTCGTGGCCTGATCGTAAACGGAGATCCTCGATTTGTCACATCATACGAGGACGCACCACCCACGACGGACCACTATTTTGCCGCCGACGCATTCGAAACAGAATCGCCAACTCGAACGTCCCCACGGCCCCCATCGCGTCGTTTTCACGACGAAGCCGATCACGACTATCACGACGAATTCGATGATGAGGTTGACCCAAGCAATGAACCATCTTCCAACCACGACGCCACAAGTGCGACGACAATAGCGCCAAGCTCGCCCAAGCACGACTACTATGACGACGACGACTTTGACAACAACTAGCGCATACCCCACTTTCGTAATTTAAACGCGACGACGCAAGTGTAGACATCTTCTGCGATCGACGCACGTGCATACCATGGCATCCATTGGAACCAACGCATCAGGAGTCTTTCCCTAACGAGTCCCCCACGTTGACTAATGTTATGAAATGAACTTCACCCCATCGCCATCTCAACGCAAGGGAAACCAGTAGGTCATGGGTTGCGAACGGCGCCTCTACGCAAGATAGCGCGACACGTGGTCGGCAAGCCAGCCGCCGCCATGTCGGCGTGTGTCCGAGACAGCAAGTTGAAACACATGTATCATTTTTAGTAATACTAGATATCGCAATTGTAATTTTTGGATAAGTGTGCAATTTCCATATAATTCCCAAGCTCTTGCACTAAGTGCATAAGATGTTACAGTAATGCGCCAATTGGACATATATTGTTATGAATGTATGAATACGACCAATGTCGACAAAAAGCGATATACTTCCTGAATTAACGAATATGCCCAAAATCGAAAAGGAAGCCATTTAGTAGTACTAACCGGGATGGGTACTGTGGTGGGAAATTGTTTGATCGTGTGGCCATTGATTTTGGCCGCTTGTCAAGGCTTCCCCAGGTTCCAGCGACGACAGGCACCCCACGTCGAACATGGAGGGCGATAGCAACATCCTCGAGAGGCTGCTGCACGATATATCCCGACGACCATCCGTGCCGACAATCCCAGCTCATATGGTACATGCGCATCGTCCTTGAAACAGTCGTGACCCGTGCCACGGTGGTGTAGGTGTCGGTCGAAGAGAGTTTCAAGGCCACGCCTCAGTTGAAGCGCACGGCCAACTTATTGTTGAGCTCGTCCTTTCATTGCGAGAAGAGTGCAAGCGCCAACCTCATCTTGAAACTCCTGGACACTTTCCTCCAAGCGGACTCGGCCTTTTTTGCAGTCATGGCCGAGCGCATTCTTGCCCAAGTCCAGACTTTCCAGCATTCGTTCGCGTCGGCTCGCGTCCTTGCGATTCGTTTTCTGTCCCGCTTGATTCACCACGACGCTCAAGCATCACGCTCGCACTTGAAAAAGTTGATCCTCGCACAATTCGCAATCCTCGAGTCGACCTCCGACACAGACAACGCTCGACTCAAGCGAGGCGGACAAAAGTCGATTCTGCAGCTGATCAAGAGCGTCCCGATGCTGTTTGACTTATACTTCGACGCAGTCACCGCAACACCGACGGCCGCCGAAAGCTCTTCGTTCCAGACGCGATTCCACTTGGCCAAGTTGTTCATCGACGTACGTGGGACCGTTTATCGATTTGGGACTTCCTGGCTAAGCATGATCACCCTTCTAGACCTTTGCCACGACGCTGTCTGTTGCCCAGCGACTTCGATTGCTTACGAGCTTCACGTTCTGGACACTGGAGGCCAAGCTCCGACCTACCGACGCCCAGTTGCTGTCTTATGCGGCCTTCGTCGCCACCGTGTCAGCTGAGGAGTTTGCGAGTGTGGTGGAACCAGTGCTGGGTCGCCTGCTCAAGCGCTCGCCCGACTCGCTGCTTCAAGCCGTCCGTGTGATGACGCAGCACCTCACCGTGGACCTCGGCCAGTACGTCGCATCTGGTGTTCATCAACGTAACGCGACACCGATGTCGTAGGTATCTCGAGCCTATTTTCGTACCGATCTTCACCGCGAAACTGCGATCGCAAAAGGACGACGTTCGAATGAGCTGCATTGGCCTCGTGGACGCGGTGCTGGCTCGATGTGCCGACATTGGCCATGTCAAAGCGGTCTTGACAGAAGTGCTTGGCGTGCTGGAAGGCAAGCATGGCATCCTGGCTCAATTTTACCAACGCGAAGCTGTATTTACCACTTTGTACAATGCTTCACTGCACGCATCGTCGTGGGACATTGCCGACAGCAAAGAATTGGCGTCGCTTTTGCTTCCCAGTCTAGTCCAAGCGTCTGCAAAAGAGGCCAACGAATCGACGCGGTACATCGGCCTCCAAACCGTCAGCAAATGGCTCGCGATTTTGAACCCCGCGACGCTGCCGGCCAACATCTCGGCCTTTTTCACGGCGGGACTGCAGAACAAGGTCGAGAGCGCCGTTGTCGCCCATGCGAGCGCGTTGCTGACTCTCCGCGAACAACTCAGTGCTGCCCTCGCAAGCGACGCTTCGATCCTCCGCGAATTGGTCCGTCTGGTGGAAAATGCAAACAAAAAACCCAACGTTCTGCACTTGGATGGTGTAATCGCATTGACCGTGCTGGCATCGTTGAATGAAAACCACCGCTCAGCTGTCGAAGCGGTCATCGACGTGCGTTGTGCGGTCGTTCAAGACAGCTTTTTCCCCACGTCTGCGCTGCTCTTGCTCCAAGCGAGCAGCGTGCCTGCATCTGGTGGAGTCAACTCGCCAGAGGTGGCCGTGTTGCAGGTGCTTCCTCAGACCATCACGTCCATTCTCTCTAAAGTAAGCTCTCGTCGAGTCACCGACGTTTCGTCTCATTTGCACATGTAGAACGCGCCGCCGTCGACCCACCGTCTTTTCAACCTCCTCATCACCGGTATCAATCACTCGAGCACAGCCGTGCGTGCGACCTTCCAAGACAAAATGTCAAAGTTCGTCGCGACCGAAACGTGGTCATGCGTGCATTTCCTCGACGCGTTCACACAAGGGCTGTTGGAACTGAACGACCTCAAGATCGTATCCCCGGAAGACAACGTTCCGGACAAGTCGGTCGGCACGTCCATGGCAGGAGTGCTTCGAAAGAACTTGCGTACCATCGTGCCTGAGACGGTGTACGAACGCGACGTCATAGTCGACGTCTTTCCTCGCCTTTTGATCTTGGCCCATCACCCGTTGCTCGTCTTCGGCGCGCACGAAGCCAAGTTCAGCCGCGAGTGGAATTTTATCAAGTTAAGATTTGTGGAAGACGTGGGCGAAGAGATGACCGTGTCCGACGCCGTCGACGACCTTTTTGAATTTGTCCCGGGCCTCAGGGATGCCACGATTGCCGCGATTTCATCCAACTTGTATTCCACCGTCCCCAACACCCGGATTAGTGCCCACCGCGCTGTTGTGACGCTGCTCAACTTTGCCGGGAACGGCCTCGGTGAAAACTTGATCCTCCATGGGCTTCTCAAAGACCAAGTGGCTCGCCGCCTCTGCTTGGAAGACATCACGGCCATCACAAACGAAGACGTGGCCATCTACCACACCCCCGACGACGAGCTGTACGTGGCTAAGAAAGCTGACGACGCTTCCGCGAGCGTCCGCGAACACGGCACAGCCGACGAGCGATGGGAGCAGCAAGTTCGCGCCGAAATTGAACGAAAGCGGGGCTTGGGTGGGAAAGCAGAGAGCAAGAAGAAGCTGACGAAAGAAGAAGTGGAGTTGCTCAACCACCAGAAACAAGTGCGTCAGCGTGTTGGGGCGATCTATACGGTAGTCGATCGCATTGACTCGCTCTTGTCGTTTTTGTCGGCCACGTCTCCCGATGAGATTCAACCTGCTCTCCCGTACTTGATCCAGCCGTGCCTCGCCCTCCTCCGCAACCCGTTGTTGTCCGAACTCGCCCAGTCGAGTCTTCGCAGCATCTGCCGTTGCGTGGTGCCGACGCACGTACGAGTGTTTTCCAACCAACTTGCCAAGGCTTTGGAACTCGCGTATTTGGTGCATGGACGGCCGGACGACTTGAAAACTCTGACGGCGTCCAAGGACTTGTTTGAGCGCTTGATCAAGGCGCTGGTGAACGCCGTGTTTGGCTACGAAATGGATTCAGAAACGGACTTTGACCTGGACGGCGAATACACGCTGTTGCCACCGTCAACGCTGCACCTTGTGTTTCCGATCCTGTCCGTCTTTTTGGAAAAGACGACGTTGTTCAAGCAATTCGTCCTGCCGCTCTTCTCTGTGCATGCGAAGATGATCAAAGAAGAAGACGAGATGGAAGTCGGCGACGTGGCGGCGCAGCGATTGCTGCGCCGATCTATGATTGAGCTCAACCTTTCATGGCTCTCGCGAGTGGAAAACGATGGGTGGATTGCCGCGGCCCAAGTTCTCGCCCAACTCACCGCTGGCGCCCCTCTTTCCGTCGACGAATACGGACCATTGCTGGGCGATACAGGACTTCTCTCGCCCAAGACTCACTCGCGACGTGCGACGCTCCACGCAATTCTGCAGGCAGACGCGGATATCTCGGACGCTCCCGAACCCGCGTTTACCAGCGCCATCTTCATGGCTTGCTTCGACAAGGACGAAGACAATCGTGAAGTGGCGAAACAGATTTGGGCCGCGTTGTCGCTGGAGCTGACTGATGACATCACTGAGCCGTTGCGAAATCTCCTGAGTCACCCGACCGCGTGCATTCGAGAGAGTGCAGGCGCCGCATTGGCGAATGGTCTGAAGCAACATCGTGACTTGATCCGTTCTGTATTGGACCAGGTCAAGACCCAGTTCGTCAACAGCGTGCCGGTTCAGTCGGAAACGAGTCAATTCGATTCGTTCGGTATCCCGATCCTTCGTCGCAACAACGACGTCGTGGTGGAAGCGCAATCGACGGTGCTGTCCCGACTTGGCGTTGGGATCTTGTTTGAGCACTGCGCGCTCGAGAACATTTTGTCCCCTTCAGGCGTTATGGACGTTGTGTCGTTCATCGTCGAGCGCGGTCTGGGCGACCCCCACTCGGATGTACGACACCACATGCGCAAAGCAGGAATCCAAGTGATTGCGACGTACGGCGCGGCCAACATTTCCGGTCTCGTGGCAATCTTGGAAAAGCCGTACGCATCGCCAGGAACGTCACCGCAAGATATCGCGTCGTTCGACCACCAAAAGGAAGGGATCGTGGTGTTTTTGGGATCGTTGGCGAGGCACATGGACAAAACGGATCCGAAGGTCGCGACCATCGTCCAGCGCTTGCTCGACAGTCTCAAAATTCCCTCGGAACCTGTCCAACGCGCGATTGCACTGTGCTTGTCGCCGTTGATTCCAGCGGTGAAGGACCAGAGCACAGACATTCTAGACAACCTGTTGGCCGACGCCACCCAAGGTGAAACGTACGGCGACCGCATGGGCGCTGCATTCGGTGTGTCTGCCGTTGTCAAGGGTCTTGGGATTGCTGCGTTGAAGCAGCACTCTATTATTCCCCGCCTGGAAGACGCAATGAAGAACTCCAACGCCAACTCGCGCCAAGGTGCGCTGACCGTGATCGAGTGTTTGTGCGAACGTCTCGGGTTTTTATTTGAGCCGTACGTGATTGTGATTCTCCCGATCCTGCTCAAGTCGTTTGCCGACACAAACGCGAGTGTCCGAGAAGCCGCGAGTCTGACGTCAAAGGGCATCATGAAGAATCTGTCGGCCCACGGGGTGAAGCTCGTGCTGCCGTCGATTTTGCGAGCTGTCGACGACTCGCAGTGGCGCACCAAACAAGCGGCCATCCAGTTGCTCGGCGCCATGGCCTTCTGCGCCCCCAAGCAACTAGGGTCGTGCTTGCCGCAGATCATTCCCAAATTGACCGAGTCCTTGTCCGATTCGCACCCTCGAGTCAAGGAGGCGGGCCACACGGCCATGCACGACATTGCCCACGTCATTCGAAACCCTGAAGTGTCTTCGATTTCGTCGGTGCTTTTGGCTGGCATTCAAGACCCGAACAAGAAAACGAACGATGCACTGCAGGCCCTGCAGTCGATGGTGTTTGTCCATTCGATCGACGCCCCGTCCATGGCGCTCATCATGCCCATTTTGCAACGTGGTCTCACCGATCGTCTGTCCGACACAAAGAAGAAGGCTGCCTTGATTGTCGGCAACATGTGCTCGATGGTGAACGATGCCAAAGACTTGGTGCCGTACCTCGATACGATTGCGCCTTGCCTCCTCTCGCAGCTGCTGGACCCGATTCCCGAAGTCCGAACGGTGGCGTCGAAAGCGTTGGGGATGCTCGTCAAGGGCCTCGGCCAAAGCCATTTCCCCACACTCGTCCCGTCGTTGCTGAGTGCGATGAAAGCGGAGAGCTCCTCTGTGGAACGGTCTGGATCGGCGCAAGGGCTGTGCGAAGTCCTTGTCGCTCTTGGTCTGGAACAGTTGGACGCATTTGTCAAAGACGAAGTATTCCCCATCGCCCGCCATCCAAAGTCCGCCGTGCGCGAAGGTGTGCTGTGGGTGATTGCGTTTTTACCCCCTGCGCTGGGCCAAGTCTTTTCCAGATATCTTACGCGAGTGCTTCCCATGGTCGTCGCCGGGTTGTCCGACGAAGTTGACAGCGTCCGTGACGTAGCCATGCACGCCGGATCGATTGTTGTGACGGCGCATGCGCTCACCCACACCAAGGACATATTGCCTTCGCTGGAAGCTGGAATCTTCGACGACAACTGGCGCATTCGCCAGAGCTCGATCTCGCTCTTGGGCGACCTCTTGTACCGCATCAGCGGCACCAGTGGGAACAAAGTCGCGTATGCCCACACTGCGGACAGCGACGATGAAGACGATGAAAGCATCAGCAGTGCCGCCGGCGAGCGAGCCATTCTTCGCGTGCTCGGCAAGACCCGTCGTGACATGGTGCTGTCCTTGCTATACATGGTCCGATCCGACGCCACAGCCATCGTGCGCCAAGCGTCGCTGGGTGTGTGGAAGAGTGTGGTCTCCAACACACCCAAGACGCTTCGCTCGATCTTGGAAACGCTCATGAACACGATTGTCGACGCGCTGGCAGGGGACAACCATGAAAAACAAGCTGTCGCTGGTCGCACTCTTGGTGAAATCGTGCGAAAATTGGGCGAACGTGTCCTGCCGGAAGTCGTCCCGATCCTTCGATCCGGCCTCGCGCCCACCAACTCGGACGGGATGCGACAAGGTGTCTGCCTTGGTCTGTCCGAAGTCATTGGGAGTTCGTCCAAAAAGCAGCTGGAAGATTTTGTCGACACCGTCGTCGATGCGCTTGAAGAAGCGTTGTGCGACTTCACTCCCGAAGTGCGCAGCGCCGCCGGCCAAGCGTTCAACGTGTTTCACAAGTGCATGGGCTACCGCTCCATTGACGAAGTCGTCCCGCGTATGCTGAAACGTGTCCAAAATAGTGAGGGTGACGCACAAGTGCGAGCGCTGTCTGGCTTGCAAGAAGTCTTGCGCGTCAAATCTCGCGAAGTGTTGCCGTACTTGATTCCTCGACTTCTCACGACGCCGCTGACACAAGCCCACGTCCGCGCGATTGCCCACATCGCGACTGTAAGTGGCCACGTTATTCATTACCACATCGACCGCATCATGGGCGTCCTCTTCACCGAATATGTCACGTTTGCCGGGAACGACGTGATGCTCAGCGCGATCAAATCGACGCTGCAGGCCGTCGTGCTGAGCGTAGAGGACCAAGGGGTTCAATGGCTGTCGAGCGAAATGTGCAAGTTCTGCGAAAGCGACATTGTTGGCACGCGGTATTTGGCTTGCTGGTTGATCTCTGCATTCTGCGAAGCCACGACGGCCAACTACACGGAGCAAGTGCCGACGTTCATTCGGTACATCCTCCACCGCTTCAACGACGCGGACGCGGCGGTCGTCCAAGCCGCATCGCACTGTTTCAACAGCCTCAACACAACGATCCGCCCCGAAGAACTCGCAAAGCACATTGACTTTATTCGCAACAACCTCAACTCGATGGTGAGCGATGCCCGCCATCGAAAGGGCGGCGTGGGCTCGGGCGAGTTCTTGCTGCCGGGGCTGACCATCCCCAAAGGGTTGGACCCGTTCATGCCTGCGTATCAGTATGCCCTCATGAACGGCACCCCCGAAGCTCGGCAGGGCGCCGCGGCTGGCCTTGGTGAACTTGTGCTGCTCTCCAACGACGTGTGCCTGAAATCCGTCCTGATCAAGCTGACCGGTCCCCTCATTCGTATTGCCGGGGATCGATTCCCGCCGCATGTCAAGTCCGCGATCCTGTCGACGCTCGAGATTCTGCTCGTCAAGGGGGGTGCATCGTTGAAGCCGTTTTTGCCTCAACTGCAAACGACGTTTGTCAAGGCTCTCGTCGACCCCAGCGGAGAAGTCCGCACACGAGGCGGCTTTGCGCTGGCGCAACTGGTCCAGTATTCTCCCCGCGTGGATCCGCTCGTGTCGGAATTACTCGACAAACTGAGCACGACGACCGGCGGTGTCAAGGAAGCCATTTTGAACGCCATATTTTCGACTGTGTCGGTGGGCGGCAGCAAACTGTCTGTCTCGACCCTTCAATCTCTCTACGACGCGCTTCGTGAGAGCTTGGGCAGCGACCAAGACGCGTTGCGCACGGTGGCGTGCCAAACGGTCGGTCAAATTTTCGCCATTTCGGCCGAAGTTGGGGCCGCCCAGTTCTCGGACTTGGTGCTCGACTCTGACAAGCTTTCGACGTGGACGACGAAGCACAGCGCGGCCTTGGTGCTCCAACATGTACTAGCGACTTCCACCATCGAATGGGTCGACGGCTTGATCTGTCCCATTCAAGACCGCCTTATCGTGTTGATCGAAGACGATACGCCCGCGGTTCGCATCGCAGCGCTCGTCGCGACGACATCGGCCTTGACCCGATTCCCCGCCACATTTGGTGCGTTTGTTCCGTCGGTAGTTGCCAGCCTCAGCGAGTCGAACAAGGACATCCTTCGCGCCGCCCTGCGTGTGGTGAAAAAGGTCGCCAAACAATCCCCAGCCACTTCTCGATCGTTCTTGCAGCAGCTCGTCGCTCCCACGTTTACGCACATCAAGAGCCCCAACATTGGCGTCAAATTCGCCGCCGAACGCGCGCTGCTGTACCTGCTCGAAGTCCACTCGCGCCCAGCCACGATCACCGAATTCGCCGCGTCGTCGGACCAAGGCAAGTTGCTCACCGAATACGCGCGCCGTGTCCTGTCCAAGCTCCACGCAAATAGCGACAGCGAAAATGACGCCGCGTCGTAAATTCGGCGATTCGTTTTGTAGTTGCGGCCGTCGGCTAGTTTCATAATAAATGCGTTGATGTGGTTTTCATTTACACGTGCTTTCCGACCGAGTCGCGCGCTGCACATCCCATTGCCCGCAGCTCCAAGAGCTCGGCGGCACCGGGAAATTCCACCGCAACGACACGCCAGCCCATCTCTCCAACGATTGACCTAGCAGGCATCCGTGCAATCCAGTGGCATCGCGGCCAACGCAATGCGTTCGACAAAGTGCCTCGTTGACGAATTGGTGTGTCCAGACGAATAAACATGCACACGTAAATTGATCTCTCTCCACAAACACAATGTGGTGGAGGTGGCTCAGTATGAATCGGGGGCGGCAGTGTCCTGGTCCGATACGACCGATTCGTCGACTTGATGCGCCACAATTCTTGCCACCACGGTGTCCCCCGTGACGTTAATGACAGTCGCTATTCGGTCGACGAGCCAGTTAATCCAAACCAGGAACGAAATCGAGGTAGGGAACGACTCGACTTGGACGGCGGTCCAGATGCTGTACAACGTGATGGGGGCTGAATTCGGGAGCGGTAGTGTCACGACCGACGACACGATGCTCAGCGCGAGGATGTACGGGTAGCTCGCCGGTGCGATCGAAATGTTGGCGATCTTGGCGATAAACACCATGGACATGGGGAGGTACAGCGCACACCCGTCCTTGTTTAGCGGCGCGCCCAAGATGACAGTGAATCGAGCGACGGACGAGCTGACTTGCTGCGTGTTTTCCACACACCGCAGCGTGAATGGAATTGTCGCCGCCGACGACGAACTGCTAAACGCAAACAATTGCGCTGGCAAAATCGACGACAGATACGCGTACGGGTTGATTTTGGTCGTGACGAACAAGAACAGCGGCAAGACCAGCCCTGAATAGATGGCGATCGCCGACACGTACGCGACGATAAAGTACACGCACGGCAGGAGGAAGCTATCTTTCGCAGTCGCTTGGCCTTCCGCAAACGCACCGGCCACCAACGTGCACAACGGAATCGGAGACATGACGAGGAGCCACTCGGCAAAGAGTTCACACACAAAGTTCACTTGGCGGAGCAGATCCATCACGTGGTGTGTCCCAGTCGAGTTTTGGCGGTAGTTTTTGCACACGGCGGCTCCGAAGATGACGGCAAACATGGCGATGCTCAGGATGTTGGTCGACACCATGGCGCGGACAACGTTGTCCGGGATAATGTCGTTGCTCAGGACAAGCAGCGCCTGGCCAACTTTGGTCGACGGAATCGAGTTGGGATTCGGGTTCTTCGAAAACACGTTGTTGGTGTCTTTCATCACAAACAGGGACGACGACATGTTCGCCCCATTCGGCTTACTCTCGCACGTCACGACGCCCGAAGCAGACGCCGTGATGAAGTTCATGTTGCCTGGACCACAACGGAGCGATGCCAACCCAGGCGTGATGTCGGTCTTGAATTCCAGGGGCGTGAACTTGCTTTGAAACGCAAGGGCCATCGCGAGCCCAACGCACGCAGCAAACAACTTCGTCAGAAGAAAGTACCCCAGCACACGCCACGCAATGCGACGGCCTTTGCCGATACGTAGGATCTCGGCAATGCCGAGCGACATGGACGCAAACACCATCGGGACCACGATACAAAACACCGCTCGCAAGTAGAGCCCTCCGAGGAGTCCAATCCAATGCGCCATCGTCGGGGAAATCGTTCCATCTTCCATGTAGCTGCCCCAATTGACGAGAACTGCGCCGATTGCGATGCCTGCCATGACTCCCCACGACATTCGCATGTTGGCGCGGCTATATGCTGCAATGCTCATGTGCTTACTCCCGACAGCGTACGCCGCCTGGCCAATCGACACAAATTTGTCGGGGACTTGCTTTGGAGGAATTTGATGAGGTTGGTGCGACTGGGGCGCCTGGTGGTGGTGCCGCTGGTGGTGGGGGAAGTGGTACATGGGCGATTCGTCGCGCGTATCGAACTTCTTCGCTGTTTTCCTTGTAAAGTCATGGCTGAGCTCGGTGTAGTTGGTGCTCGTGGGCTGGCCCGGCGACTCGGCAGGCGGAAGGTCGCCGCTGAACAGGATGATCTTGGGCCGCGACGATGCCATCTCGTAACGAGGAAGAACTGGTTGTGGCGGGGCAGTACACTCGCAGCGGGCGGTAGCTGATCCGCCCCATTACTACAGAGGCCCTCTGCCAATGACAGCTTCTCCATTCGTACCATCTGGCCAACGGAAGCGGTGGGAGCCCCACTTCGGCCAATGCACACCCATGACTCACCGTGACCTGCACCGCGACTTCCGAGCTCAACTGGAGCACGCCTCGGTGACCTGCACCCCCTTCTGCCGCTGCTCGCTCGCACATAGGTCGCGGACATGTTCCTCCGCATTCTCTGTCTCTCCCTGGATGAACCAAGATGCAGCAACGTTTGCAATGGTGACTTGTTGTGTGGTGAGCCATTCATTATTACACTGTACCTTACCACGGGGGGAAGCCATGAATTTCGCTCATATTAGCGGTGTCTCGGTTGCAGGAACTACCTTCGTTTGACGAAAGGAAATGACATCGACGACATGCGAGGCTTGGATGCGCACTCTCGTCCGGCTGCGCTTGTTTGCGCACACGGCTCCCCGGCGGTCGAGAATGACCCTGCTAGGCAGAGCGAATGACGACAAGTTGTATTATCTAGACGATTATCCGTCCTGGTGAAATTCCCACATTGCCAGGATATTGCTCGAATTTCGAGGAGAAACAGGATCGCCCGACCTCTACCAACGAATTATATCCCAACAACGGTTGGAGGGCTCAGTGCTGCTCGTTGGCAAGTAGTGCACGTTATCCTGTCGGCAGCTCGTACTGCCTTCGCATGCTTGATTGGTACTTGTTGCTAGTAGGTAGGTTGCTCGTGACGGTGCGTGGAGCTGGTCGGATTTGCATGATGTTGTGGGCTCAAATTACCACGAGGTCCAACAGAACGGATTGTTCGGACAAGCACGCGACAGTGAAGGTTGCGTCGAGTTGGAGTGGACGGTCGAGAGCGATTCACTCGTCGGGCTGTTCGCCTGGGAGCATGCATGGAGACCCGTCCCAGCAACCACGTCGATTTTGAAATCCATTTTGATCGCGAGGCATATTCCAAACTCCACACTTGATGACTGAACAGCACCACTTGGGTTTTTACCAAATTGTGAAACTTGCCAGAAAAACGGTGAAAAATGGGGGGAAATATTGAAAAAATGTATGAAATTTTGGCTACCGCGCTGTCGTTTTGACGAATTTTGCGAGTTATTTTGCACAAAATGTCAACTTGGACAGTTCTCAGCCAGCCAACGCGGAAAATCGGGAATCGTCCGGATAAGGTTTGGATGGCAAAAATTGAATGGTGTTGGAGGGCGCCGGTGTTAAAAGCATTAAGCATTCGTCTTCTTCCAGTGTGCCGCTCTAGTTGAAAACTATGGTAAGTCCATCATGTAGACGCTCTCGACGACGATGATCCAGCCTCATTCGAACGCTGGATCTAGCCTCGTGATCTTCTCCACCCCTCTGCCACCGAAGAGCGCAGCAAGCACAAGCTTAAGCGTTTGGTACAATCCCCCAACTCGTTCTTCATGGACGTGAAGTGCCCCGGTTGCTTCAACATGTACGCCCTTGAGATGAGCCGAGCGATATCGTGCTTATTTCTCCGTCTTTAGCACTACCGTCTTCAGCCACGCCCAAACCGTTGTGTTGTGCGGCAGCTGCAGCGTCATGCTTTGCCAACCCACCGGCGGCAAGGCTCGTTTGACCGAAGGTTGCTCGTTCCGCAAGAAGACCGATTAAATGTAGTTCTGGAGTAAAAGGCCCGTCCTGTTGCGATCTGTCACGACGACGTACGTTTGTCTTGCTATTGCGGCGACTTATGCAGGATCGCGCCCCCTTACGACAACGTGTGTATAGGTGAAATGCCGACTTTGGACTTCTCAACTGTTCTCTCGTGGAGTCAGCCTCGAGGGGGTTTAGTTTAAACATTTGGAATAAAGGAGACGATCTGGATCCATTGTGTATTAGAATGGCCACGCCGCTCTCAACTTCACAAGCACGCGGCTCCCGCGACGGCCACCGACGGTGGTCGCAACTCTAGGAGCTGTGCATGTAATGGTACATTTGATCTTGCAGCCGGATCGTGGTGGCCGACGAAATGGCCGTGCCATCAAGAATTACTGGGAAGCGTCAAGCTGTCAGGAGTATTCGGTTGGATACATGAGGCTGGCGTACCTTCCATCTCGATGTCGTAGCTGAATTTGTTGTTGGCCGTAAAGTGTAAATTCCCGTAGATCGCTTGCGAGCTGTTAACCGCGATGGGCTGCTTGAGCAAAAGGCGGCACTGGTACCAATGGGTCCCTGTGTCCCACGGTCCCGTCGAGAGCACAACGGTGGCATTCGTCCCGATGAAATCGACCGTGAACCAGCACGCGAGGCCATGCATGATGGCTAAGTCCCCTCCGTCCGTGAGAGAATGTAACCACAGAGAGCCATGGACGAACCTGTTTTGTTGCACTCGAAGCGAAACGGGATGTCGAAGGTGTGGAATTCGTCCTCCGTGATCGAGCGAAAATCAAGCACGCGCTCGACCGGTGCCGACGCCATCAGAATCGACGGTGAAAAGTACCCCACGATGGGCTGCGAAAAGTGGTTCTCCATTGCTTCATCCACCAAGCAGTTGAGGTCGAGGCCGTAGAAGTTTTGCTGCCGCCAGAACGACACCTTGGCCATTTGTTCTTGGTAAATACTGTCGTCTGTGAATGGGCACACAAACATGGTTCCCGTCGACGGGAACATGAGACCGCCGGGCTTCATCCACTTCGTCCGACCGAGTACATAGGTCTCAAGCATGCGCTCATGTACGAGGAAGAACCCCATCGGTTCAGAGATCACGATGTCCACCTTTTCCGGCAACTTCACGTCCTCCATCTTTCCCTTGATCACGACGATCTTGTTCGCCATACCGTTGTGGTCCATGAGCTTACGCGCGCATTCTGCCATCGCGCTCAGCTCCACAGCGTACACACGCTTCGCGCCAGCTTTGATTGCAAAGTACGCGAGGATTCCCGACCCTGTACCAACGTCCAGCACGACTTTGCCGTTGAAATCCGAAGCGTTTTGAAGCATTGCGCGCTCGTACGTGCTAGTCCGCACGTGGTCTTGCAGCATGTTCTGCTGATGCAAAAGCATGCCGTAGTACTGGGAGAAGGGATTGTCGTCGACTTCGTTCTTCGCCAGACCTGCGGCATTACCCGCGGCAGATACGCCATGAGGCTTGGGCATACTTGGCCCCTCGTTTCCAACGCTTGATGCGTCTCGAATTTCGACCCAATCTCGTGACAATATGACACCTTTAAAATAAACTCGAATTTTTCACCAATTTTTCACATAACGCCGTTGGAGTGAATGGGTCGAGTGGCGGCACCAGGGTGGAGCGACGATGGCGACGACGTCTGCGTCAGCAAAGTCCATGGGCACCGCGGCACAAGCTACCCTCGGGATACACCTGCCTCGCTTCTCTCGCCTCGTTTCGCCGATTCGAAGAGATGCGACGTGTACAAACACGAAGTTTCGTATGTCGACAACCTCATGACATCCTTGCAACTCGTGGTGTTGAACTGCGAACAGTGTGCTCTCCAAAACACAAAACGAAATCCGCATATGCCAGAGAAGGTTGGTGCGCATCAAGGTGATCTTGCGAGAACTCTCGTGTCCGACGCTAGCGCCATCACCCGAAGTGTACGTCGCAATTGCGAATGTTGCACAATCGATAAAGGACGATGCTGCGTAGTATTCATCCCTGCAAAAGTGTGCTGAAGTCGAGCTGGAAAAGGTAGGCATGGCGCGGGTGACTTGCCCAATTATTGACATCCCCGTGCCATGCAGGTGAAGCGAGAGCGAGCTGACAAGTTCTCTGTGATCTCGCAAAACGTCAAGCGCCTTGAAATTCAAATCAAGGCCGCTGCTCCTCCTCCAAAGCCCGCGGCGGTCGTGACGACCCCAGAGGTCAAACCTGCTGTCGCCGAAGAGCCGCCGTCTCCACCTCGGACCCCACCCGCAACGCCGCTTGCGTCCAGCCCAGCGCCGTCAATCCCACCGACTACAGTGACCTCTCTCGCACCCAAGATCGTCCCAGAGAAGCCGCAAGAAGTTGCTCGCCCCGCATCTCCAGAATTGTATATCGTCACTGCCAAGGGCCGTATGGAAAACCTCACGACTCTCGAGGCTTCTATCGTCCCATTCGCAGACAACCAAGACCCTAACGTCAAGCGCATTCGAGTTCTTCTCAAGAAAAAGGTCCGTCCCTCATCATATCCTTCAGTTTTGTCATGCCAAGTAGCTCGGTGAAGCGTGCAACCAGATCGCGAACTCGCTTTCGTCCATCCGTCTTGTCGTCGATAAAATTCGCCAGGCGTTTGGGGTACACTAGCAGCCTCTTTGACTCGCCCCCAGCTAACAATGAGTCCATCCGTTGCCTAGGAAGCAAAAGCGGCGGGGGAGATATACTTTAACTTCGCACTCAACTTTGTCGCGTCCAAGATGGCGGCCCAAGTCCGCGTGTTGGCCGAAGTCAGGTACATACCACATACGATGAGTGCCATTTCTTGACTGGCGCTGGCTGGGCAGCTCGTGCTTTCCCATCGCCAACGTCGTGGCCATGTGCTGTGTCCACACACCCGAGTTGACCGATATCTTCTTGGCCCACATGCACACGGTACCATTTTCACCGCGTCGACCGATGCGCAAGTCCAGTAAGGACTGCTTTGGCGTAGATATGCCCGTACACGATTCCTCTCGTGCCCGTGCGAACGGAAGGCCAAACGGACGACGAATATCGAGTGTCGATTGGCATGGAGCGCGACGAGGCCAAAGGAACGTTTGAAGCGTTTGAAAAATACACACAACGCATGGCGATGGCCGTCGCCTTGGTCATGGCTGTCATGCAGGTACGTCGATCGATCGCATGTTTCAACGTATGCTCACGCAACATGGTAGACCCACCCGTATGACCGCCAGCCCCAGTCAACACACCTGACCATTGCAGACGCGTGGAGGTGGATGGCGCGGGTCGTGAACTCGGCGCCACATGCGATGACGGCCCCCGTCTTGCTCTCTGCTTTCGAGGTAGCGCTTTTTCAGATACGTCCATCGCACTGAGCAAATTCCCTGAGGTCGCCGGGTTCGAGTTGCATCGCCAATACAAGTCGCAGTTTCTCAAGCTCGCAAGTGTCGTTGAGTCGGCAGTCGTGCCCATCCTGAGTCGGGTACGTTCAGCATTATGTTGATTCTTGAGCTGATCGATGGCTCGCCAGGACGTGAAAAGCGGCGGGGCGGCCACTTTAGCTCGGTTGACTACAATCCTCACCCAACGCGGGTTTCAAATTGAGCCGGAAGGGCGAAATCCCACCGAATCCAAGGTCACCGAAGCAGATGAAGAAAAGACCGCCAACGATGACGTCTCGCCCGGGTACGGGTCGTCGCGGTATAGCAACAATTATTCGGGCGGCGGTGGCCGTGGACGCGGCAGAGGTCGAGGAAGTTATCGCTGACGGAATGGGACCACGTCGCGCCTTTATTTGAGAATTCTTTATTCGGTGGCAAACTTTGCCACGAGTTGCTGGAGTTGCTCTGCTCGCGCGAGTTCCGACTTGACGTTGTTCCCAATGAACCACACAGTCATGGCCGCACACACATAGTACACGGCGCACAACGGAATGGAGTTTCGGATGAAAGTAGAGGCGACGCCGTACACACGCAATAGCAACCACATCCCCGTGTGGACAACGCACAGAGAAAAGCACAATGAGTGCCCTGTACCAGTCGCCAAGACGAGCTCCTTGACAGAGTAGATGGCAGCACATGACACCAGCTTCATCAAGACAAGCACAGCAAGGACACCTGCGGTCTCCGCGGTGTTCGACGCCACCGTCGTCAACAGCACATACAGCTCGTACACGGCCAACATATACGCCAAGGCGGCAATCATTTGCTACACGAACTGTACATGAATCGCTGCCACTCGTTCACTGATCGGCCCTACCTTCCAGAATTGGTTGAACGCATCCACGTTGTCCTGCGACTGGCGCAGGTGATCTGTGCGTCCCCACACTACAGTTAGATGCAAAAGCCTGGACGGAATGCAGTTTACCGCTCAAGGGCGACGTCGAGGTGTAGCTGGATGTCTCCACGTCGAACGCGTCGTCGTGGGTAATGCCCGCGAAGCGGCGTTTGCGACTCCGAAGTCCCATGGCAAAACTTTCAAATTTGAAATCGCTTTCTAATACAACGTTTTAGTAGTCGCGTTCGAATAGTACTACTACACCGCAAATTCGAATAAATCAGTCTGTGAAAATTAATAAACTCGTCTTGATCGCAAGATTCTCGAATTTTGTTGTTGGCCAAGGACGCGCGGTGGAGCTCGCCGCGATGGAAAACGATCCATATGCACAAGAAGAAGAGATGGAGCGTGAAGCCCTCATGCGTGCGTCCTTCCAGCCCATGAAAAAGTGGTATGCCGACCACCCCGAACATTCTGAGACGTATGGACCGTTCCCGTTGTTTTGGCAAGATTTGAAGACGTGGGGTCCTCATCGCGACGTTCAACGCTTGTTTCTCAAAGCTACCGAAACGGCCAGTGACAGTCAGAAGGCGAGCCCCGAAGACGGTGGTGATAGTGGTGCCAAGCCTGAGCAACCCATTGAGGAAGATGCAGCAGCCAAGGGAAAACGTCGTCGGAAAAGCAAATGGGATCAGGACGGCGATGAACCATCAAATGAAACCCCCACGACCATAAATGCGACGGCACCTGCGCGAAAGAGTCGCTGGGGCGCTGCCGTGGAGTCGAACGAAACAGAAGAAGCACCTCCAGCAGCCCCCAAGAAGAAGAGCCGATGGGCGCCAGTCGGATCGTCAGCCGATGGACCAGCAGTAATGTCCGCTGCCGAACAGCAATCGATCGTGTTGCGGGCAAAGCTAGATGCTCTTGCGTTGAAAATGGCGACAGTGGTGCAGGACGCTGCGATTATATCCAAGGATCCGAATCGATCTCCGTCACCTCCCCCAGTCTACGACTCGATGGGGAAGAAGCTGAACACGAGAGAGGCGCGCATGCGCGCGGCATACGAAAGCCAGCGCATGGATATCATCGGTCAGTTGGTCCAGGTGAACCCGCTTTTCAAGCCACCGCCAGAGTACTTGCGCGCGCGGCTGCAGCGGAAGCTCCCAATTCCGCACAAGGAGTACCCCACTTATAACTTCATTGGGCTTATCATTGGACCGCGCGGGAACACTCAAAAGCGCATGGAAAAGGAATTCAATTGCCGCATCGCGATTCGAGGACGGGGAAGCGTCAAAGAAGGCTCCAAGGGCAAGAAAATGATGTCGGACGACCACGAAGAGCTCCATGTCCTGATCACAGGCGACCGCGAAGAAGACATTGAGCGTGCAGCAAAGGAAGTGGCCCGTTTGTTGGAGCCCATTGATGACACGAACAATGCCCACAAGCAAAAGCAACTGCGCGAACTGGCACTAATCAACGGGACCCTGCGAGACGACGACTACTGCCATATTTGTGGGGAGAAGGGCCATCGGCAATGGGAGTGTCCGAATCGTGATAAGGCGTTCAAACCAGTTGACGTGCGCTGCGCAATCTGCGGGGACACGAGCCATCCCACGAGCGATTGTACCCAAAAGGGCGGCGAAGACAAAGCCGTCATCGACAAGGAGTACTTGTCCTTTATGGAGCAATTGGGCGAATCCAAACCAAACGTTATTTCAACGGCGACAATTACCGCGACCACCACCACAGAAACCCCGCCGGCGACGACCCAAGCGACCGCGCAGGGCTGGAATGGGGCCGCCACTGTTACACCAGTTGCGATTGGGACGACGCCCGAAACAGCATTCCCTCCCCCCACTGCTGCCACGGCCGCAGTAGCCGTGGGTTACGGCGGGTACTACAGCCAACAAGCCCAATGGGATCCAGTTTCACAGCAATGGGTCGCGCCTGCCGCCGCTGCTGTGTCCCCTGAAATTGCCGCCTACTACGCCCAGTACTTCGCCGCTGGCTGGACGCTGCAGCATGGGGTATGGTACGATGCAACTGGAACTCCACAAGGATATGCCCAAGAAGTGCCGCAGGGGTATGCCCACGAGCAGTACCAACAACAGCAGCCAGAAACGAGTGACCAAAAGCCCACCGACGCCCAGCACTTCATGAATACCATGAGTAATTGAGGGGCTATTCGTAGTACATGGCTGTTTGAAATGTCAGCGATAAACGCACTTCCAAACTTTGCCCGCCACCGAGGTAGTGGAAGCGGCGAATTTTTCTGTATCACTTTGATGCTTTACAGTGTCATTTTGGATTGATCCGACCCCACGTCGTTGGATTTTCTCTTAAAAATGTGTCAAAAAATTGCTGGTTGGTGGAATTCGACACGTTGAAATAGGAGCACCTTGCACGCGCATCATGACGGCATCCTTCGAGTAAGTTGCATGCCTCTCCCCACAGTGATCGTCGCTTGCCGATCCTGAGCATGCCATGCTTAATAGCATCGACTCCACCAAGTCACCCAACGACAAGAAGCACTATCGCTTGCTCACGTTGGAGAACGACCTGCAAGTTCTGTTGATCCAGTTTCAACCTAACACAGACGATGACGATGGCGGCTGTGACGAGGATGCTCAGAGCGGAGATGACGACGATGACAGCGACGATGGAAAAAACGACGGACAAGACGAAGGCTCTGACGACGAAGATGACGACATGGATGCGAGTACCAGTGGACGGCGTTCGGACGTGTCGATGGGAGGTCATACCAAGGAAAAGTCGTCGTCCAGCCGTCGTGCAGGTGCATGCTTGACAGTAGGCGTCGGAAGCTTCTTCGAGCCACAAGACCTCGGGGGCTTGGCTCACTACTTGGAGCACATGCTGTTCATGGGTACGACATGTTGTTCGCGAGTTGCGCTGTGAACACCAACATCCATAGGGAGCGAGAAATACCCCGATGAGAACGAATTCGAATCGTTCTTGAGTGCTCATGGCGGCTACAGCAACGGAGAGACTGACTGCGAGCGCACGAGCTACGTGTTTGAGGTCGGCCCGGATCACTTGGAGCGCGCCCTCGACATGTTTGCACACTTTTTCATTTCGCCACTCATGAAAGCCGACGCAATGGACCGAGAGTTGTGCGCCATCGAGTCCGAGTTCAACCAGGCGACTCAAAGCGATCAAATTCGTCTGCAGGTACGTCGGTATTGCCTCGTGCTTGGAAGCTGACCATTGCCGTGCAGCAAGTTCTCGCTGCCACGTCCGACGTAACCCATCCGTTCCATCACTTCAACTGGGGCAACATCAAGTCTCTCCGTGATATCCCTCTGTCTCAACAAATCGACGTTCGCGCTAGAGTGCTGGATTTTTACAACACCCAGTACTCCGCCAACCTGATGAAGCTCGTCGTGTGCGGCCACGACCCACTCGACGACATGGAGTCGTGGGTCCGTCGATCGTACACCCCCATCAAGAACAAGTATATTGCGCCGCGCTCGTTTGCAGCACTGCCCCCGCCGTTCGGCAAATGTGCCGATGCCCGCCCTGCACAATGCAAAATCCTTCCGCTCAAATCCATCCACTCGGTCTCACTCTTGTGGTTTCTGCCGCCCTTGACTGGCCACAACCACCTGAAGCCGCACGATTACGTTGCGTCCATCTTGGGCCACGAAAGCGAAGGATCGATTTTGTTTTTGGTACCCGTGTTTTTCGACCGATGAATCACGCAGACTGACCGTGTCGGTAGCTCAAGAGTCTTGGGTGGGGTCTCTCCATGTCGGCAGGTCTCACGGAAGATCACGGCTACGACTACGGAACGTTTGGAAGCGTCTTCACGATCGAAATCAAGCTTACGCTCGATGGCCTGGCGCACTATACCGACGTAGTGACAATCGTGTTTCAGTTCCTCAGCATGATGAACGCGAGTCCGTTGCCAGCGTGGATATTTGACGAAGCCAGGGCCATTTCGGAATTGAATTTTCAATTTCAAGAAGATCAAGATGCAATGGAACAATGCGAGGAAATGGCCGCGTTGATGCAGGTGCGACCACCTCTCGTGCTGGGCGAATACAAAGAAAGACAAACCGGACTGCCATGCCTGACTCGAATCCTTGTCGCGCTAGGGCATGTACCAAATCCCTGCGCAAGACCTCCTGCAAACGAACGTGATCAAAGGGGTTTTTGATGCAGCGAGTGTGCACTCAGCAGTCTTGCAGCACCTGACGGTCGAAAACGTTCGCGTGCATGTTGTGTCGAGCTCATTTGCAGATGCGGCCGTGGCGTTCAAGGTACCGCTTCCCGCTGAGAGTATGTTGTGCGCTGACTCGATTGCGCGTCAGGAAGAAGAGTGGTTTGGGGTCAAGTACATTTACGAGCCGATCACGTCGGATGTAGTCGCCGCGTGGTCCAACTGCGGCGTGAACGCCAAGCTGCGGTACCAAGACCCGAATCCGTTCATCCCGACCGACCTGTCTTTGGTCCCGCTCGACTCGAACGACGATCTTGGAAACGCCCCTCGGCGCATTCACGGCGACGCCGTCTGGTACCATTCCGGTGCGCCGTTTCGGACCCCCCGGGCCCACGTTGTGTGCTATGTGGCAAACCCGAACATTGTTGAATCTGCCAAGTCCATGATGGCCAGCGAGCTTTACCTCCGCCTCGTCAAAGACTCGCTGAACGCTTACTCGTACCACGCGCAAGTGGCGCAATTGACGTTTGATCTGCACGTCAAAGAGGCCGGGTTTGAGTTATTTGCATGCGGCTTCAACGATAAGCTCCCTCAGCTCGTACGTGTCATGGTGAACCAGCTTGTGGCTCTCGACTTGATCGAGTCCCGATTTGACGTGATCAAAGAAGAGCTCGTCCGTCAATACCAGAACGCGCTGCACAAAGGCCAAACAAAGGCCAAGTTTTTGAGGCTGCATCTTCTAATTGACACGTCGTTTTCGCACCAAGAACTCGTCAACGAGTTAGTTCCGTTCACTGTACAAGACATGCGTGCCTTCATCGCGCACGATCTGTGGCGTTTAGGGGCCCGAGTCGTGGGGATGGTGCACGGAAACCTGTCGAAAGCTAACGCTATCGAACTCATCCACGGAATGTCCGCGACAATCGCCAACGTGGCGCCACCCGTGGCGAAAGGACACGAGTGGGTCCCGCGCCTCGTCCGTGCCATTGCCCCGTCGTCCAACACGATCGTTTGGGACACGAGCGAACACGACCAAGACGTGAATACAGTGTGCGAATTCTATTTCCAGATGACAAACCACACGATCGAAGGCCTGGCGCTAGCAGACTTGCTGCATTCGATCATGGAAGAGCCGTTGTTTGACGTGCTTCGGACCCAGAAGCAACTGGGGTATGAAGTGTCATGCACGGTGCGAGTGACCCATGGCATCTTGGGGTTTGGCATTACGGTCGTGTCGTCATCGACGACGTCCGCGTCGATTGCAGCCGAAATCGATGCGTTTCTAGACGGATTCCGCCAAACGCTCGACGACATGCCGGCGAGCGAATTTCAAGCGCACGTTGACTCGCAAGTCCAGCTGAAACTCGAACCCGACGTGACCATGATGGCCGCGACCGATCGATTCTGGACGGAGATTTCGACACAACGTTGGGCGTTTGACCTGAACAAGGACTTGGCCACGTGGCTGCAATCCCAGCACTGCACCAAGCCAAAGCTCATTCGGTTCTTTTCCAAGTGGTTTGGTCCAACTGCCCGGAAGCTGCAAGTGCGCATTGTCGGCCAGAACGCATCCACCCGACAGAACGACGTGCCTCCGGCGACTTGCGTGCGGTCTAGCGGCATCGTGCAGCTCAAGGCGTCGCTGGCCCTGCACAACGAGTCCAAAACGATCAAGTAGACGATGTAGCCTTACTCGGAACGCGATGCCACTTCCCTCCATGTCATTCGACAGTATGGAAATCGTAGTCCAGCAAGCTCATGGAGACCCACATCGCTTCGTCGGCACATTCTATATTAAGGCGCAACGAGATTTTCCAGACGGTCATTAATCGTCTCCACGATGTCGAGCATGTCACTGGATGCATTCAAGTCTCCAAACGACAGGCGGCTGTACCGACTGACTGTCCTGCCCAACGGACTCCAGGTGCTGCTGATCCAATGTCAGTCTGGCGGGGACTTGTCCTTTGACGATGGTTCAGTGATCGGGGTCCATGGCGCTGCACACGGCGCTGCATGTGTCACCGTCGAAGTCGGCAGCTTTGCAGATCCGCCTCATCTACAAGGCTTGGCCCACTATGTGGAGCACATGCTGTTTTTGGGTACGCTACCGCTCACGCATCCATGCTGTGCATCGTGCTCACGTTGGAATTTCAGGCAGCACAAAGTACCCCGATGAAAACGAGTTTGAGGCGTACTTGAGCACGCATGGCGGGTACACCAACGCCACAACAGACTGCGAATCGACGTCGTTCGTGTTTGAAGTAAATGCAGCGGGGTTCGAGCATGCGCTCGACATGTTTGCCAACTTTTTTGTCGCCCCGCTTCTCCATGTCAACGCGATGGAGCGGGAGCTGTGTGCCATCGCCTCGGAGTTTCAGCTGGCATCGCAGAACGATCACGTTCGCATGCAGGTACGGCAAACGGAACCCACTACGTGGTACCAACACGGAGTGTTAGCAAGTGCTATGTTGGCTGTCACCACGTAGCCACCCGTACCACAACTTCAGCTGGGGAAATCAACTGAGCCTTGGCCCACAACCTGGCAAGACGAGCATGGCCGACACGAACACAGCCCTTCGCGAGTTCTTTGAGAAGTACTACACGGCCAACGCGATGAAACTTGTGGTGTGTTCGACGCAAGACCTCGATACCTTGGAAGCGTGGGCAGCGAACTCGTTTGGTGCTGTGCGGACGGGACGGGCTACTCCATCCTACCGACAAGACGGATCGCCCTTCCATGCGATTCAGTCCCAGCTCATCAAGATGATTCCGCTCCGAGATATGCATGCCATGCACATTTACTTTGCCTTGCCGCCGCTGCTGGGCCTTCACCGCCAGAAGCCAGCAGAGTACATCCGGTACATCGTCAGCAACGAGTGCAACGGGTCGCTCATCTCGACGGTGCATGCCGGACCCAGTTGAAAACTCCTCATCCGTCTCGCTCGTAGTTGACAAAGGTCGGGTGGGCGACAGCGATTGTCGCGGGGGTGTCCGACACCGACGGCTACGAGTCTGGGTCGTACGGTTCCCAGTTCGAAGTTGAGCTCACGCTGAGCGACCAAGGGATTGAGCACTGGGACGAGATTGTCGAGCACGTGTTTGCGTGTGTAAACTTGCTCAAGCAGTGCCCCGACCTACCCGCGTGGGTCTTTGACGAGTTGAAGGCGTCGTCGGAGCTAGCGTTCTTGTACAACGAACCAGTCGATCCCCTCGTGGCGTGCAAAGAGTTGTCCCGGCTAATGCAATCCCGAAACAGCGTCCCTCTCGACGACCTCCTCCGAACAAGTTTGTTTCAAGGCCCGTTCCAACCGGATCTGGTGCGGCTGCTGCTGCCGGCGTTTTCGGTCAAGAGTCTTCGGGTGGTTCTCCTGTCGAGCTCGTTCGAGGATGACAGAGACGTCATGTGGACAAAGGTGTGTGGCTGTGGTGCGACCAGCATGCGTCACGAGCTGGGTGTAGGAGCCATGGTTTGGCACGCGCTATACTTGCGAAACCATCGACCCGCGCCTGGAAGACACGTGGAGTCAGTCGAATCCCATCCATGCGCAATGGCCATGGCGAAATCCATACATCCCGACGGATTTCCGATTGATGATGGCTCCATCGACCACGGCAATGGTGGTGCCGTATCGAGTTCGCGGCCACGACGACTTGTGGGTCCTGCCTGACTTGACATGTGGTAGTCCCCGCGTGAATGCGTGCATCCATGTCGCGCTTCCGACGGTACACCGATCGGTGGACGCTCTCGCCTGTGCCCTGATGTACTGCGAAGTGGTCAATCACGCCCTCCGGGAGCACCGATACCTCGCCGAGTGCGCTGAAATGGTCTTTGACTTGACTGTGCACGATTTCGACTTGGAAGTGTTGTGTCGTGGGTACAGCCAGCACATCGGGACTCTCTTGTCGATGATCTTTCAAACCCTCGCGGCTGGCACCGTCGACGTGACTCGATTTGATACGCTTCGTCGTGTATTTGTGCAAAACCTGCACAACAAAGATTTGGAGCCAAGCGAGAAGTCCCGGCACTTGCGCTTGCTTGTGCTCGACAGCACTGCAGTCGAGACACACGGCATTTGCGCGGCAGTCGAAGCCATGTCTGCCAGCACGCTCGCATCGTTCGTCAAGTCAGACATGTTTACCAACGCGCGCATCACAGGATTCTTCCATGGCAATGTCGACGACACGTGCGCTGAAGCGATGTGGGCACTGGTGAAGCAGCACGTTGCAACCGCCACGGCGCGAAGTTCCGACGCGCCAAGCATCCACACTCTGGACAAAAAGCCCCACGCACTGGTCCTTCCTACGTCACCGTTGGGGCGAGGTATTCTCGTACGGCAGCCCAGCGAACACGTCGAGGAAGTCAACTCGTTCGTCGAAATCTACTACCAACTCGGTGTGCGGGACATCGCTTCGAACGCATACGCCAACCTGATCCAACACATCATGAACGAGCCCTTGTACTCTACCCTGCGGAGTCGCGATCAAATGGGATATGATGTCGGGTGCTGCGTGCGCAACACGCACGGCGTGCTTGGGTTCAGTATCTCGGTGCAATCGTCGGCATATTCGGCCAGCGAGATAGCTCTGCGCTTGGACAAGTTCGTCCATGTGGACTTTCCATACGTGTTAGAGAGCCTGGACGACGACACGTTTGAAGCACACGTCGCGGCGCGGAAAGCAGCGTGGCATCATGCGCACCGTGCCAATCTCGACACGGCAACGTCCTTGTACTGGGACGAGATCATCTCGCAACGATTCGAATTCAACTCAAGGGACTTGTTTCTGGACGTGTTGTCGACCGTCACCAAGGCCGACTGCATTGCACGATACCACGAATGGTTTGTCGTCGCAGCGACGAGGAAAAAGATGCGCGTGCACGTCGTGGGGCAGAACCACCGTGCCACCCACATACCATTCGAGTCGATTGTCGAGGAAGACGTGGCTCCCGCTGTTGTGACCGATCTGGCCGAGTTTAAACGATCTCGGCCTTCTATCCACCGTGCTTGCGGGCCGACGTGGTCTGTATAGCCAGGGGCTCCGCCTCGTCCTCCACGACCGAGTGTGTTTGCAAGATGGACTTGTACGCACGAATCGCAGCCTTCCCGCCGTTCAACACAATATCTTTTGTCTGCCAAACGCAAATACAACTGGTTCAGCAATATGTGTGGCGGGGGGGATTTCGTCCCAACCTCGTCGAGGAGCTTGATGGCGTGATGGGCGGTCTGCTGGTATTTGGCCACATCTTTTCGGTATTCCTCGTAGAGCTCGGCGGAGTGCTGGGCAAAGTTGACAGCCTGGCCTTTCTTTGAAAACCTATGGGTCGCAGTTACGCCTCCTGGTTATACCAACACGGGCGTGAAATGACCACGCACGCTTTGCGATATGTGTCTTCGCCTCCGACCAAACACCGTTCGATGGGCGTCGTGCGTCGCAGAAAGCATGGCTTCTTGAGTCCTTCTTTGTTGGTCGCCAGGTATTCTTTCACCAACGGACTCAGCTGCGCTGCATTGAATGACGCTCGTACTTGATGAACCCGCAGGTTCGTCGACGGCTATCAACCGAACAGGCGATTCTCGATCAACGATGTATTCTGTCGACGCGCCAACTACTTTACCATGGACAAGGTCAAGTCGCTCGCCGATTTGCGCAGCATGCCGTGCCGTGGCGTTTTCGCAGCCGCGTCGGTCGAGCTGTCGTGATATTTCACCTTTCCTGCAACGTCCTCGAGCAAGTCCTCTGGAAAATACTGCTTGCGCATCATTTGGACTGAGATGGGGCACAGTTTGAGGCCCAGGAGCAACTCGCACACGATGACAAAAACCTACACAGACGTCGATGTTGCGATCGAATCAGTCGGACGCTTGTTTACCTCGTGCTTGAAGTCGTGGACGTACAGGTGCCTTGACCCAGGAAACAGGTAGTGAAACCCACTGCAAATGGACCCTGCGATTGCGTAGGGGTAGATGCGAAAGATGAGGTCTTTGTTGAGACGCAATACGGACAGCATCTTGACATAGAGCGCGCAGATCGCTTCCATTGTTTTCTCCTGGTCGGCTTCCGAGTTCTGCGCGCGCGCGCCGTCAGCATGCATGTCGGTCCTGACTGCATGGTGTGGTACCTTTTGAAAAATCCGACTAAAGACGAGCCAAAAGATTTGCTCAAATTGTGTGCACGAGAGGTCGGTCAAGGCAAACCGCTTGAACGTTTTCTTGCCTTGGACGATCCGCATTTTTTCGATCGTGTGGGACAAAAGGAGCTTCGCGTTGAGTTCGATGTTGCGTTTGTTATGGGTGTCGGACGCCGTCAAGATGCTATCGACCGTGCGGGTGACGTGGCGCTCGATGCTGACCTGGAGCTGCTTCTCCAGCTGCGCACGCTTGTTCCGTCGCGTCTCCGACTTGAGCATATCGGCTTTCGATTTCTTCATCGTTTTCTGGGCACGCAGCATAAACGTCGTGCCTGTCGACGAAGAGAGTGCTTACATTACGAGTCCGGAGCTTCTCATCGGGGCCAAACAAGCGTTCGAGGAGGAGTTGGTTGCGGGCGTTTCCAGCCAGCGCGGACGTGCGCAGCCGCCCGGTCGTGGTCACGTGGTGTATTTCATACGGGTCGGGGAGTCCAGACACCTACAGCCGTTCCGCTCAAGTGTTGTAGGAATGCTCTACCACCGTACCATTCGAGATGAATGGTTCAAATTTGCTTTCAAGTCGCATTCCAAGCCGTAGATTCTGTTCTCAGCAACTGACCGCAGGGAATCAAGTCGGCTCTGAACAACGCCAATCATTTGGGCCGATATCACTTCCTTTTGCTGCAGCGTCTTCTTCGGCTCGTTGTCGTCATCCTCGAGCAGGACACTCTGCCGTCGGGCTGGCAACATCTCTGTTGGGGGCGACGCCGGTTTCGTCGAAACTCCCGATCAGCGAGAACGCTTCGTGACGGCGCACGTGCCTACGCTCACCTATAAAGCTTGTCCCAAGTGCATACATGACATTGCTGGAGGCGCGAGCTGCTGCATCACATGGACAGGGCTTTGCATCGTGGATGTCGAAATCTCACAAGTGTGAAATGCCCATACTCAGCCGCATGACAACGACACACACGCGAGTTAGTACTACTAATAGTACAACAACACGTCAATGTATTCATGCGGTGGACGAATTTTTTTCCACACCATGCACGGAGAGAAAATTTTGAACTTCTTTAAGTTATCGGTATTGAGAATACTTTTTGTGATTAACGCACTCCTCGACGTGAAAGCGAGCTACAGCAAGTAGCGTTAAACACGAATGTTGCATGTCAGACACTCTCAGGCGATTAAAAATGTTGACGCCAAAGTTTGCAAACTGCACAACATACGAAGGAGCAATTCACCACAAATTTTTTTGCAACGAGTGCTCCATCGATACACTGTTTGAATAGTGGCGAAGCACCTGATGGACCTCCTATCCGTGATAACAGCACAACTCAACGGACACGTGAAATCCCGTAATATCAAACCACGCCGATGGAATGTCCCATGGTTAGTCGCTCAATAGCTAGGTCTACTACAGTTATCGTTAACAAGTAAAAACACGGCAATACTGCTACAGTGCTGGCCATGCAAGTTTGGTATACGTCGTTTTCATGATGAACTCACCGAGGACACCGATCTAAGGCGTCCAAGCGATGTCAATGCCTTCCAGGTGAATAGGGTCCAGGTCTCCATAATTTCTCTTTGGTCTATATGGCTCGAAAACAATCAAAATCAATTTTTTGTGAATTGTTCACTTTATATTTGGCCAAGCAAGTTTGGTACAAAGCATATTCTGGTGCCATTTGAAAACAAAACGCTACCACATCACATAAACTCATTCTAGTACTTAGTGCTGGCCTCATTGCCTTGAAAGACGGCGATACAATGGGCTGTCATGGACGCCAACAGCTTCAAAAGGATGTCTTGGTCAATGGACTCACATTGACGCAAAATTTCGCGTTTGAGGTCTTCAACTCGCTCAAATTGACGTCCTCCTGTATACACTTTGCGTACCAAGATGCCCCAAACGTTTTCGATTGGGTTGAGATCTGGTGACAGGGCCGGCCAAGGCAAATGGGGACACCAATGTCCGTCAAAAATTCCTTCGTCTCATTGCTAGTGTGAATGCTCGCCTTGTCCTGTTGAAAAACGAACCCATCGGGGGGCGAAACATGAACAAAAGGCATCAGGTAGTTGGCGATAGTATCACGATACGCGGAGGAGCCTTGACGGCCTTCAAGCACAGCAACATCCGACTTCCCTTGACTTGAAATCGCAGCTCAAATCTTAACGCTTCCGCGCCGCTCTGGCGGCTCATGCAGGTCTGCTCTTCCTTGCGCATGTCATGCCAATAGAATTGCAGTCCGTCTGGCCCGTCCAGGTTAAACTTTTTCTCATCAGAGAAGACGACTTGGTTCCATCCCAACCCGAGGTCGACATGGCTTTTCGCCCACTCGACTCGAGCAAACTTGTGTGACGCTGTGAGCCTTGGCGCCGCCTTTCGTTTTTGTATTTCAGGTACGAAGTCTTGGCAAGTATACGACGCACCGTTCTAGCTGATACGCTAAGTTCCAGGTCGTGTTTAAGGCGACTGGAGCAAGAGGTGCCATCAGAGGCTGCTCGAAGTAGGCGCCTTTGCACGCGCACATTGAGTTTACAGTGTGCACCACCTCGCGAAAGAGTGCCATAGAGTTGCGGATCTGTAAGGTAACCATGAACGGTTGCTTTAGAGATTCCCAACTCTGTGGCAATCTTTCGGATGGACCATTTTGCCTTCCGAAAGGCCAAGATGGATCCACGGTCTTCGGGGGAAAGCAATTGGCCTTGCGGCATCTATTTTGGACGTATTAGTGATGATGATGGTATAGATGAACTTACCGTGGTGGTTTGATTGCTGCTGATATTGGTATGTGGTCGAATGGTCAATGTACCAAACTTGGTTGGCCAGGATTTTGAGCAGCCATTTTTTATTCTTCACATTACTCACCTAGTTTTTATCGGCTGTGACATCTAAAGCCACCAGTGTATTCAGCGTGTTGATTGGTACAAGTGGATTCAAATATCGCTCTGATTGGACAAATGTGAAGAATTTTATGAAGAATTTTGTGGTGTACCAAACTTGAATGACCAGCACTGTGATCGGTCATGTACGCCCACACGAGTCACAACTCATCATAACGATTCAATTGTCGTTTGCGCTGTCAATCAAAATCAACATTTCAGTGTCGAATCGTTGCGTGGCACGATTCAAATGTTCCATGACAAGGGCTTGTGTACCCCTACCATACCGCGCCGTTTCCAAGAAACGTTCTAAATGGTCGTGCCGCCCGTCGCAAGGCCTTCCTATCAGTGAAGACAATAAAGAAGTGATCGACCTATAGAGTCAAGCTTAAGAATCGTTGGACTGACAAGAGTCGATTTATGTGTGGCACAGATGTCTCGAAGAGCTCATGAAAGAGCGCCTTCTACCGACATTCAAAAGTTGGCGCAAGGGTATTTTGCTATCGGTTACTCTTGACGGAAAAACACTAGAAATTGGTCAAATTTGACGGAAAGGTTGATTCGACCCCCTAGCTCGACCTGTTTGAAGAACGATAAAACCTGCCCATCGACTTTAACTTACAACCAGAAAATGCATCTGCCAAGAAAATCAAGAACCTTGACCATCCCCGCCAAAGCCCCAATCTGAACGCTGTCGAGCGAATGTGGGAGTGCATGAAGCGCTGAGTTCGTTCCCATGCTACTTCATCGGTCGAAGGATATGCGAGATTGTGCTTGGGACGTGTGGGACGATAAAATGTCGAGGGATATTTTCACATTCTTGTCAGTAAGATGTACTTGGAGTAGAAATTTTTGAAAAACACTATATGTACGGTCATTTTCTTGAATCACCTACAAGCTTTAGACTCGAGACTTTGAGGGCATATTCACAATGAAGTCATCATCATATCAAGCGCTTAATGGCACGAATCATGCTGGAAAAACATGCTGAACATGCGATGGTCATCCGTAGTATTACTAAGTCATCATTGCTTGCAAAACTCAATAGGGAATACATATAACAAGTGAAAGGAGATGAATCCCTGCGATATATGCAACTTGACCAGGTTGTCCGGATAGAGTTGCAGGATTCATTGGGGCAATGGAGACGCCGACTCCTCCCCAGAAGCGTCCGCGGAACTCCGCCGCACCGTCGACGGGGAGCGGTGCCAAGGCCAAAGCAAAGGCCAAGGCACCTCCGGCAGCGAAGGCTGCATATGGATCTCAAGCTGCATCGGATACATCCACGCCGAACAATCACACCAGTTCAACCACTGTCGCGTCCAATGTTCCAGCCATGTATATGGGGTTGCCGATGTACATGCCGATCAATCCGTACTTAAAACGACCGCCGCTTACGATGCACGGCATGTCCATCGATCCCGCCAGCGCGATAGCGATGAACGCCAAGTCGAACGCGACCCAGAAAGGGGATGCATTGACCAGTGGCAAGGGAACGTCATCGTCCCCTGCAGGAACGCGGTACGACAGTTCCCTGGGTTTGCTCACCAAGAAGTTTGTGTCGCTCATTCAAAACGCAACCGACGGCAACTTGGATCTGAACCAGGCGGCAATCTCGTTGGGCGTGCAGAAGCGCCGCATTTACGACATCACGAATGTGCTGGAAGGCATTGGGTTGATTGAAAAGACGAGCAAAAACAATATTCACTGGAAAGCGGGGGCGAGTGGGGCGACTTGCTTGACGAGTGGCGGCGGCGGCGAATCGGAATCGGACAACGACGGCACCGCTGTGCCGTCTTCGCTGACCCGAATGGAAGAGTATTCCAAGGTGAATGAAGAAACGCAGAAGCTCGTGGAAGAAGAGAAGCTGTTAGAGCACTACATTCGCCACATGACAATCAGTGTGAAGCAGCTCAACGACGAAGGCGGAGGCGATGATGCGTCCGGCGGGTGCAGCTTCATTTCACATCAAGACATTCGCGCGATGGAGTCGCTGGCGGATCAGAGCATCATGGCAATCAAGGCGCCACCGGGGACGACGCTGGAAGTGCCCGACCCGGACGAAGGCATGCCTCCTGGAAGCCGAAGATTTCAGATCTTTCTCAAGAGCAACGAAGGCCCGGTGGATGTTTATTTAGTTAGCCAAGCATCTACTGTGCCCGACCCGACCGAGATGAAGAAGGAAGTGCCCCCGTCGCTGTCGTCGACCTTCCTCGGCAACATCAGCCACACCGACGCAGCGGGGCTTGGTGACTATGAAGATTCCGACTTCGACTCGGGCTTGTTCAAATTGGCGCCACTCAAAGCCGATCCCGACTTTTGCTTCAATTTGGACGACAACGAAGGCATTTCAGACTTTTTTGGCACGCACACGTTCCCCACGCATCCAGACGCAGCCCACGATGAAGACGAAGATAACTTTTAGTGTAACCTTATATAATGCATGGACCGCCGCGGACTGCGGTCCTCTCCGGACGGAGTCTGTTGGCTGGTGTGCCAAAGCATTCACGCGCTGGCTAGCCATTGTATGCCGCGCACAATGACTACAAGCATGGACTGGTGCGACCCAACAGCCACCAACATGTGCACTGTCGGTATTGCGCAAGCGCATGCCCAAACTCTCCTCCGGTGGCCGACGCCATTGCTTGCGCAGATTCGGTCAATAATCTTACCTCAACTATTTAAAACTGATTTTATATCGTCGAGGGAGCCCTAGCTTCAGCCAATGAATGACTTTAAAACGGTCATGTGGATGGCCATTTCTTCAAACATGCAAACGGTGGCTGGATTAAGAAATATTTTAAAATGCATGTACACACACCATCGAATCATTTAAAATGTCGTGTTGAAGTGGTCGTCTCGATGACAGTTACACCATCCATGGGCAACAACGCGTGCTCGAAAAGTCCGATTCGACGGGACGTGCGGCAGTTCCTGCCGACGTCATGGGACGATCTACTCTTCCTTGAGAGATGGGCGGCGTCGAGGTCTGTGCACTTCATCCGAGACAAAGCGACGTTGATCGAGTGGTTTGGCCCGAAGCGGCGGCAAGACGTCTGTGACGCCGTCGACTCTCGCAAAGACTACTTTACGTTTCCCGTGTGTGTAAACGACTTTTTGGCGGGCTTTGCGCTTGTCCAACAAGCGCCGGTCTTGCGCAAGTTTGAGTGTATGTCTTCTGTGCACGTCGACGACGATGGGGGATTCTCACGCTGGTATTAGTTATATCAAAGCTGGCCAACACGGGAGTGATCTGCAGCAAGGCCGAGCTCTTGATTGCCATGTATTTTGGCGTGCGAGGGATCGCAAAGTTGAAAGGGTCCAAATTACCTCAAGACAAAGCGCTGCGATACATTGTGAACAGTACGTTTCGGTCTGCATGGTACCAACTGACCTGCGTGGACGATGCAGACGTGTTCGACACCGCGTCGGCCATGGACTGGGCTGTCGTGATTCAAAAGCTCATGGCTGTCCCAGACGTTGTGTATTTCTTGAGCGATTTGGATATGGTACGACGGAAGACTGTGCCAGAGACTCACCGCGACGACCAGGTGCTGGTTGAAAACCTAGAAACTTTGATCGCCGACCAGTTGCACGCGATGAAGGAGCTTGCGGCAATTGAGTACGAGATTGGCGTCGCTGGTAATGGGACGAACATCTCCTCGAGGTGCATGATAGTGTCTTTGGCGCTTAGAGTGTATGGCCAAGAGCGCTGCCACCACACAATCGCAGCATTCCCATGATATCCTTCCGTTCCGTCGACCTTTGCTGGACCTGCTCACACTATCAAACTTGCGACCACACACGACGGCCCAAAGTAAGCACGTCCATGTGCATAACATTGACAAGTGCTGTCGACGCATCCAAGTTGCGTTCAAGCCCCCAGTCGATGGACCTGGGGCGCGAAATTTATCGCATGAGAGCTGCCGGCGCCTGGACGTACACGAGTTCCAAGCGCTCGTAGCATCTGCCACAGACCACGCTGTCATTTTATCCGACGTCGAGGTACGACGTGATGCCCGGCACAAATCCATTCGATTGCATCCTTTGTAGGCAGCGCACCAACTTGGCCAATTTCCCAAGGATCAGCTCGAACGAATCGCATGCTCGGACGTGCTTCGATGGATCAGGCAATGGGTCACCATGAGCAACCGCGAGGCGCCGCCGAAATGGCAAGTTGCCGCGACACGTTGTGTGGACTTGTGTCGCTTGGTGGGGTCGTGGTGGGGGCAAAAGCTGTCAACGGTGCGCGACACGTTTTGCAAGCTGGAAGCTGTCTCACCACGTGACCAACACGAAGCGTTCGACTTGGACGTTCCCCAGGAGTCCAATTACAGCTTTCTCATGCACATCGACAAGCCTGTTGCTACGTTCCCTGACGTGTGCGCCAGCCCAGAGTCCCCCGAGGAGGTAGCTGCCCTGGCTGTTCGATTGCAATTCAAAGACAACGCGACCGTCGCGATGCCTATGGCCACAAAAAACGAGCCGACCGCAGGCTCAACCTCGGACATTCTCGACCAAATGCAGCTCGACGACGAAGAAGTCCTCGAGACGGGGTTTCCTATGGCGTGGACGATCGAATTCTTGCTGTGGAAAACGGTGACAGGTGCGTTGTGTGCCACTCTGCTGCTTGAAATGTGTGGTGGATATAAACTTGCCTTGTTCAGACGAAGCGGCGGCATCTCTCGCCCGAGTCGTCGGCCACGTACTGAATGATCCCGTGGTGTTGGAAGCGACGTCGTGTCTGTGGCAGAAAGCGAACGGTGCGTCTAGCTCATCTGGGCAAAGCAACGTTCTCATGGGGGCGATCCGTAGTCAGCATTGTGTATGGCTCGAGGGATCACGCAACCAAGCTCATGCCCAACACCGCATCCGATAAATACTACCTCCGCATCACGTTTTTGACTCGGCACAGTTGGTTTGGTGGCATTGAGGTCGCTTGTTTATCCATTTCATGCACTTGGACACTTGCAACAACATGTTCGTGCGAGTAGGGCGCCTTGCACACGGACCTTGCAACGCTTGTCCAAGCTTTGCATGTTGACCTCCAACTCAAAAATTCATGGCAAGAGGTGGTCGAGTACTCGAGAGCGGCCGTGCACAGGTTGCTCCGCCACGGCGACGACGTGCCAACCACCCATTCTGCGCAATCCATGTTATTCAAATGGTTGGACGTGAATGGAGATGGCGAGCTGTCGCTCGATGTATGCGTCCGCCATTGATGGTCATCACATGACGAATTGTGTGCCGTTAGGAAGTCAATCGTTTCCAGCAAGTCCTTGGCCAGTCTGTGCTGGGAAGCGCCGCTCAATTCGACCACCTCATCACGTCCAACTCATTGCCACGCAACGTCGACACGGGCAACTTGACAGCGCACGGTCTCGACGTGTACTTGAGCAAATTCGGGGGCCTGCACACCGCCTGTCAAGCCTTGCGCCTAGGTTCGACGGTCGTGCATCCCATGCGTGCCTAAACCCCACTTGACCTGCAGGATGTCTCAACGAGATCATCCACGGGACTCTGTCCGTCGCTGCGGCCTTCAATCGCCGCGCGCTGTCCAAGCTCCAGTCGTTCCTAGCGTCGTGCTCTCCGTTTCATAACGTCTGGACCAAGTGGGGATTGTTCGCTGCGCTGCAGATTACGGACGTGAGCACGGAGCTGTCGTTCCCGTCGGTCGTGGAATGCATTCAGTACTTTTGGCCGCAACTTTGCGCGCCGCTCGTGGACGTACCAGGGTGGCTAGCTTTCGTTTTGGACGACCTCGCGAGTTTGCTGTCGACGGAGCACAGCCATGCGGGGACCTCGTCCTGCGTCCACTTGCTGTGTGCGATCCAACTATCGCTGCAACGGTACCACATTCACGCACCAGACCGCGGAAAGACCAAGGGTGCAGCGGGGTCGGCGGTCGACCCAACAGCTGCCCTCACCATGCAGGCGATTGCAAAGTTCCACGAAGCGTGGCTGGCATGCGAGAGCGCCGTGTGTGGGCTCCAGCAGGTTGTCGCTTCGAATCGCGACGTTGAGTGCCGCGTCGAGTTTGACCACTTTGTCCGGCTGCCGCCGCGACCGGTCCATTCCAGCGTCGCGCCTTGACGGATTTCACGTCCATTAAATCGGTTAACTTTTTTCACATCGTGTCGGTCTTAAATAGTACTACTCGCCATGGCTTTGTCCTTTCGCTTGGATTTCTTGGCCTTGTTCTTGTGCCGCGAGTGGTGGTGGGGCATGCCAAACGAGGTGTGAAATGCAAACGCACTGCGCGGCGGCGGCGGATGCGACGGCGGCGACGTGTGGAGGACGACTCTGTCTTCTGCCGCCTTCTCACGACCGTGCGCAAACACAAACTCGGGGAGGTTCTCCCACTGCATCATGGACGTTGACAGTGCCATGCCAGGTGCCCGGACACCAAACTGCTGCATGTCTGTAGCTTCAAAGAACCGAATCGTTTGGTCGATCGTGGTTGCCAAGTGCGGGTCATCCGCCAGCGTCTGCCGCCTGGACGAGCCCGGGGCGCACTTGAACTCGAGGCCAATAAACACACACTGACGTAGCACACTCGCGTCGACGTCGTCCTGGTTGGTTGGCGTGTGGACCGGAAAGTGCGTGGGCAATGCATGGACCCGTGCGACTCCTTTGACGTGCTGCAGACCGTCCACGAGCTTGCGCACCCTCGAGTGGACAAACTTGCTCCACACGCACATCTCTTCCTTCGTCTGCGCCGTGTACGACATGCCCAAGTACACATCGTATCGAATGAAAAAGTTGGTCGGGGCAAACAGTTGCGACCACGCGGCGTTTTTTTCGTCCGGGTTGGTGTGCGCGAGCTCGGCAAAATGTCGAGCGCGCCACAGCTCTTCGTGGATGATTTTGAACGTCGTGTGCGAGACTTGGACGGCCGAGTTCATCGGAGGGTACGCCGGTGTGATGATCGGCATGACGTGTGTTCGATCAAACACATTCAGCCGCGGGTCCCAGCTTTCAAGGCCAAGGCCGGCATCGTACAGAACGTTGAGCATGACCGGCTGGGGCCATGCCCACTCGGACATGACTTGGAAGAACCGGAGAAACACCGACTCGCAGTCAGTGTCGTGGGGGTACATTTGGCACACAAATGCGACCAGAATTGTCCAGCTTACGCCGCCCAAGTAGCCCCATTTGCTGGAATAGATTCCTCGCGCCCGCGCCCACGTTCGAATCGCCCGGACGACCGATCGAAACAATTGTGGCTGCGGCACCAGGCGCAAGACGAGGGTGCTCACGCGCGGCGCATTGAGCGACTTCATCGACGCCGGGTCGACACCTGCCAAAATGTAATCCGAGTCGATGTCCTGGGACGGGAGGACGGTCGGCATCGGGAGTCGGGCGAACAAAATGTCGAGCGCGACGTTGTCGTAAACGAGCGCGATCAGCGGCACAAACGCGTTCGTGACGGGCGTGAGGGACGTCACAGCAGGACACGACCGGAGCAGATCGACGAACGATCCGAAAAAGTCGGCTTGGGTTACGTGCCACGGCGCGACTGCTACCGTGTCAATGTCGGACGTCGGGTCGTCAATTGCGAGCCGGTATGACCCTGCAGCAAACAACGCGCCGCTTGTGAGCGCCACGTGCTCCAGCGTCAACCCTCGATCCATCCCAACGCGCTTCACCCACGTTACTACCAACGTTGACAGCTCACGCAGCACGGCGTGCTTGTGACGGCGGCCCATGGCTGTGTCTATGGGAGCCCTCGCGTTCACGAAGGCTGCCAAGGCCGATTTGTCAAGTGCGTCGTCGGGCGGTGGAGGGGTGGCGGACAAAGGACCCTTCGAGACGAGGTTGTGCACAGCCGGTGTTAAGTGGCACTGGCGGTACAGCACATCCCGCGCTTCGTCAAACGCGCCGCGGCCAAGCAAGTGGTATAACGACTGCTCAATGGCCTTGGGAATAATGCCACGCGATGTCGCATGTTCGACGGACCACATGAGAGCATTTGCTTGGTTGGCCATCCGCTGGGCACGAAATTCGTCAGCGAGTCGGGCCAACTTGGTCGCGTCCACGTCGAGGCTGGCAGTGTGGGAGCAAGTGCAGTTGAACGGGATCGCGGCCGACATGCGGCTCTGAAGGACAACCATGCTGTCGTCGGACGAAAGAGAGCACTGGCATCCGAGTGGCGGAAGGCTCGAGTCAAGCGCCGGACTTTTCAGTGCGTCACTCGCGATGCTGTGGATGCGTGGACTCGAGTTGTAGCTCGAGAGGGCGGTGGTGTCGGAGGACCCGTTGCTGCACACATCGTCCAAGTCGTCGTCCAAAGATGAGCAGTCAAATAATCGAGGCTTGATCAAGGTTTTCTCTTGCAGTTCAGACTGGAATGGCTCCGTCGGAAGCCATCCTGGGAGACTCATCGATCGCGATTCCCGACGTTTCGTTGCATTGGGTGCGGTCTCATGTAGCTCCATGTTCCAGAAGCGGTCGCGCGGTTGGGCATGGGAGTTTGGCGACCCAGAAGCGTCAACTTGTGCGCTTGAAGGAGACAACGGCGGTGTCGACGGAACTTGAGCGCCGGGTTTCAAAACTGACGCGTCGTCCGGCATGGCCCTTCGTATTCGATGTGAGCATTCATGACGAGGGAGTTTATCTCCGCTTTGCGGCTGGATGGGACTCCCATGAGAAATGTCGATTTCGCCTTTCCACTGCTTTCGTTCGGACCAGACAGAGTTGGGTGTGGTAATAGTGATGGGAACGTTGTTCGACGGCACGTTTGCTTGCGTCGACGGAGCAGCAGGCGTGGGGATGGCTGGCATGCTTGGTGGAGTCAATGGTAAGAAGAAGTCGCTGTCATCGCCTCTCTTTCGCCTGGACGTTGCTGTTCGCTTCTTGGATGCGCCAGTGTGGCGTCCCGACGACAACTTTGGCCATGCGTCTTCGTCGTCCGAGATCGCATTGATGCGCGCAACCTCGAGCGATTGTGTCTTGGCGGCAGATGACTTTCCCCACGTAAACATGTCTGGCAAATTCGACGGGGGACAACGAGGTACGGCGGCGGCGGCGGTGGAGTCTGGCGGGGCTGTGCAACGCGTGCCGAAATGTGTCAATGTAATCAGCTGGCGCGTTGCCTTGTTTATCCAATGCGAAGTCGTACTTATTTGGACAATCGAAAGGCGATTTGACGCCGTTACAAACTGCAAGTTGCCCGACGTGATTCGTGCACTGAAGCGTCGGCGCAACCCGATTAAGTGCGTGCACCCCGCTGAGACAAACGCCAAAATTCCATGTAAATTCAAGCCGAATTGAATAAAATTCGGCCCTATTTTCAGCTCCGTCGCGCCAATTGCAAACCCCGGATCCATCTCAGGCCACCTGAGCCGAACCACCCACCCGACGACGGGGGTGGCATCCAACGCCGACCTTTGCGCCGCCCGCCGGCGGCGCGACGGATCAGTGTACGCACCCGATACCGACGGAAAGAAGTGTCCATGATGGACAGTTCGAGCGGCGGCAGAACCATGGGCACGGCGCACCACACGGAGCAGCTCACGCGATGCCGCTGGGCTTTTTGTTGCACACGCGCGACGCCTGAGTTTCCGATATCGGATACCCAACTAGGTAAGTCTGTGTCGACACAGATGCCACACGAAGCAACAGATTCTTGTGCGGCGCATGGCCCACCACTGTGAACCCACCAGCTTGCGCCTTCAACCCGTGCGCAGGGCCAGGGACGAAGGCCCGCGCTCGTGCGCTAGGTCATTGGGGGCGGTTTTTCTGCGACCTCTTGCAGCACGACACCCACCATACCACGCGCCGCTGCATACAACTAGTCAGTGTAGTATATGGGCGGCCAAGACGTTTCGGTAGCAACATTTTGTACCGTGGTTGGCATCGCGGCGGCGCCTCGGCTGGAAATTCCACAGGAAGGTCACATCCATGATTCTCGCGGATCTTCATGGTAAACATGGCCATGGGGACCGCGAGAACGTTGCTTGGATTACCGGTAGCAGAACCTAGCTGGGACATGCTCGTCCGCCTAACGACACAATCCGAAGCCCGATCGGACCACTTCCGCCGAAACATTCCGCGAGAACGCGCCGGACGTGGACGTGCCGGACAGCGTGGTGACTGTGGACTGCGGTCAACAACGCTCTCTGTATCGCTTCCACTCCCCCTTGCGAGGAGCACGGGCCATTTATGCAACCCACCGATTGGGTCTGCTGACCAGCTTGCGTCGTCGAGCTGGAGAGGTTGGTTTCCCTTTTGGTTCCCCTTGGAATTCTCTTTGTGCAATTTTGCTAAAATTTCAACGAAAAGTACAAAAATACGTGCGAAATTGTAAAAACCCGTCGAACTATCGAAGATTCGTTGGATATTTTGTTGGTGTGTGCCTGCTCACACACCGAGGACGACGACGGCCATGAGCGAAGCCAAAGGCGACGACGACGAAGAATTCTTGGCCCAGTTGCCGCAAGTAAACGTCCTCCGCGTAGACATCTCCCCCAACCCAACGCATATCTCGGACGAACTCAATTTGGAAGTTGATTTCACCGTCAGTAAGGACGTCCTCGACGGCTGGTGGGAAGTGCAGGTACCCTCCCACTCATGGTTCCATGACGCTCGTTCGTTGTCTCATTCATGTACATGCCTGACTAGTACCTTGTTGACTCTGTCCTGGAACGACACATCATCAATATCCTTTTACACACACGCGCACGTTGTCCTCGCATCCCATGCGTCTACTGGTTTGGTCGCCTTAACTCTTTGTCGTACAGCTAGGCAAAGTCGAGCCACAGGACTACCTCGAAGGAGAGAACCATTTTCAATTTTCCGTACGTGACCACACAATGGCGCGCTCGATCCCATGCTCGCGGTGCATAGGTTCCTCAAATCAACGTGGCGTCGATCAAGCCCAGCAACTTGGCAAACTGCGGCCTCCTCACCGCGTCGTTCAAGACCCGCACGAGTGATATCATGGACCTCAAGATGGTCGTGCAAGTGTCCAAGCAAGGAGACTCGCTCCAGCGCATCATATACAACCCATTGGAGTATCTTGTAACCGAGCCATGACGAATTGATCGACTTCAATACTGATGTTATGTCTCTGTGGTGTCTGCCATATGCAGCACTTGCTTGACCCGCACCGTCAGCTCATACAATTCCTTGCTGTCGTGTGACTAGAGCACAAACGTGGCCGTCTCCGTCGCACACAACGAATCGTTGTACCTGTTCGTCGGCCATCTTCTTGGCCTTGATCAGTGCCCTCGTGAGCTTTCGCATCTCCTGCATACCAACGACCGTCACAATTGCAGCTTCGACAAGACGGCTCTTCGCACCAGCATGCAATTGTCTTGGTTGTGCTTGGCCCACAGAAACACTTCGTACTTTTCACGCTCGAGACGTTTGATCCGGTCTGTTAGCTCCATCACTTGCTGTCGGTACCGATCCCGGTCGTCCTAGTCACGATTTAGAGTCCTCTGGCACCTCATGGACTCGTCATACTTTAATGATCTTGGTAAAGATTTCTTTGTCGATTTCGTTCTTGAGGCCCTCCTATACACACGATGACGCCGCCAGCGATCCCATTCCCCCCGCCAACACGTACTTCCTTCTTCTTTTCGCACTCGAAGCGCAACCGTTCTTCACTCAGCTTGATGGCTTTCTTGAACTCGCTGCGCTCAGCTTTGGCCTAGCCAGCGTGATTCCACGGTCGGATGGGAATCGGTCTCACCTTTTTCAGAATCGCCTGCAAAATGTGGATATCCTTTCGCATCTACAGACCAAGTGTTACGTCTGCCGCATCGGCTGCCTTGTCCTACCTTATCCCGCGAAGTATTTTGTGAATATGCTTTGGCCTCGTGCTTGGCTAACTCGGCCATGCGCAGCAGGTCGTTGACGTCATCGAGGTCGTCCGAGTGTTCCGCCCTGCGTATTGCATGCTCGTTACTAGGAAGAACTCGACAGACCTGAACGTACATATCCTTTTTTGCGTAGTCTTCGAACTGTTGCTCCATTGCCTTCACCAACATGTCTCGTCAGCCACGTGCTCTATCACGATGTCTGCGTCGTACCAGGACTTTCTGTCGTAGCATCGCGTTCTCCATCTTCAAGAGCCCGACCTCGTCCTTTTCGGTGACGGACAGAGGGCGGTGCTGTCGGTGATCGCTACTCGCTGTCGAGGATGCTCTCCTGCCCTCATACGGAGACGACAAACTCCTTCTGCCTCCACCTTCTGACGCGGATGCCGCACGCGCCACAGCTTCACACGGCACCACTTCGTCTTCTTTCAGCGACATCCTTCCGCCGTCGTCGCCGGCCGTCGACATTCCGTGCTGGCGTTACGAAACGGTTATCCACCTTGACATCACCAACAGTTTCATGATCAAACGCGATGCGCACGAAACCTGCCTGCCTTCTCGCGGCCACAAATGGGCAACAAAGGCCACAACTTTCCTGGCTTGCATGCATCGCGACTGTGCCTGCATGTGCTCCACCGGAGCAAAGCGATGTCGGCTCTTCGGGGTTTCCTGGAACTCTTTGCATGGGACGACCGACTTTTGCACGCGATGGGGGCGATATTAGCATGTATCCGACAACCGGGCTCGACCGAAGGCCCTGCAGCGGATACCTGTCATGACAGAGTTGTGGAAATGCCGAAGGGCTACATCCTTGAACATCGACGGGCGAGGACATGCTGCGACTAGCGGACGAGACAACGAAAGCCGCATCCTTCATTGACAGGACACAGCAAAGTCTCAGGCTTGAGCTCTGTACACGACACATGCACAGAGCTCCGGCCTGTGTCTTTGCAGAGATCCATTTTAGTTTAGGTTGCCGTAGAATCGAGCGCAGCTGGGGTTCGTGAAACAGGCACTCAACCACTGCACGTTTCGGTGACCATAACAGACTCGGGTCATCTGGAAAGCAATTTGCTTGGAGCAGCTTGCTCGAATGCAGCGGATCAGCATTTAGCACTGGAGCATCCGCAGCGCAACCCGAGCAAACGAGCTCATTGTGAAGGAGTGTGTTCAGGCGGGCAATGGGCGTCCGTACTCTGCAACCTGATTTGACTTGGAAGCGGAGTTAGTCGATTTTAGCGGGTTGGACCGTCATGCCTGGACATGGTGCGCATATTACGGATTAGTTTCTAGTTGTGGTAGTCGACAGTCGCTACCCAAACGCAGCCACGATCTTGGTGTCCCCCGTCTTCATGTCGACAGCGAACTCGACGCCGTTGCACATGGCCATCATGGACGTGCTGAACCCGTTCCCGAGCTCGTCGGAATCGCTTGCTGCCTGCGCCCGTTGGACCATGGACGACAGAAGCTCCTCTTCTACGACGAGAACGAGGCGCTTGATGCGTCCGCGCTGGACAAACAGATCGTACGCCAATTTACGACGCATCGCGCGACTCGCAAACTGATCTTCACCCAGCACATGACGCCCAAGGAACACACTTTCACGCAGCGTTCGCCCGTGCACGTGCTCGTTGATGCGCTCGGCAAGCAGCCGACTGCCGACTTCGCCATTGTGCAGCACCTGCACCTCCGCCCCCGCCAGCGCGTTCGAAATGTACCGCGCCGCCTTTTTCGAGTACGCCGGTTCGTTGTCTTCGTCGACGGACCGCACGACCCACACGCTTCGCGTCTTGCTCTCCTTCTTCTTGGCAGCTCCGTTGCCGCCGTTGGCGTCCGCAACGTCGACTTTCATCGCCATGGCCACATGCAGCATCCAGTACCATTCCTGCAGCAATAACTCCTGGCCTTCTCGCACGGATAGCCGGACCATCTCCTTTTGGGTGTGTGCGACCCGCAGACTCATCGACAGCGGCGACAATATCTCGACCATGATCCCGGTCAACGCGACCGGTTCGTTCCCTTTGGACTTTGTCTTGTCGCGGCAAATCAGCATTTCGTTCGGGTACAATTCGCACATGGTGAACTTGGTCGACGGCATTAGAGTCCACCGTGTCGTCACACCGAGCTCGCCCGACATCAACATGCAATTGCGCAAGTGTTTGGTGACGGCGTCGGAGCGCGGGAGTTGGTCCAGCACAGGACATGGCAGTTCCTCGGGATGATACAGTCGGAAACTCGCGCCGGAAGGGTACATGGACGGCCGAGACGGCGTTTGAAAGTATGTTTCGGTCGAAAACTCTTCAATCATTTGGTCGCGAAAACGCAGCACCTTGCGCCGCTGCTGGCGGGGCCTTGTCAACGAACTGTTTATGTTGTTGCTCGTTCGGTTCGTTGGCGCGTAGTGGGACGAAGGTTCCATGGTGCCGTCCAACGGCGGCTCCATCATGACAGGATATGTGAATGACGACCGACTGACGCGCGTACCAGTGTGTCGCAAGTGGCTCGGGTACCGTTCCGGTTGGTAGGCATACTCTTGCGGATACTGCTCGTTGGGGTTGTTGCTACTGCTCGCCATGTACTCGTGTTGCTTCTCGTGCATGTACATGTCGTTCTGGTCCGCGAAATACCCCCGCGCCATCGACGTCGTTGTCTGAACTTCTTGGCCATATCCGTTTCCATACGAATGGCTGGTGAATTGAGTCGTGGTGGCATTGGCATATCCATACATTCTTGCGTCCACGCCATTGTAGCCGTTCTCATGAAAGTCGTTGTCGTACCCACTGCGCGGGGGGTCCCGATTCATGGTCTCCGCACCGCCGCCGCCTGCCCTGCCGCGTAGGTCGAAGTGAATGCCGTAAACTTCGTCTGTGCACTTCCGTATATGCATGCATGTTCAGCATACCAGTTATCCGGATATTGCGATTCTGTTGATACGTCGAAGTTTCGTTCCTTCGATCTGGGTCTGCATCTGATTGGCTGAAATATGTATTAACGCTTTTGATTGGCTCGCTGCAAAATCGCCAAAACTCCGATGTGTATCGACGGCGGCACTCGACCGGACACGGCCGCCATGAACCTCGATGCCAGCTTGGCCGAGCGAGCAAAGGCGATGACCCCATGGCCGTTTATCATGCAACGCAGCCAAGTAGACTATACTAGCCGCTCTGTTCATGTACCACAATCTGAAGAGCACACGCGATGACGACGTACCGACACGCTTGAGAAAACGATCGACGATAGTTGAGGGACTCCAACTACTCAGCGAATTGGGGTAATATGTCGTTAGAATGGTGGGAAGCGTCTCATGACGCAGCTCCTGTCATGCACACCCCGGAAATGCTCGAGATTGTACGAGCTGTCACATGAATCGATGCTTCTTCGCGATGTTCTCTCCACGGCGAGGGATACGACGCAAATGCCTTTACAGTTGTGGTGGAACGTCACTGTCCCCCCTTGGGCCCGTATCCACGGCGACTGTGTCGCGCGACGATAGAGCGACGATTCTGCCTGTGTTGGAATTCTGCCTGAAGAGCTTTTCTTGGGCCTTCTCGTCTTCTGAGGTCGTTGCAGGAGGTTGGTTTTGTGCACTTGGTTGGCAGTCTGTACGAAGGGTCATGTTGATTCGGTTGGTGGCGAACCTGGACGTCGCCGCACTCGTCACGTGTGGGCAATACGTTACGTCGAGTTGATTCAGCTTTGGGCAATTGTCGAACAGCGTGTCCAGCGACACATTGGTGATGCGCTTGCAGCTCGACAGGTTCAAAGCTACAAGACCCGTGCACTGCGACGCGATGGCGCAAATGCCAACGTCCGTCATTTTGGAGCACCGATTTATCAATAGCGCGTCGAGCCACAAGCAGTCGGCGATCGCGATGAGCACGTCGTCCGTGAGTTCGCGGCAAAACCCAAGTCCCAAATTTGAGATTTTACCACACGACTTGACCAGTTCAATCACTTCGGCGTCTTGCAAGAGAACGCACCCGGTCAAGTAGACCGTGACGAGGTGCTTGCACCGCTCGCGGATGTGGTGGAGGCCCTCCGACGTCAACGCCATGCAGTAACTCAGGTCGAGCACACGCAAATGCTCTCCCGTGGACGTTCCGTTGAAGATATCGCTCGTGATACATCGTAGCCCTTGGTCCGTTAAGTGAAAGCACCCGGACGCGTCCATGGACCGGAGATGTCGAGCCCGGTGCATGAGGTACGCGATCCCAGTGTCTGTGAGAGTCTTGCAGTCAGCCAACACAATCGTTTCGAGCTTGGTCAGGAGGGTTTTTGCCACGACTGTGCGGCCATCTCCTTCTTGGTCGAACGTAAACACTTTGTCCGTGAGCAAGTGCAGATCCTGTACGTTCAGATGGGCCAAGTCCAAGCAATGGTGCGTGAGCGCCTACAGTTTCCAGTCTCAGTCGTCGGGATTCATCGGCAACGTGTACCCAAATGCCACGATCCGTGAGTTTGTCGCAGCAAGCCAGATTCACGCAGGTCAACTTGGGACAGCGCGTCCCGATTGCCATGATCCCGTCGTCCGTCAGCCGACGGCACCCCGAAATATCCAACGAAGTCAGCGTTACGCTGGCAGGCAGGTTTGACAGCGACACAAAGTCACTTAGCTGCAAGCAGAACGCCAATTCGAGTCGTGCGAGGCGGGGATGCGTTGCCAGTGACAAGAGCGAGTCGTCTGTGATTCTTGCGCAGTGGCTGAACACCGCCTCTCGGAGGTCGTGGCACTTCTCCAGGGCTACTACGCCGTCGTCCGTGATGAGCGGGCAACGGTCCATCGTGAGGGCTTTCAGGTTGGGGCACGTTTTTGAGATGGCAATGAGGACGTCGTCTGTCAAGTGCGAGATCCCGCCAGCGTTGAGCGACTCGAGCGCCCCGCATCGCAGGCTCAACGTGCACATGGATTTCGTCGTCACGTTGGTACATCTGCGTAGTCGACAGCGTGAGTTCGACGAAGGCTCGTGTGCCCTGGAACGTACCCGTTCAGATTGAAGGCCAAGCAGCTTCGATTCGCCGCCGAAATGACGTCCATGTCGTGTGCAGTGACGTCGCGTACGCCCGTCAAGTCAATCCTTCGACTGTCTTCTCCAGCGCGGACCCACAGGATAAAGTACACGACGACGCTGTCTGTTTCAAGGTCGAGGACCCATTTCAAGTCGGTGAGGCCGTCGCCATAATGCGTGGGGTACTCTGCAATGACGCGGCGTATAATGTCGGCAAATACGGCAATTTCTTCGCGCAGGAGCCCTGCCATCGACAACGACTTGGTCTCGCCGCTCATAAAGAAATGGGGTGGCAGCGCGTCCAGGTCTAGCAGCGACACGTTGCTTGTTCGAGTCCAGTACGTAGGGTGCAGTTCGTTCACGCACGCATACGCTTCCCGGAACAAGTCGCTGAACCGCACATCCCGCGGCAGGTTTCGAAGGATCTCTGCGCATCCTTCATGGTTCTCAGTGGACCGGAACGCGCGCAACGCGCGGCGGACTTTGGATTTGTACATGTTCTGGCTACGATTTTGCTCGAGGTCGTACTTCAACGCACTGCAAATGTTGACGGCAAACGATGCCAGCATCGGTCCATCGGTCGGCGCAAACTCCAACGCTTTGGTAAACCGCATGGCAGACAACTCAAACAGCGCGTCCGACTTCCACGCACGGTCCAGAGTGCCCATGATCCAGTGATGCATGATTACATCCCTGTCGAGGCATCTCGAGTAAAACACGACGTGGCAGAGTTTTCCCACAAAGAACTTGGAGTTGGAACTCGAATTGCTCACGCATCCAATGCGCAGGGGGCGTCCGTCTTGCGACATCTCGTCGGCCAGCTCCAACGCGATTTTTTCTTTCAACTCGTCGCGGAGCTTCTGAAACGACGCCTACACCGACGACCGTCAGCCGTCGAGTCGCAGCTTTGTTCAGGATGAATGGCACAACCGTGACGGAGACTGTCTTCTTGTTGAACGTGTCCATGGCATACTGCTTTTTCGCCATGCTTTCCATGTCTGCCTTGGTGGGTTTCGCGACGTCAACTGACTTATCGTCGTCCGGGGTGTCGGGAGTCGATCGTTTCTTGAGCCGGTCTTTGAACGCAAGCTCATCGGCCAGTTTCTTGGCCAAGTCCTTGACCAGCCGCTTGCCTTCCTTCGTTTGGTACAGCAACCTGCATTCGCGGTCGGCATCTTTCATGCAAGACGCTTTCGCGTTCTGCTCTTGTTCGTCCAGGGTGTGCAGCATCGTTTGAAACTAACCAGAATATGAACGATCTCAGGCAAACCATGTCCCCTTGGACCTGCAACGTACGCGCTTCTCTCGGCGCTCCAGCTGAGCGTCGACCTCGGACTGCACGTCGATGTCACCGTACAAAACACCATTTACGTACAGTTGCAACGTCGTGCCGTCAAAGGAGCTGCTAACGTGCGTCCACACATCTGGCGTAATGGGCGGCCCTGCCACAACCACGTCGATGTTGTTCATGTTAATCCACGCCCCCCACACGTTTCGTTTGAGAACGGCCAGGGTAAAGCGTCCATGGCTTACGATCGCGCGAACGCCGTGCCCCGTTGCGCTCACGCTCGCCCATGCCTCCAGCGTCGCGCCTTGGTCCCATTTCTTGGCTTTGGAAAACGTAATGTACCTGCACGCAAGGGTTGAGCATGTTCCGTCGCTCGTGCAAACGTTACCCGGGCGAATCTTTGAAGAATTCCACCGCCCGTGACAAGTCGTCGTTGGCAATCGGACCCGCCGCTTCCAACGCGCATGTCGAAGAAAACTTGCCGTGATCGGTGGACGACACCAAGTTCTTGGCCACGGTCGAACCTCGACGCTCGTTTAGCGGCCAGTACCCGCAGGGCGAGTCCAGCAGAATCGCAGCTTGATATGTCGCTCCTTGGACATGGGAAGCTTGGTCGAGGAGCAGCGACGCCGCTGCAAAATGCAGCACGAGTAAGTTGTGGCTCACGCAGCACGGCACGTCGAGTTTGACGTCGTCGGTTGTGAAAGCAAATCCGTCGGGGTGCTGCGTGAAGCGGTTCCAGCAATCCGTTGTGAGCTCGAACCCGATCGTCGACGACAGGTACCGCGTGATTGCGACTGGCGCGTGCCGCAAGTTGAGACGGTCCACGTACGACACGGCAACGGACCCAAAGCGAGCGCGAATCCCGTCAAACACTTGGGTCTTCCAAAACAAGTCGGAGCCGGCCCCGGAGCCAGATACGTAATTCAAAATCACCACAAACAACGACTGCTGGCTCGGCCCCACGGCAAGTTGCCGCGACTGCAGCATCGTGCGCAGCGACAACCGAATCAAGTTTTTGATCGTTCGTTGAATCATTTCGACCAGCAGCATGCCGCGAACATCATGACGCGACCGCACGTCGCCTTTGTAGATGGCAACGTGCTGACAGGAATCTCCCGGATACGGCCGATCGACCGTCACGACTTTGTCGGTAAAGACATCGTCGATGTTGTCGCTGACCTACGGCAGCGGTCAAGTCATGATGACCATGAATTCGCCATGGAATTTCGTCGTACTCTGTAGCGCTGTCCCTGGATATGGACGATATCTCCTCTCACCAGTTCCCTCGTCAGGTCTGCCGTCGAAGAGATCGTGGTCCCATTGAACGATACGTCGACGGTGCCATCCAGTTGAAAATAAAACAACGAGCGCAACAGCCCCAAGTGCCGAACGTTGATGCCGTGCCGGTGCATCTCACGGACGAGGGAAAACGAAGGCGACGTAACGTAGTCCTGAATGTGTTTTTCAGTGACGTGTGCAGCGTAGGAAAATCAGCACGTTGATGCCATACCTCCCTCTCGGCGAGCTTCCGCGCAAAGGAAGGGATGACGTCGCGAATCATGCGCTGCGTGCACTCCTTTACTCGCGTTGCCTGGGTCTCCCAGTCTGGGGTTTGGTACGTAAACAGAGACAACGCGTCCGACGACAGAGCGACGGGGTTCGTCTGGACCAACGCTGGCCGCAATTGTCTCCACAAGATGCTCATGCTTCGTGTGGATGCGGGCAAGTGCGGCGTCTCGTCTGGGTCTTCCGGCGGCATCATGCGTCGGAACTTGAGCAAGCAAAATGTTTCGTCCCGCCCGATGTACCCATTCATATCCCCCGCTCCGTGGATGAGCTTCGCCGTCAAGTCCAACGATCCGCGTACACAGTGAGCAGCCAAGTTGAGAGTTGCATTGACCTGTTGAGCATCCGATTCAGCAACGTTCGTGAGCCAGCAGATCTTGCTCACCTTTGCAATCGATGCGTCGAGTGTTTTGCTGTGGCAAATCACGGTTTGGCCTTTGTTGCTGGTGCCGTAGACGAATTCGGTTCGAACATTTTGAACCGTACCCTTGTCGCTCACGTCAAAGCACTCGATGGGGAGCATGGACACACAAAGCACTCGCATGCCGTGGTAGTCGACGCAGCATTGCAATGGAACCAGCACGTTCCGGGTCAGCATCATCATGGGCAAGTACAAACTCGAGTTGCGGCACTCCGCGCTGGCAAACTTGGCCGAGAGCTCGTCCGATCCGTCGAATCGACCGTGGTCGTCCAACGCGACGTGAAATCGAATGTTGTGGGCTTCATATTTCAGTCCTCTTCCGTCGCTCGAGCGCACGTTGCCGTCGTTGCGACCATCCATGGCGAATTTTCCCGGCAATGGCCAAATCGTCTTTTCATGAACTGGGACGTAGTACTCTCGGACGATTTGCATTGCCACGTGGCGGGCCACTTCTAAAAAGTCTTGGCACACGTGAATGACTTCGACATACGTGTGGACGCCCTTTTCTGGAGCTTCCAACGCGCGCTTGAGGCGTTCTGCCCATAGGATACGATCCCGACGCTGTACTACGACATCGGCGGCTTCGCGCACTTCCATGCGTCGCTGCGCCTGGGAGAGGGAAAACTCGGCAGCTTTCCACTTGGCGATGGCTTCCTCGGCGCTTGTCTTGGCGTCGAGGGTGAGATTTCGTTGAACGTCCAAGTCCATTCTGTGCTTGGCGTCGAGGTCTCGGCCCCGTTGTTTGGCGTCCCGAAGCATCTGCGCCCCTTGTGCTTTGTGGATTGCACGCACGTGGGCATGCAGAAACGTTTCTTGGCTGTTGAGGTGGCGGAAAATGTCTTGTCGCCAGTGCGTCTCCATGTCGGACTGGGCCATCTGAATCAGCGCATCGGCAAGGCTTTCCACGCCGCGAAGGATGCGAAAGTGCCCCATCAAGTCGTCAATGAGCGACTCTTGGTCAAACACTCCCAGCGCGTTCTGGAACACCTGGACGTACGCCATTGCGTGCCGCTTTGACGGAAGCTCCATCAGCAGTTCTTGAAGTTTCAGCTTGGTCATGCCATCACATACAAACTGGAGGCGGTCGCACCACGCGTTCAGCGGCGGATTCGACGCCGTCATGGCCATCCATTCACGCCGCTCCTTGTTGCTACAACTTGCGAGGACAGGGATACACCCCCTCAACATGAGGCCGTGGCACGCTTCTTTGCGCAACTTCTTTTCCTTCACCGAGTCGTGGTACAGCTGGACGTTGTCCACAACGATAGCTTCTGGCGTACACAGCGGAGTTTCCGGTACTTCTTTCTTTTCTTTTGCCTCCTTTTCCGCGATGGCGCGCATCAACTTAGCCGTGGCTGGCGCGGGGAGGCGGACGCGCTGCAGCTGGTCAATCAGACTGTGCGCGATCTCGGAAAAGTGAGACTGGTCCAACGGGTCAAACCGGAGGACGCGGGGGCAGTACCCTGCGCTCTCTTCCATTTCTCGGAATCGATGGTCGACTTCCTCCATGGAGTCTTGCACCGCTTCTTCGACCATGACCTTGAGAACTTCGTCGCGACTGAAGGCAAGACCTTTTGTCCGCAACTTGACTTGGCGCATGCGAATTTTCGCGTCGAATTTCATCTTGTCCATGGTCGTTTCGGTCACAGCATCTTGGCGTCTCCATTCGTTTTCAACAGACTCTCGGGCTTCCTTGAGCGCCATGCCCTTGGCGTGATAGAACGCTTGTTTTCGCGCGGCCATGGTCGCATCATACCGGCCTTTCTTTGCCCTCCACGTCGTCTGCAGTCGAATCGCGGCCCGCTCGGCTACCTCGGTTCGGTACACGATGAGATTCTTAAAGCACGCGTGGTCCAACGACACAACATTTGACAGCACTTTGCTCCGTCGAAACTTGAGGTACTTGGAGTAGTCAGCTTTGAGTGGATCATTCGAGCCCATCGCCAATGCACGGACGTGGAGCGTCTCCTTGGAGCTCCTGGTCAGCACCCCTCGTGCCGACAGCATCTGGGACGCCAGTCGGTACTTGAGGTCCGAAGCGCTGATGAGACCACACTCAAACTGGCGCAGTGGAGCCATCGCTTGCTGTTGGACTCGGCTCACGTGGTGGTACTTCCACGGCACTCGCATGATCGTGCTCAAGTACTTGGAGCGCTGGATCGCATCGTGTGCTATCGCGTTGAAGTCAAACCAGGTAAGAAAAGCCTTGGTCCCGACCATGTGGTCGGCAATGTTGGCCAGATTCGACTCGTCCAGCGTCGGGAATATGGACGTCAGTCGATTTGGTGTTGCAAGTTCGTTCAACCGATCCAGGACGCGAAAGTAGATGATCAAGGCCTGCACAAGGGCAGGTTTGGCGATCGACGTGACGTCGGGACTTGCCATTTTGTGGGTTTCAAACATGTATTGGAGCTTGTCAGAGATGGGGGCGCCGCACATAATGACCAAAGCAAACGCCATGTCCAACAGCGTCATGTTCGCCTTCGAAAACACTTCAAAACTCGGAAAATACTTGGTCTCTTGGTCGATCTGGGATTCTCCCCGGTCCAGCATAAACTCTTCGTCCTCGATTTGGCCAAGAAGGACCGTGATTGTTTTTTCAGCTGCTTTTACTTGATCTTGTGCAAATAGCAACTGCGCCCGAGCACTGGATTTGGTGTCAGAGTTGCCCACTTGGAGCATGGAACGGCCTTTTGTCTGGTCGAGTACTGCTGTTGCTTGAATCTACATGAGCGTCAGTCGTCCGATTGCGTTAGCAAGTCGCTGCGATCGTCGTACCAAATCGTTTTTAGCATTCAACAGGTTTTGGTGGAGCACTCGAAGCTGCTCTGTGTGAAACGCAACTCGTGCCTCGCCCACAGGCTTGTGCGGCGTGCGCAAGGTTTCCAAAATTTGAATCTCTTTCGCGGCTGTGTCGTTGGCACCATTTATGCGAGACGTGATCGATGCAAGATGCGATTCGTACAAGTCGTCTTCGCTGTGTTCCTGTGCGTCGAGCTGCCGCTGCTTTTCGTCGGCTTTTCGAAAGAAATCTGCGGTTGGATCCACACCTTCCTTTCGTGCGTCGTCAAGCTCTCGCTGCCTTGCTTTGGTCTCCTTTTGGCGACGATCTAGCTGCGCGTCGCGGCGCTCCTGCAGGGCTTTGAGCTTTCCGTTTTCGACCTTGGTGGCCTCAAGTCGCCTTTGGTTGATCTTTTGCAGCTGGGCTTCAAAATATTCATGTTCCCGTTCGTCGTCGGGATGTTCAAAAGAGGTCACTCTTCCTGTTTTTGTTGATGGCTCGAATCTGCCGTCTCGGGTGGTAGTGTAGCCAAAAAACACGGGGCTGCGCAAGGACGGATCGAACAGCGGGGGGAAGGTTGGGACCACTACATCGTTCGTCCCCTGCGTGTGCAGGGCGAGGTTGAATTTAGTGAGACTCGAGGGAGCTAGAGGTGCTTCGATCGGAACTTCTGCACTATTTCGCCCCGCTGCCTTTCCATCGTTCTCATCGTCGTTGTTCGAATCCACATCCGACTCGTTATCGTCGGACATACTGGGGTTGTTGTCTGTGTGGCCGTCCGCGTCTCGCGGGTTGGCTAGTTCTTGAGCTGCCAACTGGAGAGCTGCTTCTTGAGCATTTGTGAAAGCACTGAGTTGGGCAGATGCTTCCGGGTCCTTGGCCATGGCGTAACCCACAGAAGAAGGATGCCAGAGACTGCGCGCTTTGTCGATAGCTCCAGCGCGCGCGTCGGCATCTACTGCCTGAACAGATTGAAAGTAGTGATTCCACTGCGCTGGCAAACTAAAGTCGATCCCATCTAACGACGCGGGAACTTGAGCTAATGCACGCCATTCATGCCGTGTCTTTTCCAGATCGAGCAGCACTTGGTACCGTTGTGCTACGTACTCCTCTTCTGTCGATTTCAAGAAAGCTTCGTGGACCTGTTCCGGGGTTTTCGGTGCAGGTTTTGCTTTGAATTTCAGTTGTTTCGACGCAATTTTCACCGATGTATCTGCCGGCGTTGCTGCGTTTCCTTGTGAGGCCACCGGACATGTCCCGCTTGCACTTGTGGACGGTGGCGTCGTATCAGTCACCATTCCGGCCACGGCATCTTCGAGGGACATCGAGATAGCGAGGCTCTCGAGCCGTTCGATTTCATTGTGAAGCACTTCCAGCCGTTGGTTTTTGTGCAGCAGGGCATTCGTGCCATTGTCGCCTTGACTCGCACGTGTGGTGTACGCCCGCACAAATGCGTGAACATGCGATGGTTCCCAATTCGAGCAAAAGTCGAATCGGTTCTCGTTGTCGACGACGTTCTGTGGTGTCCGCCGGATCGATTGATCGTGGTCGACGAACTGAGAGATCTCGTTGCCCATGGCTGGGTTCTTCCACTATGATGTGCCGCTTCGCGCTGAAACTTTCAACGAGGCGGGCATGGAAAAGTGTCCCACGTCGACAACGCCCAAATCCAATTGACGAGAGCTTGTCACTGCAGCAGCACGCACGTTTGCCGCCAGATCGCCTCGAAAATGATTAAGCGGTTTGATACGCACCCTGCCGCCGTCCTCCTCGTCCACAAACGCCGCAAGGATCCGTCGGCGCCGCCCAAGGCCAGGTTAATTAATGTTCGTCGTGTAACTGGTCGTCCAACATTTCGATAGATTTGCAACTGACCAATCAAAATCGTCGACGCCTGACCTGAATGCGCCAATTCACCTCTTTCGACAGGGACGCGCGGCGAGCCTCCAGTCCGCGGAATCTTTGGTCACTGCGCAGCCAACCCACGCTTCGTGAATCAACAACGCGGTCACATCACTTACCACGATGCGCCGGCCAGCCAAGAGCTCGTCCAAGAAAGTTGGGAAAGACAGACCGAGGCGGCTAAGTGATGATGGGGAGTCACCAGTCCCTGGCCGACGAAGCAGTGACGCCGATTTGGGTGGGAACGGAGCTGTCTACGACGACCACTACGGCATTAATGGAGATGCGTGCTACATGGAAGACTGTGGAGATGGTGGTGGGTGGTTCAACTGTGAATGTTTTCTCTCGCTTGTCTTGGTGGGCGTGCTGGTTGCGCTGCCCTTCAACCTCCACAGCACAAAAGGTACCACTACATTAAGTGTCGCCATGTCATGATGGATTATGTAGACCTGCTTCAGTCGCGAGACACGTACATCGTGAAGGCGGTCGAGTTGATGAAAGTCGGGTCGTGCGACGACGCTGTCAACTTGTACGAGCGGGCACTCATCGTGGAGGAAAGCGCGATGATTCACCATCAACTTGCCGACGCGCTAACGCAGTGTGGCCGGCCAAAGGAAGCGCTGGGGTACTACTTAAGCGGCATCCGGCTGGAAGAATCGACCCACAGGAAGGTGCCGTCCCTCATGGCAGTCGGCGACTTGTTCCTCAAACAGTCCGACTACAACATGGCGACGAGGACGTTCGAAACGATCGTGTCGATCTTGCAAGACGACCCAACCAAAGACCTTGTCGAGGCCTACATGAAGCTCGCCAAGGTCGACATGAGCCTCCGTCGGCTCTCCGCCGCGTACTCGCATTACACTGCGGCGAGCGACCTCATTATTGGCGACTCAATGCAAGCCGAGGTGCAGTTCCAACGCTATTTCCTGCAGCGGTCGTCGACTCATTGACGGGTAGGTTCACTACCGCATGGGTCAGTGCGCCCTCATCATGGGCAAACTCCCGCTCGCCATCGAAAACTTCAAAGTCGCCGCGGCCAAAGGCACCACATCCCAGAAATCCTTGTTCACACACAGCCTGGCGTATGCGTACTTGGTACGCTACACGCCACTTTGTTGCCTAGCGTATTTGAATGTGTTGTCCAGGAGCACGGCATGCTTGCCCAGGGCAACGACGAACTCGCCGCGCTCTTTGCCTCGCCGTCCATGTACACAGAGGAGCGGTACATCCGCGCGTCCTTCCAAGATCACCAGTATCCATCCGGTCGATCTCCCACGCAGTACATCGCGCAGCTCTTTGACATCCACGCCCAGCGCATTACGCAGCCTCCGCCCGCCAACCACGTCGATACGTTTCGTCAACTACATGGCCTACTCTTCGAGTCGGGTGTCCCGAACGCGATTGCCAAAGCCTTAATGTCCAAAATTGGCATTTCCGACGGCGACCACTGGCTCGATGTGGTCGATTTGGGCTGTGGATCGGGCCATGCCATGTCGTTCCTTCGCTCGTTGTCGAACTTTGTGCTTGGAATCGACCTCTCGCCCCTCTCGATTGAAAACGCCAGGAACTTGACCAACATGTACGACGACTTGCACGTAAGCCACCGTCTTGTTCCCAGACCATGCTGCAGCTACGACGCACGGCGACTAGGTTGGCGACTTCCTCGATGTCGGTGGAGGCTTGCCCGATGCGTCGTACGACGTAGTTGTGGCGATGAATTCACTGCCGTACTTTGGGGACCTCCGGCAGGTCGGTGCTTTCCCGTCGACCAAATACATGACGGGACACGTGACCAGGTGTTTGAACTGGCGCATCGGATTCTTCGGCCAAAGGCGTTCGTCGCGTTCAACGTGGACGTGCGGCAGAATGACGACGACAACGATCAACAAGACTTTAGCCTGCGCTTCTCGGGGCGGTGGCAGCACTCGGACGAGTACGTCAAGCGAGTCTTGGAGCGTCACGGGTTTGAACTACTGCATCAAGAGCAAGTGGAAGATGACCAAGTGTTTTACCAAGCCCACGGCGCACAAATTCAACACCGAGCCACGGGAAAGGCATATTCCAACGTGTACGTGGCTCAAAAGGTCGCAGATGACGTGTAAAAGAGGCAACTGGTCGAATCACGTTTCATGGTCGTGTATTTGGGAAAGGGATGAAAACAGAGCATGGCAAGGGCCAATGCTGTCATGGAGAGACGGGCGGTCGGGTGATTAATGGGCGCCGGTCAATCGCTTCACCGAGACTGCCTTTCCGAGGAGTTCCATGGTATCGCCGATGCTTGCCCCGACTTCCATGCCGGTCAAGTGATACCGCAATGGCATGAGCAAACTAGAAAACATGAAGGATCGATGCGCTGCGATGGAAAGGCACACCTTTTCAAGTTTAGGTTTCGTTCGTTGGCCGTTGCCTTGATCACGCCCATGATGGATTTCTACGGAAAAACTCAGCATAGTGTCGTGGGTGGATGTGTGCTGTACAGAATCAAAGTCGCTGTCGGCGAGGGCACGCAAGCGAGTTGTGGCATCTGCGACTGCCGCATCTACATGTTGGGACGATTCAATTTCCAACTATGGCAGTCGATTCGCCGGTTGTGAAGTACCCGTGTGTTCGTTCCAGTATTTCGCTTTCATCTCGACAGCGATCGTCGAGTCGTAGTCCGGGTCGGTGAAGAAGTAGTAAATCAAAGGGCCAAAATCGGGCAGCGCCCCAACTCGCTCCTGGAGACCGCATCAGTGGTTGCAAACAGATCAAAAATGGAATGAACCTTCATCAGTGATGCAGCGGACCAAATATAATCGTCGCTGAATGTCTCCAACTGGTGGATGTGGTCCACCAAGTACGGGCGAAGCGTCGCCACAACGTCGGCTTTGTCGGCAGTGTCGAAGAGGCGTCGGATGTGCTTGGAGTTGATCCAGCGAAGTCGTTCGATGTTTACAACGGAGCCACTCTTGTTGACGTGGTCCATGGAAAACTACACCAAAACGTTCGCACATTGTCGGACAAGTGGCACGACGTACAACGCTTTGAAGTTCATCCAGCGAAAAGATCTCTTGCTTGTTACCGTCCGACGGGTTCCAGCCAAGGAGGGCCACAAAGTTGACGAGCGCAGGTGCCAAAAAACCCTTTTTCTACTCGACAACTCGACGCTCAGTAGAGTCACACGAGTTCGGACAGACCTGGAAATCTTCCACGGCTACATCGCCTTGACGCTTGGACAACTTGGATCGATCTTCGTTCAGAAGCAAGCCCAAATGCGCAAACTGCGGCGCTCAGTGACTCGATTGCAAACAGAATGCTCAGACTTACCTCAGGCAGGCGAAATCCCAAAAACTTGTACAGCAAGAGGTGCTTTGGTGTAGAAGACAACCATTCTTCGCCCCGAATCACGTGCGTGATGCCCATCAGGTGGTCGTCTACAACGTGGGCGAGATGATACGTAGGGAACCCATCGCTCTTCATGAGGACCTACGACTTGGTCAAGACTGCAACAGAACAATCCCCGACTTACTTGGTCATCGACGACGCTGTGGTCGAACTGAACGTAGCCTCGGACAAGATCTTTCAAGGTCGTTTTTCCCTCGGGAACTTTGAGGCGAATCGTATGAGGATCTCCACGAGCTAGCTTCTCGTCGATTTGCCCTTGGTCCAGACCGAGACAGGCACGGTCGTACATGGTACCAGAACCAGACCGGACTGCCGAGTCGCGAAGGGATTTCAGGCGATCCTGCGAGCAAAAGCACCGATACGCATGTCCGTTCTACATCCATCGACACGATCGAATGCTTTGATATTCATGGGACGTCTTGGATACCTCGACGAGTGTGTCCGCGTACGATTTGTACACGTGCAGGCGTTCCGATTGCACGTATGGTCCAAAGTTGCCACCAGCGGTAGGACCTGTCGCTATGCAGTGAATTCTATTCGAAAACGTCCAACAGGTACCTTCATCTTCATGGATGCCGCACCATTGAAGGCTCTTTGTTAGAGCTTCCACCGACCCTTCGACTTTTCGAGTCTAGGCAGTCGTTGACGATCGGACAGTTCGGAGAAGACGACGTACCTGGTCTGTATCTTCAATTCGCATGAGAAAGTCACCGCCATGCGACTTGGCAAACAAGTAGTTGAACAAAGCTGTCCGCAGACCTCCCAAGTGGAGGTAGCCTGTTGGACTTGGAGCATAACGAACCCGAACAGTTGCTGGTCTCGTCGAGTACTGCACGACAGGACTAGCAAAGATGCTACGGCTGTAGAGAGAACCTATGTGTATCCGTTAGACTAGGCAATCAGCACAACGCCATACGTGGCCCAAGCTGCTGGACGAAGCGGTGCATTCCCGACGTCGCCACCCTTCGCATCGATCGGTGGGTTAAGTGGTCATCGACGAGGTCATCGTTGCCATTGGCTATCCGAATAGTACATCCGGAAACCACCAAGATGGACGTATAATGCGATTTTGGCCAAAAACAGAAATATCCTGTACAACATGTTAATAGACCTCTGGTCGTAAAGCTTGGTAATGTGGACTCGTTGTACATCACAAGTACTTGTCGTGCACACTTGGCCTCTGTTCCTTTCAATTCCCATGAGTACATTTCTCTGAACGCTCAAGGTCTTGGGTAAACGTACATAGGATCGAAACTTTACAAATATATATATTATATATGGCAAATAATCTGTCATAGATATTGAGGATACTACACATTTTATTGATGTGCATTTTCCAAAACAGATCAAGATCGCTGTCGTCATTCTTGATTCTGCCGTCGACTAGAGGGAGACATGTTGGCGCTGGCATCGTTCGTCTGCACAACTCTACTGGGCCAAGCGCTGGGGATGCCAAATCCAAAGGCTAATCCTGCAGCAGTCGTCTTAGCTGGCCACGCTCGCTTCACAGTTCTGACGTCGCAGCTCATTCGACTGGAGTGGAGCTCTGTCGCATCGGAGTTTCGCGATGTCGCCACCGTCGTTGTCAACAATCGCGCGCTTCCCGTGCCGACATATCAAGTGACGACAAAGGGCGAATGGGTCGAAATCACGACCGACACAGTGCATTTGCGCTACGACACAAGCAGCACTGTGTCGTTTTCTGACGCGAATTTGCGCGTCGAAGTTTCATCTGTCTCGAGCAAGAACAACACGGTCACGTGGACGCCCTCCTTGACCGACAAGGACGACAAGCGCCTGTTTGGGTCGTTGCGCACGCTGGACATGACGAATGGCACTGTCAACTTGGATTGCAATGCGGGAGGTCCCGACACGATCGCCGATTCGCATTGCACGTACGGGCTCATCAGTCGAAGCGGCTACGTTGTCGTCGACGATTCTTTGAGCTCTGAGCTCAACAACGATCCGTGGCCGTGGGTTGTCGAAAAGACCCCAACACCTGCCGCGGGTTGCGCGGCCATTCCTGCCCATGAACGCCGCGTATGTGGATACAACATCGTGACCCAGGACCAATGCGACGCAAACGGTTGCTGCTTCGACAACGTACGTTGTGTTGCCGAGGGGTGGTGGTGATGGTCCCATCCGTCTTGACGGTGTCTTCCCCCTTCGTAGTCGGCCTCCCTCCCGAACGGATTCATGTGCTACTACGGCACGAAAGCATACCAAGATTTGTACTTTTTTGGCCACGGTCTCCAGTACAAGCAAGCTTTGAAGGACTTTACGCGGATTGCTGGGGCCATTCCTCTTCCTCCGAAGTACGCCTTGGGTGTGTTTTACTCTCGATGGTGGGCGTACAACGACGTCGACATCGACGAGATCGCGAGCGAGTACCATACCCGGTCCATTCCCCTTGACGTGATCGTGCTCGACATGGACTGGCATTTGACCTTCTACAAGAATAACTCGGCCGATCAGAGTGGACAACCCAAGGGGTGGACCGGGTACACGTGGAACAACGAGTTGTTTCCGGACCCGAACGCCTTCTTGACCCACTTGCACGACCTCGGACTTTACGTGACGGTCAACTTGCATCCAGCGTCCGGCGTGCAGCCGTGGGAAGACTCGTACGATGCGATGGCACGAGCGATGGGGGTCGACCCAGCCACGAAACACTACATTCCATTTGACTTGACCAACAAAACGTTCACGACCAACTGGCTCACGCTGTCGCTCAAACCGCGGGAAGACGAAGGGGTCGACTTTTGGTGGCTCGACTGGCAGCAAGGCGAAGACTGGTTTGTCGCCCACCAACAGGCGTCCCCAAACCTGAACCCGACGCTCTGGCTCAACCATGTCTTCTTCACAAACCCGTTCCACTGGACTGAAAAGCGTCCTGTGTTGCTCCATCGGTTTGGCGGCCTCGGCAACCACCGGTACCCCCTCGGGTTCTCTGGCGACGTCGTCCCGTCGTGGGATTCATTAAAGTTCCAGCCGTATTTTACATCGATGGCGGCGAACGTCGGGTTTACGTATTGGAGTCACGACATTGGCGGGTTTCAGCAAGGCCACAACGCCGAGCTGTTCACGCGATGGATTCAGTGGGGCGTGTTCTCGCCCGTGCTGCGCACGCACTCTCAAAAGGTTTGTCCAACCCAAAGGCACCCACCAGTCACAAGATGTAGGACCGCGTGTCGGACCGCCGCATTTGGACGTACCCGACCACCCACTACGAAATCATGCGGCTCTACATGAACCTGCGCCGTCAGTTGGTGCCATACATGTACACCCAGGTACGCGCGGTCGAGCGCCACGAGAGAACAACCCAACGGTAGAGTCGCATCACGCATGAGACGGGACTTGGCCTCTTGCATGGTCTGTACTACGAATGGCCAGAGCTGGACGAAGCGTATTCCTTCTCGCATCAATACGTATTTGGTTCAGCGTTCATCGTGGCCCCGATCTTGACGCCTGTCGATGCCAAGACGCAACTCGCACACCAAACCGTGTGGGTTCCCCCTGGTGTCTGGTTCGATATGACCCTTGGGTCGTTGATTCAAGGGCCGACTGAATATTCCCATGCGTACGCCTTGAACGAAGTCCCGTGGTTTGCCAAGGCCGGCAGCATCGTTCCATTCGGCCCACGATCCACTCGAACGAGCCTCGGGCAAGCGCAGACATCCCCGACCGCGCTGACGCTGACCATTATTCCTGGCGCGTCCAGGGGAAGTGGCAGTCTCTACGACGACGCGGGCAACTCAAACGCGTACTTGAACGGCGAGCACACGTGGACGCATTTCACGTACCAAGCCCACGGCGACAGCGATGCTCAAGTCACGATTCACCCAGTCAATGGAACGTTTGACGGGGGCCATCGCCCCACCCGTCGCCAACATTACGTTGTAGAATTCCGCCATGCTGCTCCAGCACACACCGTCCAAGTCAACGGCCAGGACGTCAAGTTTGTTTCGTTCGGCGACACTGCTCATCTTGGGTGGACGTATGAAGCAAACCGACTGACCGTGCGCGTGCATTTGGACGCTGATATCGCTGCGACCACAACGGTAAAAGTGGAATTTGCCACGTCGTCCGGCCCCAAAGTGTCTTGGAATGGCGTGGTCGGAGGCATCGCCCGCCTCCAACAGGTCAAGACCCTCCTGGATCTCCAATTTGCGTACGCGGAAGACTATCCGTACCTGCGCCACGCGTATGGAATGAGTCGTCGAATTCAGTACAACCTGGCGTCGTTCTTCCACGAGGTGGCGCTGTGGCCGCAGTGGATCAAACTAGCGGTCGGCGAAGTTGCCAAGCTGAAAATCGATCCCAAAGTGCAAGCTCAAATCCTTCATCTCCTCGAAGATTCTGTCGGCCACACGACACATCATGGACCACCTCTGCGGTCCATCGATTTCGACGACGTCGTCGTTGCCGACGCGTTCATTTTCAACTAGAAAGTGTTGCGACATGCCCGCTCGTTCGCCACGACAGTTGAATCTCGTGTACATATACAGCACTTGAAAGTTTGCCATCTTTCCTTCCTTCGCGGTATCATGGTCAATGCCGACGACGCATCGAGAAGATGGATGTGGATATCTGCGACGCTGTGTATAAACTGCATCGTGACTTTCCGCGTAAACAACACGACAGGTCCGGACAAGGCGAATCGTCGTTGGAGGGCTCAGGAGGTTGGAGTGCGAGCATCGCTAGGGCACACGAACCAGTTGGTCCCACGGCACTCTTGCGAGCAAAACAGAACAAGTTGTTGGACCGGAAGAGATTGTACCTGCTGCCGTACTCCACAACTACCTCGTTGGTCAAGTTGCACACGATTGAACATGAACAGAAACACGGGGTTCATTTGAACTACTGCGGCAGTAGGTTACGACACAGGCATGCACAGAGCAGCGTACAATTGGAACGAGTGCGCATCCCCATGAAAACCTGCATGCGGACGACTTGGCTCGCATTGCGGCGACCGCCGCGAGCTTCGTTCGGTTCCTCACTTGTGACTTGTCGTAGCTTGATGCAGTATTACTATTAGCAACGTTAGTAGTTAGTACTGTCCCCAGTAGTATCCGGACATGTTTCAAGGGGATTATCCGGTCTGCACCACGCATTTGACTCCACTGAAAATGGTGGGCGGCCCGTACAAGCACACGAATGACCTGATCTTGGCCGCCGAGACATCGCTGGCGCTGTTGGCGCAAATGGACGATGGGGACGTCGGCGGTAGTCCACGTGATCTGTGCACCGATACCCATTACTCTGAAGACACCCGAAAACAGTACGCCCAATCTCCAGATGTCGAAGCATTTGACGGGTCGGATCTTGCCGAATTGACCACGACAGCACCAGTTGAGAGCTCTGTGCTGGATGGTCGCGCCCACATCAAAGTTCAGTTTCCAGATGGGACGGTCGAGTACATTGACGTGAACGCTGCCACCACGACCGTTGGGACGGCACTTGCGTTGGCCTGGAAGAAGCGCAACCACACTGCCCGCTTCCTGGACAAGAAGAAGCTTCGTGGGTTCTTTCAAGGCCGCGAAGTCGCACAGGATTGGTTCTTGCTAGATTGCGGGCTTGCGTTGGAAGGCACGTTGCAGATACACATCGCGCAATCGACAGAATGGACGTCGTTGGCGTCGGCGACGTTTTCGTCCAACAACTTGTTCATTTCATCCATTTCGAACGCATACCAAACCGAATCCGAGCGACAGTCGGACGCGGACTCGTCGATGGGTGGCATCGTGACCTCGAAACCTGTCGAGTGGCTGGAGCACCAGGTCCGGCCTGAAGAACAGGAGTTTGCCGCCGCCCTCGAGCGCTTTTACCAGAAAATTGACATGGTGGACGAACCGAACGCTATATGTCAGCATATCCTGACAGAATACACGGACATTCTGCAGAATGAAATGGCCAAGCAAGAGAATGCCGCCACCACGTCGCCGTACCAGCTGCATCCGCATTCCTCCCGGGCAATCGCCGACGTGAACGTGTGGGAAGAGCTTCGGAACGAGCGAAACACGTGGCGACTCCTCATAGAGCTTCGACAATTGAGCATTCAATCTCAAGCGTCGGAACCTCCGTCGATCCTCGACGAGATCGATCTGGACGCGGACACAACCGACATGGACGCGATTGCGTCCCTCGAGTATGGGCAATACTTTGCAGTCAAGAAAACTGTGCTCAACTGGCTCGAGTTCATTGCGTCCGAGCAAGTGTCGGTCACAAACGAGCTCCGCAGCATGCAGCACTCGCGCACGCTCCATCGCGTCAAGCAGCGGTCGCTGTCGTTCTCTGTGGATCCGGACAGTACCCTTCGGGACGGCGATTTTCAAGTTGACAACGACGACGCCGAAGACGAAGCAGACTTGCTCAAGAGCGTGTGGCAACTGCTGCGAGCCGGGCAGCCCAGGGAAGCGGCTGAGTTGTGCATTCAGTTAGGTCAGCCTTGGCGAGCGGCTTCGTTGAATGGGGGAGATTTCTGTGGGTCGTGCGACAACGACGACGGCGGCGTGCAACGATGGGGCAACCCGTTTCGCATGGTGTGGAAGAATATGTGTTGGCAATTTGCCCAAGCCCCGCTCAACGACGGCCGAAAATTGCACAAAGGAAAGAGCCTTGAAGCCCGTGAGTACGAGTCGATCATTTACGGTGCGCTGAGCGGCAACACGGCGGTGCTGCTTCGATCCGCGCTGTGCGAGTCGTGGGAAGATCACTGCTGGGCACTTTTGAGTGCTGCCATGAAGTACGAACAAGACGCTATTCTTTTGCGCTTGCTGAAGGTCAAGGCCGACGCGACAGATCTCTTTCTTGAAAACAATCCAGACTACGTCCGCGTGGTAGAGTCTTTTGTCGAGCAAACCAAGCCCATGGCCCGCTTCACTGCCGCCGTGGACAAAATATTCGATGAAGTCGCCGCGAGCCCAAACGATGTTGTGCGGCGGCAAGGCAACCATCCCCATCGGCGCATCCAGTCCAAATTGGTGGTATCGGACGTCGACGCGATTGTGTCGTCGATTCTTAAGCCGTTTTTCGTGCCCGACGCAACAACCTCTTCCGATTTTTCGTGGGACCTCCAGTTGAATTCGACGTTGCCTTCCGATGCGCTGCCCCCACAACTCGTACGCTTTGCGGCCCACTTTGTGCTGTTCATGACCACCACGGGCGAATCGTTTGACCCGTTGACGGGGTATTTGATTCAATTGGCGTACATTCGGCATCTCATCAAGCACGACCAACGCAATTTGGTCGCGTTGTACGCCTCCCGATTGCCTGACGACGGCCGAGCTTCAGTTTACGTTCAGTTCTTGACCTCGATTCGCAACGCAGACACACGCCAGGACTGCCTCAAGTCGATTGCCAAGTTTTGTCACAACCCAGACTTGTTTTCCCAGATTACAAAGGACGCTGTCGAGCGCATTGTCCAGCATGAGTCGGACGACATGACCCGCATCCACGCTCTTCGCTTGCTCTGCTTGGACCCGTTGCATCGAGGGGAGCTTCTACACCAAGCAAACTGGCTCGCTCGTCAATTTGTGGTTGAAAACAAACAGTCGCTCCTGAAAACGTTGTTCGAATCCGTCCCCAACGACTCGCTTGCGGTCATTGATGACTCATGCCAAAGCCATGTCGAAGCGCAGGATGCCGACACCCCCTTTTCATGGCGACAATATTCGACAGCACACCCCAAGTTGAGCGTCGCGATCCGCGAATATTTGGGATGGATGGCATTTGTAGCCGCCACAAACGCGTACGAAGAGTGGCGCCAGGTTGTGTCGCATGCAAACGGCGGCGGCCTGTTGTGCTTTGATGACGAGGCGAAGCGAGTGAAAGTTGTGACGTATCATGCAACCCACGCCATCTCGTTGCTCTTTGACGTGCTGCAGTTCGAAGGTGGATGGCTGTCCAAGTGCCTCGACGACGCGAGCATGGTCGCGTCGAGCGAATCGATTCGCGCGGCGTGCCTTCCATTCATTGTGTTTTCGCTCTACCATGTCTGTTCCGATGCCATCGACTCGTTTTCCGACCTCCATCATTATCCACCCAAAGCAAAACAAGATTTGGCGTTTCCGTTTGCCCAGAAAGCGCTGCACCTTGCATCCGTTGTCGCGAACGAACACTACAAGGTCTACCGGTCATTTCACACTGACCAACTCAAGCAGCTGCTGCACCTTCTCCAACAAAGCGCGTCCAGCATGATTGCGCTCAAGGACTGCCTGCTCCTTTAACAATAAATATCGCCGTCATTTACGACTCGCTCAACGATTCCGTTGGCTCGCCTCGCCACGCACATGAGGGCAGTTCGTAGCGAGGTACGACAATCTTGCTATGGAGTAGTAGTAGTACCGAGCTAGAAACAACTGAGCTTCTCGCCAAGTTGTCGAGTTTGGAGGAGTGATGCTTCCATCGAGATATGAATGGCGATGCACGCACATCCGTGGCGATTGAAAAACGGAAGTGTCGACAGCAGGGCTTTCGACGTGACAACGTCGTGAAGTCGAGCTGCTTGAGCTCGTCAAGTTGATGAAAGGATGCAAGTCTACAGCTCCAACGAGCAACATCGTCCTTGTAAAATCAGCCATGACCGCATGCGCAGAATCATGCCACGAAGCGACCAACCCCAACACAAACGGGTGAGCGCACAGTGGTCGGCCACGGAGGTAGGTATATTGAGCCTCCACATTGGCATGGGGGCCAGGTTCTACGTCGCACACCCACCGAGGCAGGCTGGATTACGTCTTGAGCGCCTTCTTCTTGGCCTTATACTTGTCCCAGTGCGCCTGCACCTTTTGATTGTAGTTCTTGGCGTGCTTTTGCTGCGTCACCGTCAACGTCACGACCTGCAGCACGTCTTCGTCCTGGAGGACATGGTCCTTCCCGACGCGCTGGGGATTGTACTTGGTGCTTGTGCCCCACACCAGCGCAAAGTTAAAGTTGTCCAGCATATCTTTGGAAATCTGCCGTTTGATTTTCAGCGACGGCACAACTCCACATAGTCGACGTACCGACATACACGCCGAGTTGACGGTCGTTCCTTTGCGCTCGGACGACAGCACCACGGGCTCCAGCAGCTCGGGTTGCTACAGCACACCCGCACGTTCCTCAACACGCAGCAATGGAGCTCGTACCTCGCCTCGCCGCTTCGTGTACACCCGCGTGAGCCCCATATACTTCCACATCGTTGCCAGTAGATGGTCAAAGTTAAGCTAACCACAAGTCACCCATCAAAAGCTAGACCAGCGAACGGTGAAGCACCGGTGGAACTAGCCACGGGCACACGACAGCCGCTCCACAAACGTCGACCTACCGCTGGCCGCCCGTTGTGCTCGCACGCAATCACGACTGAATGCGGCAATCTCGCCAGGCGGTCCACATCCTCGATCGAGACAACGTCGATCTTGTTGTACACGTAGAGGCACTTGATGTACTTGCGGTTGCCTTCGAGGACGTCGATGAGGTCGTCGACTGTGCAATCCTCCCGAAAGAGGAGCTCGCAGTTGTGGATGCGGTACTCATGCAGGATCTTGTGCACTGTTTTGGCCGGATCATCGCCAAGCTATGCATTCACCATGGGCATCGCACGCACATCCTAGCAGCATGAACTACCTTGGTCAGGCGCACTGTCGCGTTGAACTGGACGCCACCACCCGCCTTCTTTCGAAAGTAAATGTCTGGCGGGTTGCGGTTCAAACGAAGGCCGACGGTTTCCAGCTCGTTCTCAAGGATCGTGCGGTGGCGATTGCCTTCTTCCCGCCCCGCGTCCAACACCATGAGGATCATGTCGGCCGATTTGGACACGGCGATGACTTCGCGACCACGACCTTTCCCGTGAGAAGCTCCTTCAATGATACCCGGCAAATCCAGCAGCTGAAAGAGGTAGAGCAAGATCAGGATGGCCTTGGACAGTCGATAGAGCATACCTGGATTCGAACGTCGTTGTACATGAGGTTGCCAGGAATACACGTCAGCGTGGTAAACTCCACCGAATTTGTTTCAGACTCGGTGTCCGTCAATTGACTACATGCAGCGCTAAAGTTGGCGCGACGTCGTGGATTGAATTGGAGTCAACCTGAGCAACGTCGACTTGCCCACGGACGGGAACCCAATGAGAGCCACCCGACCATCCCCACTGCGCGCCACGTCAAAGCCTACGATTCGTACAAACATGACGGCATTCGCACAATACGTGAGGATGTTTTGCAAGTGTACCTTCGCCACCACCGCCGCTGGACTTTTCGCCGTCAAGCAACTCAGTGCGCAACTTGGCCAACTTTGCTTTCAGGTGCCCCAAGTGCCCTTCTGTGGCCTTGTTCTTCTGGGTCCGCTTCATCTCATCCTCTATGACACCTTTAGCTACACCCATACGACAGGTTGCTCGCACCAATTTCCTTGATCTTATCCAAGATCCCCATGTTGCTGCAGTCCTCCCTTGGGCGCTCCGGCGATGAATGGTGTCTCGCTCAAAACCATGTTGTTGCATTCCAATTAAAATTCAAATTAAAATACATCGTTTTTCTTTCTCAAACGCAAATAATTTTGGTTCAATGAATTCAAACACTCGAACACGGGATTTTAATATCAACCCATCGTCACGGTCGGCTCGTCTAATCAACGGACAACGAGTACATGAGCTTCCCGGCGGGGCTGCACGGTAGGAACTCCACAAGGCGGATGTCCAAGTCTTGCACCACTGATGGTAGATGCGCAGCACACCACCTCACGAGCTCATCGTGGGTACTTGATGGTGCAACGACCAGTGCCACAGGTTTAACAAAACCTGCCGACATGCGCGACCGTACCAGGAGTGGTAAGAGCACATCCGTCACATGTGGATTGGTGCGAAAGGTACGCTCGACTTGTTGCGGCGGAATAAATACGTCCAGCCCTTGGTGTCGGAAATGAATGGGTTCTCGCAGTCTCTGCCCGACGAGGATGATGCCTGACGTCAAATCCACTGCGCCGCCATCGCCAGTGTGGTAAAACCCCGTGCGGCTGATGGGAGTCAGCGCACCATGCTCCACGTAACCAGCGCATTGCCACGGCGTCCTCACGTGAATTTCACCGTCTTCGTCGACACTAGTAACTCGACCCTTGCTCGTTGGTCGCACAATACGCACTTCTGTGTCTGGCCAAGGATGTCCGACTGGTTGTAAACTGCTTTTGAGCTCGCTCGGGGACTCTACGCTCGGCAGCTCCGTTGCAATGCCGCCTGTTTCGGTGGAACCGTAATTTTGGAGCACAGTGAGACCGAATGAATCGCGGAGGTTTTGTTTGAGGTGTGCCGGCAAGGTGGTGCCAGCACTGAAGGATACGACATGGGCCAGGGATAAATTTGACGTGGCGGACTGGAGAATCTTCGTGTAGATGCCAGGGGTGCCGTATAGAATGGTAGTTGAGTGGATGCTGGCGCTTGACGGTGGAGATAACGACGACGGTTGGGACATGGGGCTCTGTATTGCGTGGATGTCAATGCCAAGCAGCAATTCACACAAGTCGCCGTACGGCGACATGTAGATCGCAAAGAGGGCGTTAATTGCGTAGGCGTGAGCAATAGAAGATGCACAAACAAAGCGGCAGGGCCCATGAGGAAAGAGTGCTTTCTCGGTGGCCTGACCTTGAAGGAACATGCTGCTCCATGTACAAAATACGACCTTGGGCCGCCCCGTGCTGCCAGACGTGAGCATGCACACACCTCCACCGTTTTGAACTTGGTCGTGTTGAAGCCATGCGGGAGTTGGTGGTGGTGAGGCCAGGACATGCTTTGAAACATGGTGCGTCTGTGGATTCACCACGAGTGAAATGCCCGTGTGCTCGGCGACGTATGGTACCATGGCTTCTTCTTTGGATGACGGAACAAGAACACAAATCTGCTGGAGGATTGCCGCACCAACGATGGCCAACGCGCCAGCGCGCGTGTTTTCGACAACGAGGATGAACGGTGTCGTGGCTGTACTGTCTCGCTTGAGAAGGCTTTCCAGCAGCGGCACACCTTCTTCAAGAAAGCATTTTCGAGCATTCTTGATCACGGTCAGCGGTGTCGGGTTGACGGGAGCAGGGCTTGCTCCGTCGCCACTGTGCCCGATGGCCTTCATCTGGCCGCCTTGGCGGACAATCATCAGCGAACTGCAAATTCGTGGCTGTGATTGGTCCGTTGACAAATATTTCTATGAGTTTGATTGGCTAAAAACTCAATCGACAGTTTCAAAACTAAGTTTCGACGAATGTGTCAATTCTGTACATACACGCGGCGGCAGGCCATAGAATTCCAGCGCTGCGCATCTCTGGGATCTATGAAACGTGACAACCAAGAGCCCAATGAGGAGAATGTTCGCCCTCCATCGGCTGTTAGAGGAAGCAGACTGGGAAGCCGAGCAAGTTACATCGCGGAAGTGCCGAAACACGATCCCATCCTCCCCACTGTGAAGGTGCACTTTCCATCGTTCAAACCAAACGTGGCGCCCCCCGCAACAGGTAATCTGCACGGTGCCACGTTTGCACGTGAACTTTGTTTGGGTAGGCGCCATGGATGCTGTGGTGAAACTAACCCCACGCCCACCAGCGTCGTCTGGCCCTCAACTCCGTCCGAAGAGCAGTGCTGCCCATCGCCAAGTTGGACGTCTTTCCACCGGCATTTTGCACCTTTCCAAGCAACTGACCTATAAAGAACGTCCAAACACATCCAGTGGGGCGAACCGAAGACCCCTGACTGACACATCGTCGTGTTTTCTCACCCAACGCCCATCGATGACTGTTGAACACGAGAGCCATGCCAACGATTCAGCGTACTGCTTTGACAACTACTTCAAGTCAAATTGGTTTCGTGATCGAGAAGAGTGGCTCCGCATTGCTCATTGCAACCCAACTCGTGGCAAGTCCTTGTACTTCGAAAGCACGGGAGATGTCTACGGTGACTGGGCTGACTGCATTGTCAAAAGCTACAATGCCAAGGTTCGTTCACATCGTCGTCACAATCGTGTTGTGGTGAGTCACCAAGTGGCTGAATAGACGGGAAAGTTTTGGATCGAATTCGTCCATTCTGGCATTGAAAAGCAAGTGTTTCGAACGAATTTGCTCCTTCCTTCCATCGGTACGTCCAGCCGTGTCGCAGAACGGACAACTTCCAGCCATGAATCACATGGATGGCCTAGACGACGAGTCCGAGTTTCTTCGGCAGCGTGAGATCTACTTTAAAGAAACGAAACTTATCTACGAGCTCGTGCGATGCCAGCGGTTTGTCAGCCACGACACCACGGCGAACGCCACCGACCTCGGCACCTTGTCACTGAAAATCAAAAGCCGCATCACACACCTCGCAATTCGTCGTAACATCACGAACACGTTGAACGTGCATGGCTCCATATTGGCAGATATGCTGCGCGTCATCGACGATGACTACACCAGCATCATGAAGCGGTCCAAGGCCGAGGTCGAGGAAGACAGCACGCCACTGCATTCGGCGTTGGTGCGATCGTACTTGCAGCAGCAGCGGTTGACGCACTGGTGCCATCAGCCGCACATTCCATCTCGCCTGCTCGCGTTTTCCAAAGTGCGGGAGAAAATTGTCGCCACCCACTTGGATGCGACACGAGCGAGTGTTCTTCTCCTCCAAGGCATCATGAAGAAATCCCACCAAGTCCTACCCACTGTTGAACTTTTCCATCAAATCGAGAGCGACTACGACGCTGCCGTAAGTTCCATTGACTTCCATTAAGGACCGACCACATCAAACATGCGCAGAAACACCGCTTGCGGCCGCCATACTCCCTCCAAGACTACGTGGCTATCCAACAGGAGCACCTGTCTGAAGCGTTTGACGTGTGTCAATTCGAGTGGAGACAAGAGGTGGGCAGCTCTGGATGCATCAAACATGACGTGATTTCGTGCCGCAGATCATCCAGCTCATCGAGGGCACGAAGATCCCATCGGCATTGCAGCCCAACATGCATCGTTTCACCAAGCGAGTCGACTACATTCTCGCCAATGAACTCAGTCAATCAGTAATGTTTATCTATCCACTGCACCAACGGCGTTGTATGATAACAACGCTTGCTCTGTAGCTTGAGGCAGCGTTTGGCGATTTGCACGAAACGCTGTTTGGCCGTCGATGTAAACATGTGACCGAATCCAGCGACAACACAAGGCCTGTCTCGACAATTCGTCGACGGAACTGGAGCGCTATGTTCAAACCACGGCTCAAACCTCCTCTGATCCAACTTGTCGTTGTGTCGACAGCATCCAACGACGCCAAACGTACCGTGAGCTTCCATCCGACGTTAGTGACAGTCCAACTGGCCATGGAAAAACTCGTTTTCACTGCCATCTCACGATGCATGGAAATCTACTGCATCCAAGGTGAAAGCAGTTTGAATTCGGCGGAAGACGTCAAGGTGACCAAACGCGTCCCTTTGTTGAGAAAGGTGTGCGCTGGAGCTTTCGCGGGCAATCTGGAATCATGTATGTGTGTAGAGTCGCGAAGTGACGGCCCTGGGCACTAGAGCAATGAAGGAGTTCCGCGCGTCGTTCAACCAGGCCGTGCTTGGTCCTCGACAACTGGCAGAGAACATTCAAATCCTTTGCGATAGTCTCCACGACCGACGCATGGCGCTGCTCGCGCTATATAAGGAACGCACGGACGATTTTCTGCCGCCAGACGACTTCAACGGCATAATCGACGAGCTTCGGTGGTTTGGCAAGGCCATCCATGATGTAAGTCTCTCTGCAACCACGTCAACGCTCTCATGTTGACATGGATTTTGCGCTATCTGACGTGTAGGTGCACAACCTCGTCAGCGACGTGGAGCAGTTTCAGCTCGTAGAAATTACCACGGCAGACATGAAAAAGGTGTGCCGTTTGTCAGATCTGCACAAAAACAAACGCGTGCCCGTAGGCGTTGACAGCCGATATCGAACGCACGATGCAAGATGCCTTCGAGTACTTGTGTGTGAACTGCCATCACCAAGAGCGGCGGATCGCAGACAAGTACGAACAAGACCGGAAGACCCTTGCCACCAACCCTCAAGACGAAGCAACTCTGGACATCTTGTGGACGTTCTTGAGCGAGATCGAAAACGTCGTGCATGATCGACGCATGGACGTGCAAAGCATCGAAGGTCGGTTTACGACGTTGGAGTCGATTGGAATCATGATAAATAAACCCGTGCCTGCGTCGACGACAAAGTTTCACTGGACCCTACGGAAATACCCATCCATCCTTGTGGACGACACCAAAACCTGCAGCGACGCATGCGAAGCTCGCAAGAAAACGCTCAGTTCGTCGCTGTTCATGGAAAAGCGGGCGTTTGAGGCCGAGGTCGTCCGTCTCAAGGAAGCGATTGACGTCTTGACGACTAAGACGGAATGGTCCAAGGAGAACGTCGACGTGTATGCGGACGACGCGCAAACCTTGCACGACACCGTCGAGGCTTGTCTTCGACAGCTCGAAGACTTTGCCCGCCGTGATCGCATCTTTGGGTGGACACCCATGGAGACGACGAATGTGACGCTTCTACAAGCACTCCTCGAACCGTACTACCTGTTCTGGACCACATCATCTGACTTTACGTCGTCGACGACGACGTGGTCCAAGACACCGTTTGAATTGTTGACGGCCAAAGACGTGGTGAATAAAGTTGGCTCGTGGAAGGAGCAGCTGAGCTCCTTGGCGGTGCAGCTCGGCAAACACTCCAAGCTCCAAGGAGCATTAGCAACTCTGAACACTGAAGTACAAGCGTTTTGTGTGGGGATGCCAATCATTGAGATGGCTGCAACGGGCGCGATGAAGAGCCGGCACTGGGAAACGATTGTCGACCTTCTTGAAGTGGATTCGAGAGTCATTCAAGACGACCGGTTGCTCTTCACGCTGGACGATCTCATTCGAGGCGGCATCATCTCGATCCTCGATTATGCTCGAAGCGTCCACGACAAAGCGCTGCGGGAGTTTCACTTGGAACAGCGCTTGCACACCCTCAAGCGAGAATTTGGCAAACCGATTGTTCAAGTTGAAAAGTACCCGTTGAAGGACACGTACCTCGTCGTCAACTTTGGGCCGCTGCTGGACATTGTCGAGGACCAACTGATCACGATTTACCAAATGAGCCACAGCGACGACGTTGGCCCGATTGCAAATGATGTTGACGAGTGGAAGCTCAAGCTGCAGTACACCCAAAACTTGCTCCAAACGTGGACGCAGGTCCAGCGGACGTGGCGGTCGATGGAATGTTACTTTTACAGGCAAAAGGAAGGAGACAATTCCTTTCAAGACTTTGCCAAAGTCGAGTCCACATGGCGAAGTGTGTTGGACTTGGTGCGAGGGAACCCCGGTCTGGCCAAGATTGCCGATTCGGACAACGTCAAGGTTACCGTCAGCGCAGAAGAATATTCATCTCACATTTGGATGTGTGCATGGGATGTAGGAGCCCCTGGAGAAATGCTTACGAATTCTCCGGAGCATCAACAAGGTCGTGAATTCGATTCTCGAAACCAAACGCTCGATCTTTCCAAAACTGTTTTTGATTTCCAATTTCGATTTGGCCCGAATTCTCGCGGCGCAATGCATCCAAGACATACCACCAAAGCTCAATGGCCTTTTTGAAGGCATCGACTGCTTTGCCGTCGACGACAACGACCACATTCACGGAATCACGCTCAAAACGCGAGATACCCTGCACCTCATCCATCCTGTTGCCATTTCCAAGCCAAATATCGATGGATGGTTTGTCGATGTCGCCCAATTCCTCATGGCGTTAGACAAGTCCATCAAGTATTCCATTCAACACCTGATCGCAAGCACATGCCTCGACGCTGGCATGAATGCCGTGTTTGACACTTGTGTGCCGCTGCAAGTGATTCTCGTTGTGCTGCAAATACACTGGACTTCGTCCATGGAATGCGATGGCGACGATCGATGTGGCCACGACTCGATGATGCAAACCCTCCTTGGACTCGAGCACGGACTGATTGCCAAGATTCGATCGAGCGCAACAGATGTCAATGTTGCGACCGTGCTTGCCGAAGTCATCAGTCTTGTCCACAAAACCAAGTCGCTCGTGCATTGCAACACAACATCATTTGAGTGGCTGTCGCAGTCCCGACGATACCTGCGGCCTTCGCCCGACCACGACATGCCCACGCACGTCGTTCAAATCTTGGACACCGAATTGCCCTACCAAAATGAGTTGTTGTGCATTCGCCAGCCCCAGACCAACATCTCGACCGACAACATGCTGTACAGCGTTTTCATCGCGCTGCGACACCTCCGCGGCCTGGCGCTGCAAGGATTTCACATTGTGCACACCGCTGTTCATTTGACGCAATGGATTGGTGCGTCCTTGGTAGTCGAGGTTTTGTCCAAGGAAACCACGTGGAAGAACATTGGCCAAGTTTTGCGAGGGGCCGCCGCGACTGGGTCGTGGCTTTTGCTCCACCACCTGAACGACGCCCCGACTTCCATCTTATCCATCCTGGTGCAAGTGATGGCGCACGTTTCTGCGAGCCACGTGCTGCACCCTCCTGTGATCCAGATCCCGCACTTTTCCAAGGTTGAACTCCAGCCGTCGTTTGCGCTGCTGACGACCGTGAACAAACGAACACGTACCGAGTTGCCCCCCAGCTTGAGCGCGATGTTTATGCCGTGCTCGTTGATCCAGCCGTGCCTGCTCCAGTACACGATGAGCACACTCTACATCTTCGGGTTTATGTACGTCATACGTATGGGAGAAACGTCTTCCCACATTCGCTCACGCCACAAGGCAGGCACTTTGAAACGATCGGGAAGCGCATTGTGCGGTTTTTGGAAACGATGCGCATCGAACACCACAACCTGTCCAGTGACATCACACTCACGGCGCTCCTGTCCCACGTCTATATTCGTGTGCTGATTCGAACAGCGACGTGCGACTTGGCATCGCACACGATTCAAGCATTCAAGATGAAGAGCTTGGACGACGAGGTGCATGCCGTGTACCACGCGATCGAAAAAGTGTTTTTAGCCAGGCTGTCGCGCCAAGGTACTGCTGGTTGGTTCAGCAATGCCATCGACGCTCATCGTTTCAACACATAGACGTGACGACTCTGACGCGAGGGATTCTCGACAAAACGTTTGGGGTGCCGTTCCAGGTTGATGCAACCAATGCCTTGACTAAAGACGACATTCAACGTGCCATGGCAACGTGGCAGTCGTCGGCCCAACTGACTTCGTTGAATGTCGACGTGTCTGACTACGTTGTTTCCAATCTCAACCAATTTCTCGTCAACACGGACGTTTATTTGTGCACCCTGGTCTCTGGAGCTCCCGTGTCAGGAAAATCCACACTTGTCAATGTGGCCGCTGCTGCCAGGACAGTTGCGAACCCGTTGGTCAAAGTCAAGGTACGACAAATGTGGCTTGGATTCGTCTTTTGCTCATCGAGCCATGCCGTTCGTCAGGTGATGCGCGTGTACGTGTCGAGCGTCGAGAACCTTATGGGTTCATTCTATGGCGAACCCAATCTGACGACCTGCTCGGTTCTGCAGCACTTCATCCACGACGCAACAACGTCGTCAAATACGGTGACGTGGATCGTCCTGGATGGCGTGGCGTCGGAAGACATGACGGATGCGCTCGTGTCATTTCTCGAGCAACAACTCAACATGCGTCTCTTTAACATGGCGAAAGGCATTCAACACAAGTGGCGGTTGCTCATTGAGACTGACAGTTTGGCTCATGTGAATCCGAGCTTTGCGTCCGTGTGCGGTCACATTTACATGGACGCGACATGCTTGACGTGGCGTCAAATTTTGACGAGCTGGTGCCACAAGCCCGCCCGTCCATCCAGCGGGACACTCCATAGCAAGGCAGTTGTGGACCTAGTATTCTGGGTCATGACAACTGCATTTGCATTGATGCCACCGAAACACCCCTCCATGGCGCATCAGACCCAGCACATGCTCAGTGTGTGTCGACTTGTTGACATGATGGTGGAATCTGTTGGTGGTTGGCCCGCGCAAGGCCATCAAGCCGTTATCATGGCCGAAGGGTGCTTCGTGTTTGCGGCTGTATGGTGCATTGGAACGACGCTCGACGACGTTGCCGTGAAACAAACGTTTAGTGACTCGTTGAAAGATGTCTTAGCCGGCGTCAAGAAGCACATGCGACGGTCGTCAGTGCCATTCCCGCCCAACGAACCCACCAAGTCCGTATTTGACTACGCTTTTGACATGTCAAGCTTGACATGGCGCGGCTGGGACGGCATGGAACCTCCCTTGAAAGTCCCTGTGGGCATCGTACCTCACACCAACTTTTCCATTGGATCGTACTTTCAACGTATTGTCGTTGCCAACAAGCCCATGACACGGATGCCACTGGTTTTATCGGGCCCGACGGCATGCGGCAAGACGACACTGCTGCAAGCGCTTGCCACGCCAGCGCTGTCCCAGCAGGTCATTCCAGGATGTCGCCATCGGACGTCGTTTGAAACAAAGATGAAAATCCTGGACCCGCTCGTCGAGATTCGACAAAATTGCATGGGGACGCGCACGGAATCAACTCATATCGTGATTCTCGAGGACGTCCATGTGTGTGCAAGCACGGGGTTGGACTGTGTCCGGGAATGGGTAGAGCGCAACCAGTCATGGCATGTCGAGAATCGGTCCGTCGCAGTACCGCACGCCGTGTTTCTGGCGACGATGCACCCGATGCCAAGCACAGACAGCACCGTGACGCATCGAATCCTCCGCCATTTTTTGCACATTCGACTGGCACAGTACACGGACGACGTTTTGCGGACCATATGCATGGCTACAATTCAGCAGTCCACGTCGTCGAGCGCCGTCCAATTTCCGTTTGGGAATGAAATCGCCACGTCAACGGCGCGGTTGGTGCACCATCTTCGGGGCAAGAAGACGCTAGGATGGAACGTTCTTTCCCGAGGCCTCGACATTGTGAGGGTCGTGTGTACAATGCCCGGTGAAGTGTACGCATCGTCCGGAGTGTCGATGCTTTGGAGCCACGAGTGCCAACGCGAGTACGAGGATGTGTTTCGGAGCTCGCAAGATGTCGAGTGGTTCCGTCAGCATCTTGTTACGACCTGCCGGACGGTCTTTGGCGACGAGTGTGCAGACAAACTCGTCACAACGTTCCGACTCAATCCACTCATGTACAGCCCCAACGTAAACCAGCCGAATTGCTACGAAGAGATCTTCCGTATCAAGTACATGACAGACACGATGTCGACGTGGGGCAAAACCCACCGCCACGTCGCTAGCAACGCTTTCATGTCGTCGTCGCAAGCTGGATTCCTCGCCAGAGTTCTGCGTGTGCTGACTCTCCCACTACGCGTGCACCACCGCACGACGTGTATCTTTGCTTACGGTCCATCTGGGGGCAATGCCGTCCTCGCGTCCACATTCGAGTTGGTCAGCGAGATTCTCGACTGCGCCTTCCGTTTTGAAACACAGGACGGTATCGTTCCCTATTTGCAAAGCGACAAGGACATAGCAACACGCAAGATTGTGCTGGTCCAAGACGCCCATGGCATACCCCATGACACGTGGAACGACATTCAAACGCTTCTCGACCGACCGTCGCCACTCGCCGCCGCGGGACAGCGGCTTTTTGTTGTGTTTGTGTTCGACGTGGACCTGTCGAGCCCGCCTCTCGACGATGGTTGCATCACAACGTACTCTGTCCTCTGCGATCGTCCGAGCTTGTACAAACACACGCACATCATTTGGCTCGTCAACAAGACCGAGAGCAGCGACTACTGCCAAATCATTCGAAACGCATTGAAGAATGTCCTGGTGGACCACCCCATGCGCGACGAGCTCATCCACGTATACGCTGACATCCAGGAGCTGAACGAGATGCACTTGACTCAATTCGGTTCGACCGAACATGCGTCGTCGATCACGCGATTCGATTTCTCTACGTGCTTGGCAGCGCTCGTGTCGCACACGACCGCCGCCATCAAGCAGAACGAGAAGCTCCTGTCGACGGCGTTGACCAACGCCACCCAGGTGACCACAAGCATCAACAACATCGCCGGCACAATTCGAGCCATGTCCAAGCGCATCTATGACAAAACTCAACGTGCAGCAGACTCGTCGCTCGATCTGGTGCCGCTGCAGCAGTCGGTACATGACACGATCGCTGCCATTCGCAATGACGAAGACGAAATTCACCGGGAATCCGTCGAGTGCGATGCGTGGACAGAAAAGTTGAAAACCCACATGGAACCACTCGACAAGGACCTCCGGAGCCGCCTTGCCGAAGTGTTGGCGTTTACGGACGAGTGGATGGATGAACCCAGACTGAACAAACTTCCCATGGGCTTGACGGCTCAGATGGGCGACATCGTCGTGTCGATAGGGTCTCAAATGAAGAGCCACAGGGAGTCGATTGTGGCTCTGGTTAGCGACGCGGACGATACGCGATCGAAAAAAGGAAGCGTTCGGTTCACCCTGCAGCGCATGCTGGTTCACTTTGCCGGCACGTCGCCGTCGGTACTTTCCAAGATCAAATTCATGTCGAACATGGCCAAGGCCGACATGCACACGCAGACGCCGTGCGTGCAATCCGTCATGGGTCTTTTGGACTACATTGTCAAGTGGCATGTCGGGTTTGACGCAAGCAAGAAGATGTCGACCAAGATCCAAGACGGACGCGGTCGTATCCAAGCGATTCAAGCGAGACGCGCGGACGCGTTCCAAAAGCACTGCACGCTTCAAAACCAACTAGACATGACGCTTGCGGACCAAGATTCTCGCAAACACGAACTTGTGTCGTTGGAACGGGACATGGAGAAGCTTCGGCAAGCACGAAGCGTCATCGAAGCCTCGCAGGACTACCTGGACGAAAACCTCTCCAAGTGGAACGAATTGCTAGAGTTTGAACAGCAAAAACTGGCGTGGGTACCTGGCATGTGTGCCATCGCAGCGTCCATATTCGTCTACTTAAAGCCGTACCCGTGGCCCGCGCGTGAGAAGGTGCTTCACGCCATGCACCAACACTTGCAAATCCATCAAGTCGCCATGCCTTCGGACAAGTCGATGGGGTACTTTGTCCAGGATCGCATTGTTGTCGAGTGTTGGCATCTCCACGGGTTGCCTCGGAGTCCTTTCTTTGTATCGAATGCGCTGCTCACAGCGAACGCTATCCCGTCGCTAGCAAAATGGACAGTCCTCATCGACCCCGATGGCGTTGGCAAAACATGGTTGACCTCGTACCACCGCGGAACACTCGTTTGTACGACCGCAATCGAGACGGTGCTCCAACGTGCTATCCTTCGCGCGATCAAGCTCAACCACCCGTTGTTGATCGAACACGTCGAAGGGCAATTCTCCGGGTCACTAAAGCATTTTCTCAAGGTCCGCCACGAGTCGGACGGGACGCGATACCTCTCGATCGACGACAAGATGGAACGGATTTCGGCCGAGTGGCCAGTGTACTTTACGACCCCGCTTCGATACCCGACGTTTGCGGCGGTCGTCCATCGCGCGTGTCACATCGTCAACTTTAGCGTGAGCAGTGTCGAAGCACCCGACTTTTTCGACACCGTGTGCTTCGAGTTGTGGGACGACAAGGAGTTTGTCAAACGGCGCGACAACGCGATCGAGTTTGTCGAGTCGTGGACGGCATTGCATACGGCCGAGCACGACCTGCTCGTGTATTTGTCCCGGATGTCGCCGACGGATGGCCCAGACAACGACTTGCTCGCGATGCTTCAAGACGTGGATCGAAAAAACGAAACAAACGAAGCCAAGAAGGACGAAGCAGCGACCATGATGGACAACGTGTCCAAGATGAACGCCGACGCCGTCGCACCGATACTCCTCTTGATGTTTGAAAGTTTCACCGCGATGGGACTCATCAACCCAAACTACACGGTGTCGATGGACGAGTTTGTCCGACCGCTTCGAACGTACATGACCAAACTGCGAAGCCAGTGGCAAGTTGCGACGTTGCGAGGGGGGCTCGAAGCACGACCGCTGCTGGAGCGGTCGTCGTCCCGTCGCCTCACGGCAACTGCATCGACCACGACCTTTCGAAAGAAAACACTCAAGAAGGTGCAGCGAGACGTGTACCCACCCGAACACAAAGAGTTGATCGGTGCGTTTTCAGCCATCATGACCAAGCTGATCCACGGGGACCATGTCATTCTGTGGCGCTTTATCTTTACAGCGAATCGCATCTTGTTCACGCCGACGTGGAAAATCCATTGCAACGCGACCACCAAGCTCTTTATGGACATTGCGTGGATCCTCGACAATCGGTGCTATGCGTTTCCCGTGAGCGGTGTCGATCAGCTGCGACGTCCACCGTGGGTCGCCAAAGCATCGTGGGCCAACCTGTGTGTCATCACCAAACATCGCGGGTACGAGTACATGTACGACTACGTGTTGACGCATGAAGATGCGATCGTGCGCGACGAATGCGACACTCAAGCGTACGCGCACTTGAACGATGTTGCGGCGCTATTGCACAAGTTTGTCTTGTTGCTGTGCCTCCAAAGTCCGCGCAAGTGGGACGCCCTGAACAACTTGATGCAGTTTGCATGGGAAGATATATCGCCGTGCTTGCCAACCACGTCGTTGGTCGACACTGTTGCCGGAGTCGTCGAGGCCACCGACCAGGTCACCCCCATCGTTTTGTACTGCGACAGCATGCCCAATGTGCTCCTGTCGTTGCAAGAACACAACGGGCACGTCAGCCGTGGATCGAACCAGTTGTTGCCGATTCTGAGCGGAGAAAACGCCACGCTGTCGACGGTGCTCGAAGAGCTTGATCGGTCGGCGACTTGTGGAACTTGGATGTGCTTGTACGACTGCAATCACACGAGTATTCCCATCTTTGAAAAGATCAGCCTCGCGTGGCAGGAAGCGATCCACCAAAAACCCCACCACCAGCACCGATTGTGGCTCATTTGTGAAATGCATCGCCCCATGAATACGTGCATCCTGACCAATGCCGCCAAGCGATGGTTCTTGAATCCCATCACAAACGTCAAGATGGCCATACTGTCGTGCGCAGCGACACTGGAAAACGACGCCGCTGCATGCGTCCAAATCACGCAATGGGACGCGATCGCCAAGGGCATCGTTGTCATCAGCCATTTCCATTACGTGTTCAAGGTATGCTTGAAACATCTCTCCGTCGCTGGGTCCAGACTTTGCCGAGTATGTTGTAGACAAACTTGTCGTACTTTGACTGGGTCCACCACGCACCAGTTCATGATGGCACGGTGAACACGGCAGCGAAAGAATTGGTCATGCTTGCGGCCAAAGGAATCGCGTCCCTTGGCCCCATGCGAGAGGGCATCCTTCGCGTGTATGCTGCGCACGTCGTGACCAAGCACGACCTCGATCGGCTACACTATCTCTTTGATTGGACCTGGCACATGTGTTTGAGTGCGTATCAAAACGAGAACGCCACACCCACAAGCTACGCGCTGTGTCGAGACTGGGTCATCGCCGCCCAAGTTCCGTTTGATTTTGTGAAGTCGATGCCCACTCCGCTCCCCCTCGAGCAGCCCGTGAATGTACTTGCTGCCTATCGACACTGTTTTGCCATCCTCGACGGCTACGACGTCGCCAACAATGACCAGTCCCTCGTCAACGACCTCACGCTGTTTTCGCATGAGCTCAACATGAGCTTCTACGACGTCCTCGCGTCGGCTCGAACGATGACCAAGTCAAGCGAGTTGCATCGGTATCTGAACTGGGAATGGCAGCAGTTTTCCCGCCACGTCACGCACATCCAGCGAACACTTGCGCATTATTCGCGCCACATTGGTGAGTATTACGAACTCGCGCAGCGAGCTCTGCTCGGGCAGTTTCCGCCGTCGTGGTACTTGACACCCCAATTTCGAATGCGCACGTGCGCCGATTTGCTAGCGCATGTGAAGCGGCGCCGCAAGTATTTCCATTCGGTCGACGACGGTACTTTCACGTCGTACTGGCTGCCAGCCTTGACCAACCCCCACCGCGCAGTCGAACTCCTGGCCCACCACATCATGCACAACCACCCCGAGAAGCAAGAGTCGTGGGAGCACCTCCGGACGTCATTTGTCGTGGCCGAGTCGCTGCACGTTCGATCTCCACTCATCTACCGCCTCGCCAAGCAACGCATCAAGCTTCGAAAGGCCGCCACCGCCGATACCTCGACCTCCTCCGACATCACGCTGTCAGGAATCGTCGTCTACAACGCGTCCTGGAACGAATCGACCCGCACGCTCACCAAACCGTCCGTGCTGAACGTGGTCGAAGAGTTGCCGTCAATTCAAATGACAGTGACCAAAACCACAGATGTGACGGATCCATTCAGCTACGACCAGGAAGAAACCGACGTCCATGAGATTCCCGTGCACATGGTCGACAACAAAACGTCCCCACCGACGCAACAAGTCGTCTTTTACGTTTGGCTCAAGCTCCCCGACGACGACGACGAGCGGCGATGGCTCTTGGCGAATGCCTATCTCGTCATCGGCTAGCAAGTCGAGTACAGCGAACAGTCCTCGTGACGACAGGAAGGTAGAAAATGTGGCAGCCAAAGCATCTCACAGCATTACCTGCGTCGCAACTTGTACGACTCGCTTATGATGACCTACAACTTGAACCACGAAGGCTTCGACGTAGCTTTTGAGGGCGCCGTCGCGGTGGTTATCGTGGGAATCACATTCTTCTCCTTGGCAACATTGTCTTGAAGCGTCTGCGGTGCTGGGTACTCCATGGTGCTTCGACAACAAGACCCACACACATGAATCGATGGTGTCAACAGAGGTCTTACCTGTCGACGTCATCGTCCTTGGTCTCTTCGCACAACTCGTCCACCTGAACGAACACGTTTGTTTGTCAATTCATGCAAGAGTTGAAATTCAAGCACACACACCACGGACGCGCGGAGGTAATAGCCGATGTCAGCACGAGATAGAGCGGGTGTTTTCCATTGCACATACACCAACGCAGCAGGGACCAAGTTGAGCTGCGCTAGCGTCGCCGCCCCATCCAGCGCCAGCGTTTGCCGAGGGGGCGTCACATACAGCGAGAACGAGTGGCCGTCCTTGAAGAAGTACTCTTGAAGTAGTTGCGCCACTGCCTCCATCGTCTCATGCGGGTGAAATGTCGCTTGTACTGTCACTGCTCAGGTGGTCATATGCGACACTCAACGTGGCGAGTACAATGAAAGGCGCATGCAAAATGTAGCAAACACACTGCTGCGATCATGTATACCTTGATCGGGCATGCGAACGCGAAGCACCGTGCTCTGAAACACCGTTTTCTTCTGCAGTTCGTCCAATTCCCGCATCGCAGACGTCCGAAAGTTCTGTAGGCACATATGAGACAGGTCGCCACGGGACCACGACCCATCGCTTACCTGATTCTTTTCAGCCTCGTCCTGTCGAGCACGCATTGCTTGGGCCAACAACTGAGAGTCGCTGAATGCTGTCGTGGGCTTGGCGGCCGACGACGCCAGCGGGGGAAGCTGCACAGGGACATGAGTTGTCGCCGCTATTTTTTCGCTCTGGAATATGGCGCGCGTGTGTACCATGTCGTGCGGGAAGAATACGCGAGGCTTTCGTGACGGAATCTTGACGGCCAAGATGGCTTCCTCTTTTCGCTTGAGGTCTTCCAGACGCATTTCCGTGATGCTCATGCCACGAGGTTGAGCCTACACAGAATGCACGTGAACAAGGCACTCGGCATCACTCGAAAGCACCTGCACGCGCGTGATAACAGCCTTGTACGCGTCAAACTCGACGGGGGCTGCGGCTTGCACGACGACTGCCGGGCGCTCTCCCGGCGGAATCCGTAGATCGTCCGCTTGCTCATGCAATTCTTCCAGCGCGCGATGCAAAAGAGATGCATCGGCATCGGACGGCAGCACGTAGTACCCTTCGTCATTCAAAGAAAACCCAATCGAAGCCAAAAACAAAACGCCGCCGTTGTGCTTGCCGATTGCGTCGTGAAACTTTGGATTGCCGGCGCGAATGGATCGGACTCTAGGCTCCTCTAGATAGACATTAGAGAGGCATGCTTCGATGGTCAAGGCAGACGCGACTCATTCAAGTACCTGGCTTGGACAGCACATTGCACACAATTCTCATCAAGGTGGTCACGACGGTTGTCGAGACCGCATCAAAGCACGAGTTTCGCACCAGCTGAAGCGCGTCATACGAGCTCAAGCTCTTGACGGTAGCCTCTGTTGGCGCGATGCTGGTCGACACTTCCTGGCGGCTCAAATCCATCTCAACATCTTCCGTCGTTTCGTACGTGGATGCTTGCGGTACGACCGTATCTGCCACAGCAGTCTCTTGCGACAAGGGGCGAGCAATAGGACCAGCTTGCGCGATGGTGTTTGCGCTTTGGGCCGCTGAAGATGCAGGGGATACAGCTTGAGCAACAGGAATGGCCAAGGCATCCACCTTGACACGAAAGATGACCGAGCCACTAAGCAGTCCTAGCTGTTGCAACGTCACCGAGGAGAGCTCGTCTGGGCTGAGATCGCGTCGCATGTAGTTTAATGATACGTCGACGGGAACCGCCAGTTGCACCAAGATGTCTGCCACCGTCATTTGTGGAGAGAAAGAACCGTGCACCCGCCGTCCGTCCGCCAGTTGGATGGCGACTCGCACATCGCTCAGTGCACTTTTGCATCTTTCCTTCACCTCGAGCACAGCATTCACGGATACCCCCGACAGCCGGAACGGAATCGACAAATCGACGTTCTTGTCCTTGTGGTGCAACTGAAATCCGTCGTTGTTGTCCAGACCAAAGCCGTCACATGCCTTCTTCAGCACGTCCGACTACTCCACACCATGAGAACATCCATCATGGTTCAGCTGACATCGAACCATGTACGTTCCCGCCGTCACGGCGATCTTCTTGCGACGCCCATCGTACAACACCACGACGCTCATGTTGGCAGAATTCCGATTGGGACCAAGAATCCGTATACTGTATCCGGAGATCTGTGCACATAAGCGGTGATGGACAGTTGAAAATTGTATCCGCCATGCCCAAGCAAGGAGACGCCCGGAGTCCGCGTAAGCAAGACCAAGTCGACTTGCCTTCGAAGAAGGCCAAGGTCGAGTCGCCGAAGAAGGCGCTGTCCCCTCGCAAGGCCCATGCCAAGACCACGCTCCACTCATACTGGCGTAGCAGCTGTTCTTGGCGCGTCCGCATCGCGTTGAACCTGAAGAACATCTCGTATGACTGCGTCCCCGTCAACCTGTTGAAGGGCGAGCAAGTAAGTTCTGAATTTGGTGCTGTGAACCCGAACAAGCGTGTCCCGTCGTTGGAAATCGACGGCCATGTCCTCAACCAAAGCGGTGCCATCATCGAATACCTCGACGAAACGCGCCCTGAGCCAGCCTTGCTTCCATCGGACCCCGTCGCACGCGCGCAAGTACGCAATCTCGTCGGCATCATTGGCTGCGACATCCAACCCGTCCAAAATTTGGCAGTCCTCAAGCGTGCGACCGTCAAGCTCCCCGAAAGTGACCAAGCCGCGGAAAAGCTCGCGTGGGGCCGGGAGTGGATCGAACGAGGGTTCGACGTCCTCGAAGAAGAGCTCAAGAAGACGGCGGGCACGTACGCGGTCGGGGACTCGATCACGATCGCGGACTTGTACTTGGAACCCCAAGTGTACAATGCGATCCGCTTCAAGGTGAACATGGACAAATTTCCAACCATCGCGCGAATCCAGGCGACCTTGTCCGCCCTCCCTGCGTTCCAGGCAAGCCATCCATCGGCGCAGCCCGACGCAACAGAATAAGCATCGCTTGCATGAATGCAATAAGGACCTTCCCATTCATGAGCACGCAGCATCGACCCGCACACTCGCCGTCGTCACCAGCTGACACTTTGCATCCAACACACACCACAATATTGTTACGCTATTCGCACGGGGGACTGCCCGCTTCCATGTACAGCCGCTTCTTCGGCCTTCTTGGCCATTTTCTCCTCGGCCAACATGGCAGGGTACTCGACGAGGAACTTGGTGGCACCCACGCCAAACACGTCCTTGTGCTGCAGCCGCACCTTCATGGACTTCACTCCCGTCGCGCTCAGTCGCATGCCTGTACCGTTGGTGCTGTTCAAGTCCGTGATGTAGTACCCTGCTTCAACGACGCTGGCAGAACTCTCCAAGTACTCGAGGGTGCAGTGCTGGCCCGACACAGTCACGTCTGCCTCGAGACACAGAGCACAGGTCGTGCGACGACCGATTGTGACGGGAGACAGACCAATCCTTTGCGTGACTCCCGCCATGGGCCCAGTGGTGAACTTGATGCGCAGGAACGGCTTGGTGTTGGCCCAGTGGTCCTCCTGCAGCGCCACGACGACGAACTCGGCGTCCCCGACCTTGACTGCGTCGTGAACATGCAGCCGGCGTTTTTCCCATGGCGCAAGATACAGAAATGTTCCGGTCGTGCTGCCGCAGTCCTGCAGGTAGAAAAATGTCGAATCCCCGCCGTCGGTGGACGCGTGGTGTTGGCGCAGTTGAAAGTGCACACGACTCACGACACTGTCTTCCAGAATGATCTCGTTTTTGGCAAGACGGCCACCGCTAGCGCCGTTTGGACCGACGAGAATGCGAATACTGCCCACTGGTTGATCCACAAGTGAGGTGAGAATGATGCCGCGCTCGACGACGTTGGACGGGTTCGTCGACACGCACGCCAGGGAAGCGGTAGTTGTGGCTTCTCGAGTCACTGATGCAGCGGCAGCACGTATACACGCCTTCTCCACGGCGATTTCATCGTCGCACTGAGTCGGAGTCGCCAGTGGCTCCAACACAAGGTCGTCGGTGGCGATCTTGGTCGAGTGCTGTTGCTGTTGAATGGTCGTCACCGCAACCACACCCAAGAGCCCCGTGGCGCAGTACAACACATACCTCGCTGGCTCTTCCATGTACTCGCCGATCCATCCCGACAAACCGACCAGCACCGACGCCATCGCCAGCGTGCTCAGCATCTTGCAATCCCCGTGAACTCTCCTTTGGCACACTGTAAAAGCTCGCAATAGAAGCCGGCTAGGCCCAAGTATACAGAATCACAGTATTTCAGGGACAAGAAATTATCCGGATTATTGACACAAATTTCACAATCCATGACGCAACCCATCGCCCCCAGCATGGGTTCGGCTGCCAAGCAACACGCCATGACCGCGCGGGAGGTCAATGGGCACTTTTTGCGACCTCTGGGCGCGCTTGAGTGACATCCCTGTCCTGCCGGTGCCTGCCGCAGGTCAATACACAATACGGCTCCGCAACGAGGCGTGTGTGCTTGCAAAGTGGTAGGACAACTTACGGTACTGTCCCTCAACAACTTTAACAGGTCCAACTTCCTGGGACTGGCTGGCACACATCCTCGTGGTGCCCTCCGCGTCAGTAGATATCTCCTCCTTCACGCGTCGGGTGTCGGTCGCTGTGGCGCGGTTGACCTCGCCTGGCCTTCGATATCGAAGAACGGCAACGAACTTTGCAGTTGGGCAGGCGCCGGTTTCATTGCGAGGAATGTACATATGACGTACGTGTCGTACATTCGTGGACTAGAACTAATGTAAGTATGAATGGACGGCATGTACGAATCTCAGTCCAGTTGTACGATCGAAGACATGCAAAAACGCCGATCTTTCTGCGTTTTGCAGCAACGCTAAATCTTGTGTATCGGCAAGCCACACTTTCAAACCATCGTGAAGTCGAACCAACATGGACTTGGACTTGGTCGACATGGTTCACCTGCACAGTGACGACGACCTGCACGTGATGGACCTGAACGTGATGCACAAGAACTTGTACCCCGACAGCCCCACAGACGACAGCAACTCGACACATGTGCGGCGGCGGGCGCTGTCGCTAAACAACGTCACAATCGAGGACTTTTACGACTTTTTCGACAAACCGATTGTGGCCGTGGCACGTGAATTTGGTGTGTGTACAACTTTGTTCAAGAAAATCTGCAGGAAAAGCGGCATCCATCGGTGGCCGTACCGCAAGATTAGCTCGTTGTCAAAAACCATCGACGCGATTCAGGACTCGCTGCATCAAGACCTAAGTCCGTCTGAGCGCACGAAATTGTTGGCACAGCTTGACGATCTGCACAAAAAGCGCGATTACGTGCGACGGAACCCAAACTCGAAAGTGGCGCTGATCAAACCTGCCGACGCTCTCGCCCTCGCCTGTCGATCCAAGCCCAAACTCGAGAACCAAGTCTTTGACGACTCGACCTCTGACCCGTGCAGCGGCGACTCGCCCCACAACGACTACAACCCTGATCTCACATACAACTTTGGCGACTCAATCGAAGATGACTTTCCGCAGTCGCCAAACTTGTACAGCCATCACCCGTTGCTCGCAACCGACCTTGTGCTGGACGACTACAGCTGCGTGGTGGAAATATAGGGTCCCCAATAGCACCAAGTTAGAGCAAATTGATCACATTTTAAAGCCAATTACATTAACATTTCAAAGGTCATTTGGTGGTTCTCAATCTATCCGCTGGTAAAAATTATCGCACTGAATTTCGACGCTGCGGTGCATTCAACCGTTCACCACCAGACGCCTTGTGATTTGAAGCACTACGCTATCTCGCTAGCTCCAAGACGGGAGCGATCGCGGCAGCAAAGTGTTCCTGAAAGACCTCGTCCGAGAAGCGCCGTGCAGCGATCCGAGCAGCTTGCCGCGTATCGTCGGCCAGCTTTGGTTGCGAAAGGATGTCAAACATGTACGTGGCATACTCGTCTGGCGACGTGGCCAAGTAGCCTGTACCAGGCTTGACGATGTCTTCCCGGGGCCCGCCGGAATTGTGCGCAATCACAACCAGTCCAGCCGCCATCATCTCGACGATCCCGATGCCAAAATGCTCGTTCCGCATGGAATGGAGCCCAATGGACGACTCGGCCAAGTACGACTTGAGCTCAGAAAACGGAGCATTCACAACAAACTGAACGCGGTCGTCGCCCAAACCCAAGTCGACGCATTCCTGGCGCAACACCTTCACGCGTGCTTCGTCGTCGTGGCCGCGACAGCTGCCCAAGAGAACCAGTTTGAAGTCCTTGAATGTTGACGACATTTCCTTTGGGTGTGTCTCTAGCAGCACCTTCATCGCGCGAAGTTGCAGCGAGTGGTCCTTCTCCGGTCGAAACTGCGCCACAGACAGCGCAAGTTGCCGCCGCCCAGACAGCGGAAACGCTTGAAACGAGGTGGACCCACATGGAGGGTACACGACCAGCGGAGACGCTTGGCGCCACAATTGTTTGATGTGGTTTAGTGTCCACCCAGAATTGACCATCACAACTCGTGCAAAGCTACCCACGAATCCGTACAACGCCGCGAAGAAACGGTAATACACGAGCTTCGCAGTGCTTTTCGTCAAGCTTTTGGCCACCGTGGCATCATTGTTGAATGCGACGTCGCGGCGAGCAACGACGTCGAGCATGTCCATTGAGATAGTTGGGTAATGGGTGTACGTCACGACGGTGGCACCGCCGAGCCATGCCAACGGGTAAGTGAAAGCACATCCAGTGGTGTCGACCCAAACGGCGACGGGACATCGAAGAAACGCTTCTAGGCCAAGCAGCATGCTCCCAATGCTCTGGCCGAGGAGGGTGAACCGAGGGTAGTGCTTGGCTTCGAGGAGTGTGCGGTACGCCAGTTCGACGACCTTGATCTTGCACTTGACATCGGAAGCTGAAAAGTTGAATCGACTTTGTGCGTCTGCCAGGAGCTTCTCTGTTGTGATGGGTTCGCCGATGAAGATCACCGCCGTACACGAGGCTGGCAACGTTTGCAAAGCACAGAACAGCACACGTTCGCCTCCTCCGCCGGACGCAGCGTACGGATGAAAGAACCCGATATTTCGATGGCGTTGGAGCCTGCTGACGACATAGAATACGAGCCCGAGCACGACCACAGCTACAATCGGGCTCGCGGCCAAACAGGCGGCCGCGATGAGCAACATGGACATGTCTGTCGCCACGTGTCGACGACGACAATGGCGACATCCGGATACCAGGAACACGTAGCATTCGTATCCGGAATTCCCGGTCGAGCACCATATCCGGCAAGTGGATCCGGACAAATCTCAGATTTCATGGTGCAATCCGTGCGCGTGCGAATTCGATTCTTCCTTGACATGGCCGATCCTGGCTCATATCTTGCGAACATCAAGGCTATCTCGAATCATTTGAAAAAAGTAAGAGGGAGGTACGAGCTGGTAATGGTGGATGAGCGGACGACGCTCGTCGATTCGTTGAGGACGCCAGCGAACCCATCCAGTGTCCACGACTTCTGGTTCAATGATAGTAGTTTGCGTGTGACGCCGAACGTTGTTACAAATTGACTCCACATCCCTCCACACGTGACCATTTGTCTTGGAATTTGTATGAAGATCCTTGGGGCTCTCAAGACATTCAAAAATGGATGGTCGCTCTGGGCGTGGCACATCTTGTTGGATCCCAAAAAAGCGGTCACTTGAAATTTGTATAGGTTCTGGCGCGTGAAACCAACGACAGGACGGCATACAAAATCCAAGCTTAAATAACTCCCACTACGCGAGTTCTATTTTGACATCCACTGGCGGTTTGCAACGGAGTTCCCTCAGTTGCGAATATTTCTGCGGCGCGCTCGAACGAAGAAGGGGCGGGACGTGAGTGGGCGAAGGAAGCATGAAGAGCAAGCGTTCGTCGGCTGAAATCGTGGCGGTGTCCACGGAACTGCGTCACCGCCAGGCGATGCGGAAAAAGGGGAAGAGCAAGGCGGGGAAGGACGACGACAAACGCGAACTCGAAATGGACGAGCATCAAAAGTCGATTGCCGAACTGTGTGCGGACCTCACAACCAGCGCAACGTTGGGCATGACAAACGCTGATGCAGATGCTCGGCGTGAGGTGGACGGTGTCAACAGGCTGACCCCCCCACGTCAAACCCCCGAAATCGTCAAGGTGTTTCGCGAACTCACGGGGTTTTTCTCGCTCCTGCTGTGGGCCGCAGGAATTCTGTGTATGGTTTGCTACGGTCTGCAAGGAGACCAGAACAATTTGTACCTCGGCATTGTGCTGTTTTGCGTCGTGGTGATCACGGGGCTTTTCTCGTACTTTCAGAACCGCAAATCCAACAATCTCATGGAGTCGTTCAAAAATATGATGCCGACGATCACGACCGTCATTCGCGACGGGCGATCCCAGAAGATCGATGCATCCTTGCTCGTGCGTGGTGACATCATCGCTATCAAGGGGGGCGACAAAGTGCCAGCCGACATCCGAATTATCGAATGCTCGGACGACCTTACCGTGGACAACTCCGCGCTCACGGGGGAACCCGAGCCGTTGAAGCGTGTCGTGCACTGCACCCACGACAGTCCCCTCGAAACGAAGAACTTGTGTTTTTTTGGCACATTCATTCCTCAAGGGTCTGGAAAGGGTCTCATTGTGCGCACAGGTGACCGAACTGTCATGGGACGCATTGCTAAGCTCGCCACGTCCACAAAGAAGGAGCAAACGCCGATTGCCAAGGAAATTGAGCACTTTGTGCACATTATCACTGGTGTCGCCGTGTCTATCGGGGTGATCTTCTTAATCATTGGGTTCATCATTGGCACGGACACGATCACGAACATTGTGTTTATGATTGGGATTATTGTGGCCAACGTCCCAGAAGGTTTGTTGGCAACCGTGACGGTATGTTTGAGTCTGGCAGCTGCCCGCATGGCAAAGAAGAGCGTTCTCGTCAAGAACTTGGAAGGGGTCGAAACGTTAGGATCTACCAGCTGCATCTGCTCGGACAAGACTGGGACGTTGACGCAGAATATCATGACTGTCGCGAACGTCGTGTACGACAATGCGATTTATGACTCTGAGTGCTCGCTGACCCCCGTTGGCTCGTACAAGACGTCGGACATGTCGTTTCAGCGACTCCAACGTTGTGCAACGTTGTGCAACAATGCCGTCTTCGACGAAGAGTCCAAGTTCCAAAAGGTTCTCGAAGGCCAGGGTGCGTCGGTTCAAGTCGTCCGCGGTGCTGCCATTCCGTTTTCGGAAATGGTTGTCGCCTCGGATGGGTCCCGGTGCCCCAAGGTGTTGTGGGAAACCATCGGCGATGCTTCGGAATCCGCAATGATTAAGTTTTGCCAAGATAAGCGCGACATCGTTGAATATCGTGAAGCAAACCGCAAGCTCAAGGAAATCCCGTTCAATTCGCGCAACAAGTACCAACTCTCAATCCATTTGCAAGAAAACGACGAAACGAAGCCTATGGTGCTTGTGATGAAAGGTGCTCCCGAACGTATCACGGCTCGTTGCTCCAAAATTTTGATCAACGGAGAACTCGAGGATTTCACCCCGGAACGACTAGCTGAAGTGGAAGCACTTCAACTCAAGCTGTCGAAGAAAGGCATGCGTGTGTTGGGCTTTGCCGAGAAGGAACTCGACCTCGCGACATATCCCCATGGCTACGAGTTTAACACCGACAACTGCAACTTTCCTCTTGGCGAGAAGGACGTGGATTACGATGCCAACCCCGTTCCCAATAAGAAGATTGAAGAACCTTTGGTCTTCATTGGCTTGATGGCGTTGATCGACCCTCCTCGACCAGAAGTACCAATTGCCGTTGCCAAGTGCAAAACCGCCGGTATTCGTGTTATCATGGTCACTGGTGATCACCCCGTCACGGCTAAGGCCATTGCCCACAAAGTGGGTATCTTGTGGGGCCCCACCAAGGAAGATATTGAAGAAGAAAATACTGAGAAGGGTCTGAGTGCTGGGGATCCTGGGTACAAAAACCCTGACAGTGCACAAGCCATTGTCGTGCCTGGATGGTCCATCAGCGTAGACACGGACGAAAAGGAATGGGATCGCATTTTGAACCACAAGCAGGTTGTGTTTGCCCGTACGTCGCCCCAGCAAAAGCTCATAATTGTGGAAAACTGCCAACGTCGGGGTGAAATTGTGGCTGTGACGGGTGATGGTGTGAACGACTCGCCCGCATTGAAGAAGGCTGATATTGGGATTGCCATGGGGATTATGGGGTCTGAAGTGTCCAAGGAAGCGGCTGACATGATTTTGTTGGACGACAATTTTGCCTCGATTGTGTGCGGTGTCGAAGAGGGCCGCAAGGTTTTCGACAACTTGAAGAAATCCATTTGCTATGCATTGGCAGTCAACATTCCCGAATTGGTCCCGTTTTTGGTCTACGTGCTCATTGCGATTCCTGTGCCCCTCACGACGGTGTTGATGTTGCTCATCTGCCTTGGTACTGACATGATCCCTGCTATTTCGATGGCTTATGAAGACGCCGAAAGCGACATCATGCTACGATCTCCACGTCGTCCTTCTATCGACCGTCTTGTTACCAAGAAGTTGGTGTTCTGGGCCTACGTGCACATCGGTTTCATCCAAGCCTTTGCTGGGCATGTCGTCTACTTCACAGTTCTGAACGACTACGGGTACCCAGCCCAAGTTCTGCCTGCTCTGGGCCAAAAAGATAGTTTTGGCAAGCAAGTGTTGTGGTGTACGACGACTGGAGGCCAGTATTGCACGCCTGGTGGTGGTTACAAGGACGCGGCTGGTAACATGCAACCTCTTGGAAATTCCGAAAAGCCAATTTGTGGTCTCGAGTATGACGCTACGATCCCTGCTGGCGGCAGCATCTTTGATGCCAAGATCTTTTACAACCCTGGCGAAGATGGTGTGGTGGAAGACTGCTTGTTCCCTTACGCCAACTACAAGGGCTCGAAGGACAAGCCGGCCGGGTACAACCGCTACGACCCCTCAACGTATGGTGATTTCACGAACGGCAACGCAATGATCACCGTTCAGTCGATGGAAGCGCTGTGGAACAAGAATTACCGTCCGTATTACCCGTACAAGAGTCGTCGTTCGGCATTCTTTGACTTAAACTGGCTCAGCTACGATGTCACGAGCGAAGGTGGTGTTGACGGCTTTAGCAAAGACCTCGAAGATGTTGCGCTGCTCTTGTACCAACCCATCGGTGTGTTCAGTATCGTGGACGCGTCCAAGAAGGACGGCAAAGAATCAGTCTTGACCTCTGGCCGCCCTCGCAAGGCTCTTAACGGCGCAACAGCCACGTTGACTGACGCCTCATTGAAACAAGTGACATCGACAATCACGTTGTCAGACTCTGACTTGTACACCAACGCCGCTGCTGGTTTCTCTGTGAAGTTGCCAACTGGTGCTGCTCCATGCACGACAAAGGCCGATTGTTTGCTCGACTACCGCACTGGTTTCACGTATAATGACGGCACGAAGACTTACACGAACGTACTGTCCCGCATGATGTCGATCTACTCGTTGATCAATGCCCAAACTGCGTATTTTGTGGGCATCGTGGTCATGCAATGGTCGAATATTTTGATTTGCAAGACAAGACTGCTGTCGATTCGCACGCAAGGCCTCCGCAACCAAGTCCTCATGTTTGGGTTGGGCTTTGAGTTCATTGTGTGTGCGCTCGTGTGCTACTCGTCGGGGTTCCAGTCAGTCTTCAAGACGGAAAGCATTCGTCTCAACCACTGGTTCCCGGCCATGCCGTTTGCCATGTTCCTGTTTGTGTACGACGAAATGCGCAAGTACATGTTGCGCTCGACGTCGATCACGACCGTCGATCCGGCGACCGGCAAGTACACGCGCATTCCCGGGTGGGTCGAACGCAACTCGTACTATTAGACGAGGATCCGCCATCCATAATTGCATATAAATAGACTTGATTCATTTCGCACGTTGTCCTTTCTCGTTCCAGATCGGTTTCGGAGGGTAACCGACGCGCAAACTTCCCGACGGCGATGCAAGTGGTGTACGATGTCGGGTCGTGGCGCATCACGGACGACGGCCAAGTGTACCGGCGCGGCAAACTCCGCTTTGCCAACGGCGACCTGTATGATGGCGAATGGATGGACGGGAAGCGCCACGGCCAAGGCAAGTTTACGTACCAGAACGGGTCGACCTACACGGGCGAGCTCGTGGCCAACCTGTACAATGGGTGTGGGGTGCTCGTGGTGGCCGATGCCAAGCACCCGTTCACGGGCAAATGGGTCAAAGGATCAACGTACGACGGTCAGTTTCAGAGAGGAAAGAAGCACGGGAAGGGCCTCGTCGTGTTTGGCGAAGGCGGGTCGTACGACGGCATGTTTCACGACAATGCGTTCCACGGCGACGGTTTGCGTTGCTATGCCAACGGCGATCGATACGAAGGCGAGTGGAGGCATGGGTCGTGGTGGGGCCTCGGCCATCTCCGCCGAGTCGACGGCGAGTCGTATCGTGGCGAGTGCAAGCGCGGACTCTTTCACACGGGAGCGCTTGGTGTCGGCCGACGGACGTTTCGCAGAGGTCACGGGTCATACGAAGGCGGGTACCGCGACGGTCTCCAACACGGCAAAGGGCTGCGAGTGTTTGCCGACGGCTCGAGCTACGAAGGCGACTGGGTCGACAACGTCATGCATGGAAATGGCGTGTGGTCGACGGCAGCATTCACGTACATCGGGGAGTTTCAACATGATCGGCCCCACGGCCACGGCCTCTTTACCTTTACAAATGGAGACGTGTACGAGGGGTCTGTGCGCGAAGGCCACTTTTATGGCCGCGGCAAGTATACGTACAAGGATGGAAGTTGGTACGACGGCGAGTACATGGCGACTACGACCACGATGACCAGCAATACAGCCAAGCAGCAAACGGTCAAGGAGGTGCCGCTGCCCAACGGCCTCAAGCATGGCCAAGGTAAAGAAAATGCTTTCGTCATGGGATGGGGCATGCAATCAACTGACGGAATTACACGCAGGACGTCGCAGGTGGGTGAATGGGAATGAGTACGACGGCGAGTGGAAGGACGACGCAATGCACGGACAGGGCCGCTTAACGGTGACATATACCACCAACGTAAGGACTCCATGTGACCCAAACGGGTTTAGAGCAAAGATGATCTATGACCGATGGGTGGTATAGGGATGTGCATTGCGCACGGAATACGATGGCGCGTTTGCAAATGGCAGACCGAGCGGCCATGGCACGTTGAAAGCATGGAACCCCGATGGAATTTGCATGGAGTTTCCGTCTGCAAGCGGCAATTGGTACCGCGGACGAGGAACCTGCACATACACTGGTGATTTTGCCAATGGTTTGTTCCATGGCCAAGGCACACTCACGACTTGCGACGGGCGCCGATACGAAGGTTCGTGGCAACGCGGCAAGCGCCATGGCCACGGTCGCAGCGACTTGATTCCCCTCGTCGAACAAGGAGACGAAGCACGCATGCATATCAAGGGCAGCAGCGCTCTCTATCGGATCGCTCGATACGACGGCATGCACGAACAGGATAAGCGACAGGGATTTGGCAAAGCGTACTTTAGCAACGGCGAATCCATCGAAGGCACGTTCGTGAACGGTCAAGCTGACGGCATCGCGACTTACGTCTACACATCTGGCAAGCGAAGGCGAGGCTCGTGGAAGCTGGGGCAGCGCGTTGCATGGCTGAGCAACGACGACGACGCGAAATGGGCCGGGGTGGACAAAGCGGTGGACTTGAGCATGGCCGCCTTTTCCCGGCGGAAATCGAGCTGCGATCTTGAAAGGACTACAACGTGATTGGCTAAAACATTTAAAACAATTTGATTGGATGATTTTTGACGTCGGAGCCACGGCTGCCCGTCGGACAAGATGATGACCAAGACCCAAAGGCGCGGGCTGCTGGGAGGCCTCGAAGCGGTGCTACTTGTGCTGTATGGCGCGCCGCAGTTCATCCTCCCAAGTTACGTTGTCCAGGACGTCGAGCTCTTTCGTTTCACGTGCTCGACAGTCGTCTCAGCGTTGGCGTTCGTGACGACCTCGAACGCGGGTGGTGAGTGCTAGTTTTCGTCGAACGGGAACACTGATTGAGTCCACTCGCGAATGTAGTTGTGTCGTTTCTCCATTGCATGCTACACATCTACACGACCCTGTGCCTGGATGACACCAACCCGTCGCTGGCATCGACATCGGTGTTTGTAGCTCGCGTGTTTTCATTTGAGCGTATGTTGTCGACCGCGCTCTTCCCACGCATGTCATACGAAGCCCGCCTCCGCGACAACCAGATCAAGCTGGAAGCGTTCTTTCGACTGCACGATCCGAGTCGAGTTGCCGAAGCCGAGACGTTGCTCCTCGAATTTCTCGGCAACGAGTCCCTCCTGTTCGTACAACTTCGACAAAAGTACGCGCCATCTACCGCACAGAAAAAGGCCGCCGCGACGGTCCGGTACACCGCTGCCTTCACAGTCAGCAGCCCTATCATCACCCATGACACGACCGTCGGCCACGTCGTGTTGGAATCGGCGAAATCCCCTCTAAAACCCTAACAAACGTACTTCCAGGTCCCACCAATTTGACCTGCCCTCCTGCTCCCGTTTAGCTTGCAAGGCGCTTCATTCCTAACTTTTGAACTCCGTCGTGCTCGCTCGAACACATGAGCGCGCGCAAAATGGCATCTCCATCGCCGTGCAGTTGAATACGACTATCCATTGCTTTGTAGGGGGAAGCACAAAATCGTTGAATAACGTGCACTCGAAACCCCTCATGCACAAAGGAGCTGGCCGCTTAGTTCCTTTCGTACCGTCCATATTTCTGTCCTCAATTCGCCGTCGATCCGGTGGCATCAGTTCCCTTGGTGGTGGACGTCGTGGCGAGCCAGGAACGACGCGGGGGTGCCACCGTTAAACTTTTGCAGCCCCGTGTTGTGCTGCAACATGTGCACCCACGACGCAACGACGCGGGAATTGGCGCAATGGTCTCGCACGTCGAGCACTTGGATGCCAGTGTTCACTTGCATGGCCGCGCTCAGTTCGAGCATACCGGCCTCGGAGATAACTTGGGACGTCGAAGGCGATGCCCCGTACGCCGCCCGCAAGTTTACTGCTCGAAGGGTTGTGTTGACGCGGAACATGGCGGCCAACGCGATCGCGCCGCTGTCTCCAATGCCGTTGCAGCTCAGGTCGAGTTTTACGATGGTCGTGTTGGACATCAGGAGCGACGCCATGCTCTTGGCACCGTCGTCGCCGAGGGCATTTCGGCACAGATTTACGACTTCGCATGTCATGGACACCGCCGAGGTGTCCACCCTGCCGTTCAAATGCTCTGCCAACACGTCGGCACCAAACCGACGGAGGCCCATACCCCTACAAACCATCGGGTCGGTCATGCATTCTCTCATGCGTGACTTTACGTACGCAAGATCCAAGACGGCAGGTGTACCTCCTCGCAGCCGTTGGGCAAGGGCTTTGGACTGAACAATGGCATGGACGGTCGTGTCGCCTTCTGTCGAGTGCTACGTGTGATCTGTCATGGTGACATACCAACCAGTGAACGTACGAGATTGCCCTTGACGTGAATCGTCGACAGAACGCTCTTTTTGTTGTCGAACGACGTCGCATAAATGCTCGCGACCCCCGCGTCGCCTATGCGGTTGTGGCCCACGTGTAGCTCGGTCAGCGAACTGTTGACGAGTAAGCCCTTGGCGAGCCCGAGCGCTCCAGTGTCTAGAACGCTCCCGTCAGTCCCACGCAACGTCGTAGCTGGCAGACCTGCTATGAAGTTGCCCGACACATTCAGCCGGGTGACCGAAGGGTTCAATGCCAGGTATAGGCCAATATCAAGTGCCCCTGATGGCGTGCCATGAGTACGCTCCGCGACAGACGACGCGTACCCGAATCCCCGATGGCGTTGCTGCTGAAGTTGACGTCGACCAACTGTGGAAAGCCACGAAGCATGCGAACTGCCGTCTACGACCGCCATGACGACAGCTCAGGATGCAGCGCCAAGTGGCCATACATTGCACAGGGCGTCGTCCATGTAAGCGTCTACGAGCTCATGAAGATGGGGGCCGTGAAGGTCCATCACGCCGTCTTCAGGGCAGCTTGGGTAGCAAGCGAGAAGCACCTGACGAATGTGGTGCAGATTCGATTCCGTCAGCTCGACCAGAGCGCAACGAGCTGTCCACGTACTTGGCTGAGTCGCTTCTGGGCGACTTGGGCAAGCAAAGCAGCGTCGGCTGGGTTGTCGTTCAGGCACAGGACTCGGTACGTTTTGCTCGGGTTCGACCGCAACACGTTGAGAAATGTAAACGCCCCAGACTTTCCAATCTATGGCGGGCATGGCCCCCAGTTTAGACTTGCCGAGGGACCCACGACACGACGGAAACTAACCGTGTTGCTATCCAAATACAGCGTGTTCAAAGTCGCGCTCTTGTCCATCGCGAACGCAATCGCACTTGCACCATGGTCGCCAATGCAGTTGCCCGACACGGCCAGCTCGCGGATCGACGACACGGCCACCATGTGGGCGAGGCCGACGCTGGCGGCATCCGTCAACTGGTTCATTGAAAGGGTGAGGGTCTGGACGGCATTCTTTCGTGTTGCAAGGGCGTGGCAGATCAAGTCGCACCCGTCGTCGAGAAGCTTGTTGGACGACAGATTCAACGATACGAGCGATTTCAGGCTCACGGGGGGGAGCGCGGTGGAGAGGTGTTTGGCGCACATCTTGCCCAAGTGGTTCAACGAGAGATCGACATGTGCGAGCGCCGGAGCTTTGGCGAGGAACCGTATTAAAGAGTCGCTGCTGGCGTCTGCAAAGCTACGAAACCATTCAAGGGTGAGTTCCGCATCGGGATGTATATTGTACAGATTGAACGCACTTGTTGTTGGACAAGTTGACGGTATGCAGAGATGGAAGCTGCACGGACATGCCCCCCAAGCCCCGGGCGAGTCCGTCAGAGAACTTGTTGAACGACACATCCAGCACGGTCAACAGCACCGCATTCCATTCCACGGCAAGACTCACATGGACACTGAAATGGTCGTCCAGACGATGGTCCGACAAACGGAGTTCGCCGCCAGTGCCCTCCGGTACTATCGCTTGGGTTTCCTTCACGAGCTCTTTCACTCGCTTTTTCGCCGTATCCACGTGGAACGTCTTGATGATGTCGGGGCTGCCCATCGAGTACGTGTCGCCGGCCCGTGGCCACCGCAATTGACCGATCCGGTTTCAAGAACGGTTTCATTCGGTTACGTGACGCCTTTCTACAGGGCAACGTGGAGGCAATGTCGAGCCCCATGCAGGTTGTGAATGCACTAGACGTTGGCTGGAACCATCTATTCTTAGCCGCGTTAGCGCGATACGCTGCGAGAGACTTCAAGCAGAGCCCGATGAACGACCGAAAGTCTGGCCGTCGTCAGCGCAAGCCGACAGGTGGCGCCACGAATTTGAATCGGGAACGGTGGACGTTTCTATCGACCGTGGAGGAGCTACCACTTGGAGGGCGGCAGAAGTCTCGCAGTACATCCAACTTAGCCAGCGGCCCTCGTGGGCCGCTGGCCTCGGCTGACAAGACCAAGGACAAGGGTGGTTCGAATCAACCCGTTGCCGTCGACATTGACGGCGATGGCATGATCGATGTGCGCGAAATGCGCATGGCCAAGTACCTCCATGACATCACGTCCAAAATGACAAAGCCAGACGGGACAGCGCCGACGGACGCCGAACTCCGCGACATGCAAGTCACGGTCGGGAGGTACACGCTGGCACAGGACTTTGTCCACCGCAACAAAGGCAAGCTGTGGCGGTACGGACCAACGTTTGCCGACAAGTCGGACGACGAGTGTGTCCGCTTTGTCGCCGAACACAAAAACTTCAAAAAGATCTTGCCTTACCTCGAGTTCATGGAGCGCCGCCGGACAATTCGGTCGTCGTCCAACCTTCGATCGTGTTTGAACGAACAGTCCGAGATGGTCGACGACGACGGAAACGTCAAGGGACATCGCCATCCGCAAACGTGGGTGTACACCCAGCGCAAGCTCAAAACGCCGACGCATATGAACATGATGGCCGTACACAAAGCCGTGAATTCCACGTACGCGAGTCGACTCGAAGAGCCCGACGACCCGCTCCCTGTATCGCTGGACGCTCTGGACGAGCTACCAACCCCGCCGCCGAGGAAGCCACTTCTCGACCCGTTGGCACCAACCAACAAGGACGTGTTCCGCAACAACTTTGGTGTGATTGATATTGACGGCGACGGCGTCATCGACGACTTTGAAATGCAGCTACATGTACAATTACAAGAGTCCCGCGCGCACGACGCCCAAGCGGTCGACTTGAACGGCGACGGACGGATCGACGACGTCGAAGAGATGCTGCATGAAAAGGCGCGGAGCACCCAGCTCCAGGCCGAGGGGCGACACCTCATGGCCAAAGACTTTGTCAAGCGCAATGCGGGTGACATGTGGCTGTACAACCCCGTCTACCGCGACAAAACAGACGACGAGGTAATACAGCACTCCCATCCAGGTTTATCTCGATCTTCCTGCACGTTGCATAGGTTATCGAGCTCCTGGCAAACGACAAGGGCGTGTTTAGCAAAACCATGAACAAACTGCGAGCGAAAGAGCGCGTGCTCGGCCTCAAGTCGTCCAAAGGCGTGACGGCGTGTCTGGTCGACCCAAAAGTGCTCAAATTCCGACCGGACCCGGCCAACATCTTGACGCCACGTCAAGTGATCAGCAAGTCCGAATTGGACAAGGCCCAGCGCGAGTTCAGCAAGCACCTAAACAGCCATGGCATGGATGGCGCTGGCGTGTTTGTCAAGCATCTGCGGTTAGATGCGCTGCAGCAGGTGGAACAATCGTCGCCACAACACAAACGACAGGGCGGCCTTGGACGAAGCCACAGCACCCCCGTGATTGGGCTGCCCAAGTTGTACGCTTCGCCCATCAAACTCGCGACGGTGCAGGAGTTCAGGATAACCAAGTGGAAGACCGGTGACGCCCCAAAGTAGTCCGGTGTCGGGACAGAGACTCAACACGGAAAGAGAGCGAGTTGGTTGCAAGTAAAATAGTCATCACAATTTGTAAAACGCCGCGCCGCGCCCCGCCTTGGGGTCGTTTTTCTTGTAGGACGAACGAGGGGCTTGGCCCGCGGCTGCCGCCTTTTGCTCGTCCTGTAATCGGGAAAAGAACTCGGACGAGTTGGAGAACTGCCGCGTCGATCCTTCGATCGCCTTGCCCGTCGACACATTCTTGGCCTGCAAGCTGTCGAGCAGTTTCTTCTTTTCGTACTTGTTGCCCATGCCCGGGTTGACTTTGGCCACGAACTTTTCGTCCGCTTCCTTTTGTTTGCGCGATTTTCGGCGGGCATGCTTCTTGGCCTACAAATTGCCACACACACACACGTCAACTTGTGTGCTTCCAGTCGCCATGCCCACGTACGTTGCGCGCAGCCTTGCGCTCATCCTGTGACATTTCTTCGCGCGACCGAACCACCCCGTCTCTACGTACGGCGCAATCACAGCCGTGAGATTCAAACCATCATCGGCACTGATCACCTACCGCTTGTGTTTTTTGTCGTACACTTCTTCGGGTGCATGGAGGTTGGCATCGCTGACGGCAATCGGGACCGCCTGGAAATCACCGTCAAATTCACCACCGACGACAGTATCATGCACGCGTGATGGTTTACCTCTTCCATCGTAATTGCGGGGGCGGCGGGGGTGACATGCATTTCCCGAACGATTGGTTTCGGCGTAAAGTGAAAGTTGGTGAGGGCGTCGAGCTTCCAACACAGCTTCTGGAACATCACGTCGATTTCTTCCTGCTCCTTCTTCAGCTCCGAGTTGTCTTCGAAGCCCATCGCGGTCTTCATGTACTCCTTTTCGTAAATCTCACCGAGGCCTTCTTTGCTTTTTTCCATTGACAGCTCCGTCGCTTCTTTCTGCGCATTCTCGTTCACTGCCAACTTGCGCACGACGTCGTTGAAGTTGTCGTCCCGGATGCGACTCTTGATGAGCTCTTCCAACTCCTGCGTCACCTCGACCGTGATGATGGGCGCGACCTTGGTCGGCCGGTCGTACTCGAGCGTTGCTTCGAGGAGCGAGTTCTCCGGACGCGCGGACGCCTTGACCTCGCCCTTGAGCACCCACGGTTTATCACCGAGCGCTTCCTCCTCGAGGCTCTTGATTTGATCATGCAAGTGGTTCGATCGGCGTTGGTGTGTCGACAAAATACCTCGTTCCGCGAGTTCCTCTTCTTGTTCGTCGGTCAGCAATGTCGCCGCCTTTCGCTTCGACGATGGCTTCTCGTCTTCCTCCTCGGCAACCTCTTCGTCAACTTCATTGTCGTCGCCATCGTCGCCCTCTTCCGTGGGCTCGTCGAACAAGTCTTTGTAAGTGGCTGTTTTCTCATTCAACCCGTCGTCATCTTCGTCTTCGAAATCGTCGTCATCGTCACCTTCCGCGTCATCGTCGATATTCTCGTCGTCTTCGTCATCGTCCAGTTCCTCCTACCATCCATGCAAGTGCTCGTTACATGATTGTCCTTGCATTGGAGAAACCAACGACTGGATGCACCTCTTCCGCGGCCTTTTCCATTTCGTCCCAGTCGAAAAACCCATCTTCCAAGTCGCGGCGCTTGCGCTTCTTGGAGCCTGTCGACGATTTCGTTGGCGCCGACGTCAACTCGTCTTCATCGTCCAAGCCGTCCTCGTCTTCTTCTTCGTCGTCGTCCCGGTCATCGCGGTCATTCGGTTCAGAGTCCTCTTCCTCGCCTTCCGACATATCGTTGTCCTGCTCTTCTGCAATGTCGCCTTCAGATTCGCTGTTCCCAGCACCCGTGGCATCGTCGGACGTTTCGCCTGCGAAGAACGCCACGGAGGTCGGGTTCTTGGCGAGCTTCTTGATCTGCCGCCCGACTTCTTTCACCACAGGTTCGTTCTACACGACAATCAACTTGAGTTAAATGCTCATCAACGTCGGTCACACTGGACCTGGAGCTTCAACTGTTCCCAAATCTGGTCGGCATCGAAGCCGTCCACATAAAGTGCATCTAACGATGACGCAGCACTCTCGGCTGATTCGAATTTCTTGGCTACAAGACAAACATGCATAAGCAATCGCATTGTATTGTTCGAAGCAAGGTCCACCTTGGTCGAACAAGTACTTGGTGAAGTGCGCGATCTCGGTCGCGAGCTCTGTCGACGGTGCAAAGAAGACCTATACATGGCGTCATCCGTCTCGGTGCATCCTCCTGTCTAAAGAAGCCCATACCTCTGGCTTTTCCAACACATTTCGGCGGAACGATTCCATCACGGACGCGTCTTCATGGCCGGTCATCTTCGTTCCTCCGAACCGCGGCGCCAAACTTTTTGCTGCTCCACCAATCCCAACTTTGATCGCCCCAAACGATTGGTGGGTTGAAATAAATGCTTTTGATTGGTCAAAAAGAATTTTTTTTTACCAACCACGTTCTCCCACCAATGGTTTCCCGTTCCATTTTCCATCACGGGTGGACATGTCGGTGCGTCGAAATGTCCGCATGCGCCGCGAGTACTTGTATCGCAAGGGCCTGGAAGGCCAAGAACGTGCGCAGTACGAACGCAAGTTGCAACTGAAGAAGGCGATTGAGAGCGGCAAGTCCATCCCCACGGAACTTCGCGGCGTCGAAGACAAGCTGCGCGCCGAAATGGAGTACGACGACGACAAGCACATCGTGCCCAAGTCCCATATCGACGACGAGTACCAGAACGCAGGCATGTTTGATCCCAAGATCGCCGTCACCACGTCCCGCGATCCCAGTGCTCGACTCAAGAAATTCGCACAGGAAGTACGCCTAATCTTTCCCAACGCGATCCGACTCAACCGTGGCGCGCATACCGTCGGAGACCTCGTGGAATCGGCGCGAGCCAACGAATTCACGGACCTCGTCATTATCACGGAAACGCGCGGTGAACCAGGTACCTCCCCATGCATCTCCTCTCAACTGCATGCGTCATGTTCGAGCTACAGACGGGTTGGTGGTGTGTCACTTGCCGTACGGACCGACCGCGTACTTTTCGCTGCAGAACGTTGTCATGCGTCATGACATTGAAGACCGCGCGACCATCTCCGAAGCATATCCGCACATCATCCTGAACCAGTTTGAAACCCCGCTGGTACGACCTAGCCATGTTATTCCCTCGTCTCGTGATCGCTTCGATCCTGTCCGGGCGCGCACGCTCTCTCAACCTTTGTCAATAGGGTCAACGCGTTGGCAACATCCTGAAGCACTTGTTTCCCGTGCCAAAGCCCGACTCGAAGCGAGTCATTACGTTTTCAAACCAAGACGACTTTTTGTCGTTCCGCCACCACGTGTTCAAGAAAACCGGGCGTGAAGTTGACCTGCTCGAGTGCGGACCGCGCTTCGAGCTGCAGCTGTACCAAATCAAGCTCGGCACATTCGATCAGAAGGAGGCTGAAAACGAATGGGTGCTCCGTCCGTACATGAACACGGCCAAGAAGCGCAAAGTGATATAGTATGCGCCGCTGCACGACTCGCCAAGGACCACCCGCTTTTAGATATCATCACTTCTTAACCACGTATTGCCATCCGTACTTCCGTTCTCGAGTTGATGCCGCCAGTTCCTAGATCGGTCGCAGCGCATAGACGCTGCCGTGAGCACGCTTCCATCACCACAGGGAACTCAGCCCGTGGACATCAGTGTCGAGGGAGTTTGTGGTCGATGGCAGCGATCTTGGCGCCAACGTGCGAAGCCGTGGTATCGCGGTGGAGTCTCGCGGCAAGGCTGCACCGCAGGACGCGACGGAATGTGGCAAAGGCTCGATGGAAGGTGGAGTAGGCGAGGGCACGTCGAGGGGCGCGCGTTGGGCATAGATGTGGGTGTCGAAGAATTCTCGCCACGACGATTCGTCTGATGGATGAGCTGAGAGAAGTTTGTGTGGAAGGAATCCCGACGAACCTTCTTCGGCGAGAAGCGGCGCCAACGCTGGCACGTCGCTACCGTCAACGTCGTACTTGGCCAGCGTGGAAGAATCATCCACTGGCAGTGCGGTGGTCATGGAATGTCAAGTGGTCACAGGTTTGCATGAACAACTGAAGAGAGAAGGGCTGCGACTTACCGACGAGTCCGATGTCGCGCGCTAGAAGGAGCAGGCTCGCAGAGTGATCGGCGACGGGGGTGTTAGGTCGGTCGCTGTCACTGTGCGGGGTCGTGCTGTTGGACCTCAGACCTGTTGGCAAACCAGTTAGCGCCGGTGGCCGTGTTGAGGACGTTGTCTCTCGGCTACGGTAAACGACGGAATGGTTGTTGGAACTACGTGCGTTTGACTCGATGGCTCTGCCAGTGACCAAAGATGGCCCAGAGTGATCATCATCATCGACATCGCCGTCATGGTTCACGGACGACGCACAATGAGGGTTCTTTCTGAGCCAGAAGGAGGAAACGGTGATGAACACAACGAGAACCACTGCAATGCACCAAGGGCTGAGCTCGTAGTTTGTCCAATCGTCGTCTCCACGACTTGATTTAGAGGCGGCGATGCCTGTCGGACAACTGACTCGTACTCGACTGACGACTCTCGTACCTTCGTAATTCATGTGGATTGTTGCTGTACGCATGGAAGGTACATGTGCATTTTGTTGATTGCATATCCAAGTGGGAAAACCTACCTGTCAGGAACGGCATGTGATGATCATATGACGCTTCCTTGGACAAGATCCCTGCAAAGGGAAACTCGGGATGGAACCCTGGCTCACAATCCACAAGCATAACGGAGTAATCTGTGTCTTGTAGATGTAGCTCCGTCAAGAAATTAACAGGGTATGCCTAGAATGAACACCTTTTGTCCTCAATCTGTCGACAAAGCGAATGAGTCATGCGCGATCCATATACCACATGCATGTAGCCACATCGTTGCATTCGACTCTCTTCGGCAGCTGAACGATTCCGACAACTCACTAACACAGAGCACGGTAGGGCATCTATGCCATACGCATGAGCATGGGAAGCTGCCCGCGCGTCCATGGCAGCGATCGCTTGGGGGGACCGCCGCACGGACACTTGGGCCGTGTGGTGCATTCAAATTTCCCGCCCGTCGTGGGAGAATCTTGCCATCCGGATACTTGAATTCGAACCACCGCTCCGGATAAAGAAGAGATCGCGACTTTTCGGAGGTGGCACAGCGACAAGAGCGGCACGAACAAACCAGCACCAGGATGGCATCGCGGTACGCCAAAAACATCAAAGTTCCCGCCGAGTTCCCGGAGCTCCTGCGCAGTTTTGCGCGGGAAGTGCTGCGCCAGCAAGACAAGGTCAAAACGCGGGCCGACATCCTCCAGTTCGGGATCAAGTACTTCACCGACGTGACGGAGAAAAACTCGGGGGTGCACAACGGACCCCAAAACGAAAAGGAAGTGTACATGACCATGACGGATGACGAAATCGAAGAGTACATGTGGCAGATCTTTCGAGCGTCCGATCCTGGAAGTGTTGGCGACTTGGACGAAGGCGAGTTCAAGCGGGTGTGTGTGTGTGCTTCGGCAACGCTTCACCAAATCCTTTCTTCACGTTGTCGGCAAACGAGTAGGTGTTCCACGAAATTGGCGACTACCTGCGCTTGCATCCACTCGAGCTCAAGAAGTGTGCTGCGGAAGCTGACGAAATGGACAATGGCACGTTTTCGTACGCGTGTACGTAGTGCACCCCCTCGCTCGAGTCGACAGAGTTACCGTTTTTGAAGTGACGGCATGCTACCCTAGCCTTTATTCCGTCGGCGCTGCGGGTCATTTCGACATTGAAGAAGAAGCGAGTACGAACAGTACCCATCACTTCGGTGCCTGGTCATGCTTCTTACCGTGTTCGACGTAGAACATCGAGTCACACGACGCAGGGGCATCCAAAGAAGTCATTGTGGCCACGCCGCACAGCCTTTCGCATGGCTTACTGCGGGACGAGTTCGAGAGCTTACTGCGGGAGATCCTGCACAACATCGACACAGACAACACGGGCTCATTGAGCCGGACCGAGTTCATGGGATGCCTTCAGGTACGCTCATCCAAGCATTCTGGTAGGAATGCTGCCAAACGTGAGGTCAAGCGCTGCGTGAGTTGTATAGGACGCAGACCTGGGCCTGACCCGAAAAGAGACCAATTTGGTGTTGTTTGACACGCCGAGCGACGAAGCTGGGCGGGTTGCGTACAACGATGTGATTCCGATTGTATTTGACGTGCTCGTGCATGCAGCCGCCAACGATCTGCTCGACATGCCGAGGACGGAAGATCAGATCGAGACGGTGCTGACTCGGGCGCTGGCGAGGTAGGTAGATCCCCATTCATTACGAATGGGGTTGAAAAGAGTGGTGCCCCCAGTGGTGACGAGGACAGCACGGGGTTCCTGTCGTTTGCAGCGATCAAGACACTACTGCGGTCGGCGGGTCTCGGCCTCACACGGATCCAAATCATTGCGCTCATGTCCGAAGCTCAAGAAGAAGAAGATGATGCCGTCGCGTACGAACGATTTGTCAAGAACATTTCGACCATGGCGCTCCATTTCCTCGACTACGACCATCAAGCCAAGATGGCGCAGATCGTGCCAGTGTATCGCAGCACGGAAGAATATTTTACCGTGCAGGGCATGAACCAGCACGAGTTTGAGGTGCTGACACACTATCAGGTCTTTACAAACTTTGGCATTCTCGTAGAACGCCCTCGGGATTGCGTTTGAAGCGATCGACGAGACTCATCGTGGCAGCGTGCCCCGACACGAAGTTGTCGAAGCTATCCAGGTCCCCTCGGCGCTGACTCCACTTCTCTTACCTGAGCGGCTTGTGCATCCATGTAGAACGCGTTTCCCAAGATCTCGTCCAAGCATGTGTCGACACTGTTGGCGCTCGGCGACGTGGATGCAAACGGCGACATGGAGTACGCCGTGACGATTCACAACGGTTTCCAGGCGCTGCAGTGGATCCAGGAATATGAAGCCCTCGGCAAGCAATAGCATGTCCGTGTGCTCAGCTGAGGTCCACCCCGATAACTCATCAGCCATCAACACGATCCATCATGTATTTCCTCTACAGTGTTTCGATTCTAGCATCTACCTCCACGTGGCCAATCTGCCGACGTGCATCCAGTTGGTGGTCCCCGTCGATCGATAGCATCAAGTTCCGCATCTTGGCCTGAAATCGCGTGGCATAGAGCGCGGGCGGGGCGGCCGAGATACCCCGGCCATCGAGCCGAAGAACAAACACCTTCCACCACCGTTCGACGCGCTTTTGCCATGTCCATGTCTGCAGCAAGTCGATAATGCCCATGGTATAAAAGTCTGGGCCAACGACAGCCGACGCCTTGATTCCAGGCGTTATTCCGTCGCGGGACCCAGTCCACAGGGATGCAGCCACGTCGTGGTGGCTCGTCACGTTGTTAAATGTGCCGAAATCGAGGCTGGATTTGCGGTACGACGATGCGAGCGGTCTCGTCACTCGCATGTCCTCGTCGTCGTGAATGGAGTACCGACAACTGCGGTAAAATGACGCCCCGCTCGGCGACTACGTAGTCAGGGTGTCATCAAGGCATGGCCAAGTTCCCGCGAAGAAAATGCATACGCTGTCGTCGTCATCGGGGACGCTGTCGTCGTGGCTGTGCCGGTGGCTGCTTGGCTTGTCATGGATCGAATACACTTGACTGGACGAGGAAGTAATTGTCGATGTCGAGCCGGCTCGAGCTGTCGAAGAACAAAGTGCCGATGTGTCAAACACCACGCCCGCTGCATGCGTCGAACTGTGGAATTGCTGATAGAGCCGCGGCGGGTGGTGTCGACTAGTCGGAGTCACGTGCACTGAATCTGCATGCACCCGAAATTGCGCCGTGTGGACGCTCAAGAGCAAGCTATAGTCAGTAATCCCTTGGTCTCGTAGAAAGTCGCTGTCTTGCGCAAGCTGCGTCACAATGGCTTGGGCGGTGGACGGTGCCAGCTGCAGCTTTCCCTGCAAGTCGTTGTCTTTGAGCACACGGTGGGGCAAATGCTCCCCGCGAATGCTTTGACGACACGATTGCCTACGCAAAAAGCATGGCATGACCCTTTGTTCAAACACCACCATCACACACATCGTTCCCTTCCTTTGTGCTGGTTTACCTTGATCCAGACGGGTACGCGACCCCACAATACGTGCATACCTCTGGCGCACCAGGTGGCGTTGTCTACGCCGTCACAGCAACGTTGTGACCAAATTCAGCAACGAGCCAAAGCATTTCACCTTGGCGTGCCGGTGAACCCACGACCCTTTCAAGTCGAACGACTGGTGCATGTCCACGTGGCCCATCGCATTGCTCATCACGACAAAGTAAAACGTCTGCCGGTACATGTGGATGGCGTGACAGCCATAGTAGCGGGTCAAGAGGGTTCCCGGGTGCTGTTTGAGAAACGTAATGTACTCGGGGAGCATCTTGAGCAGGACGCGGCGCTCGGCTTTCGTGATCGTCTTGACAAGGAAGAGGTAGTCGGCCGTGCAAAACATGAATGCGCCACTCGACCCTCCATGGCCGACGCGTTCGTGGCACGTGGAGAGGAAGGAATCGCGGTACTTGGCTTCGTCCAGGTGATAGCCGTGGCGGATGTCGCGGAAAAGGTGGGGGTAGTACGCATCGAACCTGTGGGATAATCAATTCAGTCGTGGGTATATCTCTGCGAAGAGAGATGGCAGTACCGCAAGTCCATACCAAGCTCGTGCAAGCTGAGCTGGATCCGCCGATTGCTTGTCGAGGAGCTTGTCGACAGCGACGCTGCGACGATGCCTCTCTTCGTGAAGTGCAGCACCTCTTTCCGCAGCGCCACGTTGAACTCTGGGTTGAGCGATACGCCGTCCAAGAACGCTTCGTTTCCGCTCACGCTACCGGTCGGCAAACGTTGGAATGTCGAATACAAAACAAACGATCGCGAGTTGATCACGTGCCACGTCACGAGGTCCATGAATCCTCGGGCCCCGACCAGTAGGTTGAACGCGACATGGATGCTTCCACCCGACACGGACCACTGCGACAGCGCCAAAGTGGTCCACAACACAATCGTTACAAGCTGGTACACGCCGTAGAAGATCGTGAACGTGCGCGATGCGTGCAGCATGGAACTGCGCGTGCGCAAGGCATCTTTATGGCCACCGACTGGCGGTTGGGACGGGTTCTCCAGGATGAGAAACACACAGGTGCAAAGGACGCACATCGTCACATACATGTAAAAGTGGCCGAGTGTCCATTCAGTGGCGTCCATGACGTCGTCGGTCGTAGGCGTCGCGGTGGTGGCAATGTTTGTCCAGGACGCGAGCCCTGCAACTCCTCCCACACTCCATGCAATCGCGTGGTACCACTTGATACTATTTGCCGTGTTTTGAAAGGGATTCGTCCCGCACGCGTACAGATCGTACGAGATGAGGACGAACCAGCTCTCGGATGTGTACAATGTGCTCTGGATCAATGCCGCTTCGACCGATGGTGGTGCAAGACGAATGTGCAATGCCTGGACGCACAGCTGCAGCGCGTAGACACCATCCACTGCAGCTTTCCAGAATAAGAGGGGGTTTGGATGCCACCGGAACTGGTTCTCTTTGGCGCTCAACGACCGCACGAGGATGTATGTGGTACTGGCTGCCGACACGATGGCGCCGACTTGTGTGGCCAGCGCATCTGCCTTCACACCATGGCCCCTCTCTCGCCCCATCATCCACGGCGAGTACGTACTCCATATCGCGACACTGAGGGCAAGGAGCACAATAGCTGCCACACTACCGGCGGCCAAGGCCGACACCATCTCAAAACTCGACTGTAACTGCCGGATATGGGAATTCTGCTTCCCCGGGGTTACACTAATACTTGGAAAGTTTTAAATAGTGTGAAGCGTCGTCGCGAATCGAATTCTGGACCGAAGCCCTGCTTCATGCGAAATGCCTCCTTCCACGAAGCAGTCAAGGGGTATGATCGTGGGCTTAGTCTATAACGCTAGGCGGCTGATTTCTGACGGATGGGGACGAAGCTGGGACCGTGGACTCAGTCGGTTAGCATCGTGGGAGTCCACGCGGCGAAAATGGTGGGGTTTCATGTTTTAAATCGAGCCGATGGAAAGTCGACACTTTTATCATTATGAAAAATTAAATATGGGATTGTATGACGGATATGAATAATATTATTGCAGAAAAAAAACTGAATCCGTGGCACGACCTGTGATGGTGCGTTCGTTTCGCACGTCAATTCTACTCGACCGACCAGATCGAGCAGCGCTCACCACCTTTGCTCGACGAAAGTACCACGTCAGCGAGCTCTTCATGGAGGCACGGCAGCAGCAGAGACGATGGCTTGCCCTGGTGGCGTGGGTATTTGTCTTCGGCGCTAACTTTGCCGCAGCAATGGAATGCCCAAACTCGTGCGGGACCCCCGAAGGCATTGGGTTTTGCAAGCACGTTTCGTTCGCGACGTGCCGCACTGAAGAGTCTTGGGAGGCACAAGACATTGCTGCAGCAAAAGGGTTCATTAGCATGATGAATCCCGACGCGAATCGCACGACGTACGTGGATGACGAGGGTAAGTTCACAGGCTTTGCTTCCGTGTTCCCGCAGACCAACACGTTTCTCATGAACGAAACGGACCCATGTCATATCATCATGCGTCGACTCCAATGCGCGCTCCATTTCCCTGTTTGCGAGATCGGCAGTGACTTCAACCGACTCTGTGTCAAGTCGTGCCAAGAAAGCATCAGGAAGCAGTGTCCGCAGATGGCGGGATTCTGCGCCAGCCAGCGCGCAGACGAATTTGAGCCAGCGCCAAAGTGCTTCCAAGTCGACTACAAGGGCCCTGCTGTCGGCATGTGGATCGCCGGGTTCTCGATCTCGCTCGTGTTTTCCATTCTCAACTCTGTCGGGATCAATTTGCAAAAGTACTCGCTGTCGCAGCACTCCAACTCGAACAAGACGTCGTTCCAGCAACCGCTGTGGGTCCTCGGCATGGTGTTTGTGATTCTTGGGTCAATTCTCGATTTTGTCGCGTTCGGGATGGCGCCGCAGACGCTCTTGGCGCCGCTCGCTGCACTCTCTCTCGTTTGGAACATGTTCATTGCCCCATTTTTTCACAAAGAGAAGGTCACCCGTCGCAACTTGGTCGCGACTGCAATCATCTTTGTTGGGGTCACGATCACCGTCATCTTTGCCGGCCACTCCACGCCCACCTACGACCTGGACGACCTCATCTTGCTCTACCAGACGCCCGTCATGTACGCGTACATCACGTGCGTCGTGCTCTTCCTGCTCATTATGTTTGGAGCGACGCGATACATTGAAAAGAACCACGTGTACGAGGACGGGTTTTTCCACATCGTGTGCTACGGCGGGATCGCGGGCACATTTGGCGGCCAGAGCGTGTTGCTGGCCAAGTCGACAGTCGAGCTTCTCAAGTCTGCGATCTGGGGCGACGGCGCCGATGCCTTTGTTCACATCACAACCTACGTGATCATTGCCGGCTTGGTCACGTGCCTGCTGTGTCAGATCTCGTTCTTGAACGGCGGGTTGAAGCGCTTTGACGCGCTGGTCGTGATCCCGGTGTACCAAAGTTTCTGGATCCTGATGAGTGTCCTTGGCGGGATCATGTACTTCGAAGAGTACGTGAGCATGACGTCTCTTGAGAAGTACATGTTCACGGCGGGCGGGGTCATCACGATCAGCGGCATCGTGTACCTTCTCCAAGGATCGAGCGAGGACAGCGGGGGATCCACCGCGTCCGGCAAGTACTTGGAGCTCGCCAACGTAAGCCCCCAACTTGATTGCAGGCTGGGCCGTACCAATCTCATGGCGATTTCTCTTCTAGGCGGCCACTCCTTCCGACGCATGGAACACGGACGACTCAGACGAAGAACAGTTCCAACAAAAAGCCGACGACGATCTAGACGAAGTTGTGCTAGATAGCCCAATCCACAGCACGTCACCCAAGAACCCCAAGACCCAAGTGTCACCGACAGACGGCCCCCTCGACACGGACAGGAAGAAACCCAAGAAGGATGAATTCATTTGACGTCGATACGTCGCGGAAGTTCCTCGTACTACAGACACCATTACAATTTACATGCGTTCATAAACCATCATGTCTTCTTTCCACGGAATCCGACGACGAGCGGTTGATGGTCGGATAGGCCTTCACCAACCACCCGAGTCGCAGCAAAGGGCGAGCGAGCAACCAGGCCACAAGTCGAGCTCGCTGCTCCTTCGTCGACACGGGCCAAGACTACCCCCACGTGTACCACTCGACAAGGCATGGCTCGCCAACACGCTAGTTCCGCAAGTCATCGGCGCTTCTTCCCTGGCCAGTGTTTTGATTGGCTGACTTGTGAAACGAACCAATTCGTGGTCCAATGAATGGCCAGGATTCTAATACCGCGTAACCACTCATGGCAACTGAACTAGCAGAGGCAACGGCGGCGTGGCAAGCAGGCAGTATCGCCAAACACAGGTCAGGCCACAAGTTGCATCCATGTATTCCTAATGCTTTTGGTGCGAACGATCGCGACCGCATGGCTGTTGGCTGGGGCCGAGGAGGTGCAAAAAACCTTCACAATGTAATATCCTTGCAAAGTATACAGTATCACATTTGAGAGTACCCGTGTCATTGTATTCTACGATTCTTGTGCAAGATGTCGCTTGTCGCGGACTATGGGTCCGACTCCGACAGCGATGGGCTGGTCGAGACCGAGGCAAGCGTAGCTTCGTCGAGCAAGTCTGTCGTCAAGGCAAAATGTTGCCCGGGACCTCCAATTAAAGACGTTCTCGAACCCCCTGCGACGACACCTATCCAAACGCATAGTGGACCACCCAAGAAGAAGGCGAAGAAAACGCTGCATTTGCCTCCTGAGATCCAAAAGTTGCTTGAACGAGGCCGCGCCTTGAACAGTGATGATGAATCTGATACGGACACAAAAAATCCTGCTCCCGTGCGAAAACAACCCGTTTCAAAGCCTCCTGCGGGCGACACACTGTTGAGTTTTCTGCCGCCTCCAAGACTTGCTCTGCCTGTACGCCAATCGCCTCAACACAGAGACGCACATGCGCCTGTTTCGAAACACGTCCCCGTAAGACGTATCCGTTCTCTACTACCCATTTCCCTGTCACGCTTTCTGCAGGCACCACCGGCACCAGCGATCGCAGACGTCTCCCAAGTGTACGACCCCGACTACGTGTCCACTTATAGTTTCGACGACGAGCATGCAGCTGAAGATTACGGACGCGTGCGTTGGTCCATTCAATTGAATCATTCCTCACAAGGTCATCTCGATGTATTAGGGTACGAAACGCCGCCGGAACAACGACCGGGAGCTCGAGCGACTCCTTCAACAAGGCAAGTTCGACGCAGTGGCAGGCAAGGTAAATAGGACTGAACGCACGCGTTTGTTTCAGCTCCTGCAATTATGGGATGCTGAGGATGCATCGTAGATTACAGAAGTCAAGGCTGTAGCTCCGGACTCGTGGCAGCCACCCATTGACGGACGGGGTTATGCCCACGACAGAGAGGTATGGTCGTTGCGCATATAAAAGCGGTGCACATCCATCAACCACGTAGGCCCAAGTCCTTGCAAGCATGGCCGGGACAGAAACAGAAGGCGGCTACGTCATTTCGTCGTACAAGCCGACACGGTATCGTCTAAATTTCGAGAATTCGGTCATGACAGGTCGCTCGCGCGTGCCTTGTAGGTTGCAGCGCCAGCGCCATCAACTCAACCAGCTCACATTCGATGCCAAGTTGCGCGAGTTCGATCTCATGGACAGCAAGGCGCAATCGGTCAAATCGAAGCGAGAGACACAAGCAAAGTATGGGTGGTAAACAGGACCGTCTCCAGCGTAAACACCTATCTCTACACGTGACCTTTTCCATGGCCATTCTTTGGGTTTCTGGACACTGTGCAGCACGTCAAGCATTGCAAAAACGAACGCTTTTCATCATTATTATTACCTTGGTCACCAAGGCATCGTCGCTTTGTCAGCGCAGCGCGTCATCCTTGATTTTTGGAGCAGTGCATGCAGCCTTCCGTCCAAGAAGATTCCGAAGCTTACAGGCTATCCAACAGTGGATACAAACTAACTACTCATGGACCACCACACGTGCCAACGCCTCGCTAGTTTCGTCGATCCTGTCGTGAACAGAAAGAGCAACGTCATGATCGTCGCCCGCAGCAGCTTCTTCGTCCTCTTCGTAGTCGTCCATGAATGCCTCGTATTCGGCCTCCTCTCGTTCAATGTCCTTGTCCTTCCCGCCGCGAGCCAACATGGACTTCCGTCGAGTGCCCTTTTTGCTCTGTTTCTGGTCCCCGGCGTCCTTCTTCGGGTACACGCGTCGGACGAGAAGGATGTCAGGGAGGTCCGACTCGAGGTAGTACAGTTGCTGCGTCCCAAAGTTGCAACGACTCAAGTCGTAGCCCTTGACAAAGTCTCCCGCCGACAGGTACCGACCGAGATGGGTGGTCACGGAAAACGTCGTGTCGTTGATTCCAAAGTCCGACACGCGAGCGACTTCGACAACTGCCATGAGGTCCTCAGGTGCACCAGCAGCGTGGGGCGCTGATGCCTCCTTCACCATCTCGGCGGATGGTTTGTGGCGATGTGGTTCGTCAACCAATTCGACGTTGAGCACGACGAGCTCCACCATGGACGACGCACTGTCGAGCGCTTCAAACGGAGTCTTCCAGTACCGATCGCACGGGATCTCAGCGCTGCAAGGCGTCGTCAGTACATGCACATTTCACCAATTCAAAAGCACAAGCAGATTTGCAAATGCCAAACCATTTCAACCACCCACATTCAACACCAAACGAGGAGTCGCAGGCATGACTACATTTAGTGGGCAGCACCATTCGCCATTGAATACGATATCTCAACTTGGGAATCGAATGTGTCGTCGTACCGGCGGCCGGAGAGAGGGTCGAGGATGTGGATCTGAGTTGTGACCCGAGTAACGAGGACGAGGTTGGAGCCGCAAATTTGAGAGAGCCGCTTATCGAGAATGACAAGGTCGTCCTTACAAATAGGCGCCAGCTCGACGTTCACCGTTAGCTTGACATTGGCCGTGTTATTATGGTTGTCGGACGAGATTAACTTCCGCGCTGACTTAGTTCTTGTAGGCACATGTTGGCTCAGGAACGCGGCGAACCGTTCTGCGCTGTTCTTTTCGTTGAAGAAAAAGTCCATCCCGTCTTTCTCGGCGGTCATCCCGATCGCGCGGGTATGGGCCCCATGCTTCAGGATGATTTGCTCGAGGTGGTAGAAAGTTCGTTTGTGCGGCACCTGTCTCGACAGGTGAGCACGGAGTCGAGTTTGGGATCAAACCTTTTGTCGGATCTGGACCACAGCTTTCCACGTCGAGTTGTTGTACTGTTTGGAGCAGTCCGCACACTTGAGATTCTCCACCACGAACGTCACAATGAACGACTTTTGGAGGATCGCATTGCGAATGGCCTGTACACGCCACCATGTCAACATGGACGAATCGAGCGATAACACAAACCTCCTTGCGAATCGTGAGTTTGAGCTTAATGCGTTTGCTGTGCGGCTCAGTCCAGATGAAACTCGCGTCGACGAGCTTGACATCCCGGTTGAGACCGTGGATCTTCTTTAAGCACAGCGCCATGAGATCGAGGGACTCCAACGGGCATTCCGCAAAGATTCCGTTTGTCCCCTTTGCCCCCGTGCTTCGTTGGAAACGCAAGCACCCACTGCATTGAATCAGCGTGCACTCTTTCGAAATGCCTTCCGCAATGTCGACTTCAGTCGACAAGCACGGCGCGCACATATTGGCCAAGTTAGACTCGATGGATACCCCGCACATGCAGCATAGACTATCACACACATGATCAATCGCTGTGACGGCACCTCACTTGCCATGGATCGATCCACTTACATCGTCATTGTGTAGCACTTCGCTTGATGCAAACGTCGGAACTGGCACAATGCAAGGCACTCTCGCCCGTGCCAATGAACCAATCATGGAGAAGAATTCGAAAACGCAACGTTTTAGCCAATAAAAATTGTTCATATCTGCTCTCAACGAAAACTTACGTTCACAAATTGGACTTCACCACGAATGAGATTTAAAACTAGCAATGATTTAACGACTTTGAATGAAGATGCACTTCGAGGTACGAAGTAATTGTAACTTGGGAATCACATTGATTACTGATTTGCCCACGTTGCAGGGGCAGCGACGTAGTGCCTGCTGGAGGACCACGGTTCGTTGTTTGATTCCACCATAGAGATTGTGCGGTTTCTATGCCATCTATGCCGACTGCTATGTCCAGAGCTTGGAAGATTTCACTCTCAACGGCATTAACATATGTCGGAATTTCGTCTAATTTGGACAAAATTTGAGA